TGAAATTGGTAGAGAAAAAGTTTCTCAAGCTCCAAGAAACAACATTCAGAAACATCTAACCGTAAGCTGTCAAGTTTTCTTGTCCATCACTATTTTTTTCGAGACCCTTTCCGGCCCTTTTTGAGCTCAAATTTGTAATCCTCATGAAAAAAATGAATATAAAAAACATCTAGTGGACTTTTTATATAAGAACGACGACAGAAAATGTTCTGGTTTTTTTGAAAAATAACCGTTTTTGAGGCTACAAAAATAGCCCCGTTCGAAAAAAAGAGCTCATTCCTCAAGTTCACGGCGATCTGACTTTATCAGAAGACTTCTCTGGCTTTTTTTGATCTCAGCTTTAGAATCGACATGAAAAATGCAGCCAGAAAACTTATTTTCAACTTAAAAACTTGAGACGGTCCTGGTAATTCAAAAATAGCCGTACAGGAAGCTGTTTCATAGAAAAAAGATCTTCTTGTTCAATTTTGAAGTGTCAGATTTTTTTTTCCGTTTTTTGAGCTCAGATTTTGAATCAGCGTGTGAAACTACCTTTATTGAACTCAACTCAACCCTCTCAGAAAAAAAGACATTCATCTGCTTATTCTACTTCCCAAACGAACCTAAAAATGCTGTCCAGAGGGCTCATCAAGACTCGATCGTGACCATTGTTGTTCATGTTCCGACGGCCCAAAGTAGGCGTCGTGCGCGGCTCGAAGCCGCTGCTGACGTTCTCAGCGAAGGACACAAAGTCGACGCAGATGTGGAAGCCGTAGGGGCAACAGCGGCACTTGGAGCCGCGCGACAGCCCCGCCGACGTCGTCATTTCGACCCTCTCTTCGAGAGCTTTTCGCTCTGGAAAGTCATCAATCAATCAATCAATCATTTTTCGCTTCAGTCATAGATCTAATCGACTATAATTTATGAATTTCGCGGGAAATTCAAACAAAACGCGAGATATTTTGCAAAACACGAACAAAACGGAACAAGTATGGCTTTCGAAATGGAGACTGTGGAGATTTTAAAGTTTTTTCTCAATTTTGGAGCATTTTTTCGACAAATAAAATCCCTTTTCTGTTCAAAAATTGAAGCAAAACGGGTGCAAAATAATCGAAAATTTTCTGCATTTTTTCCTAGAAAAATTTTTTTGTTTTTTTCCGTTTCGATAAAACAAAAAATCTTGATATCAAAAATAGTTCTGAATGAAAAAACACGTGAGAAGTGTTCAAATGGGCAGAGAAATATTAGAAAAAACGTTAAAAAAATAGGAAATTAGAAATCAATAGAAACATAGAGAGAATAGAAGAATCAAAAATTAGAAGATTCTTCTGGTGAAGAAAAATTTTTGCATTTCAATACTTGAAAAAAAGAATGAAGTTTAAAAAAACAAAAAAACAGAAAAATTATATATTGCGCGTAAGATGCTGCGTTTGCCCCTGCAGACACCCTCCTCTCACAAACTTGCAACTACAGTAATCCAAAAAAATTAATTTTTTTCGTGAGTTTTTTTCATTTTCCCCTATTTTTAAAAAAATAATTCTAACTCGTTGCATCACTATGATAATCACTTCGAAAAATGAGCAAATTTCAAACGAAAAAATAGTAAATCTTTTCGAGGTATATGCAAAACAGAGGATTTAGCGGCGGTTTTTTTATTCCCTCTTCCTGAAGGACCACCTCAGGACAGCCTCATATACACACACAGGAAAGCCCACAGGAGACAGGGCGTCCAGTGGAAGCAAACAAAAACAAATGAAACGGCAATTGGCGGGAAAATCTCCTTCTCTTTTTTTTTGTTCCTAGTGGATAGGGGGCATTGACCATGGGTCAGTGAGGAAGGAAAAACAAGCGGTTTTAAAGCTCGAGACTGGCTTGTCCAGTGATTTGACTGAGAAAGGTTGTAAAGTAAAAGCGATACTTCGAGGCTTTTTTTCGGTAAAATTGTGTATAGTTGATTCAAGAAAAGGTTTTCAAGGAGTAGGGGGAAATTTGATCAAAGCCAATCACATAGTTGTTTTTGTTCATCTTCTTAGGAATTTTAGAGTGATCCCTATAGAGGTTAGGGGGAAAAAGCCCCTATAGGGGCGGAAAAAGTGATCCCCATGGGAGTAAAATAAAGGTGGTCTCTATAGGGGTTTAGGGACTGACCCCCAGCTCCTAAAGCTTAAGTGGTCCCTATAGGGTTCTTTCAATTTTATTCAACAAACGCTTGTTTTTTTCAGTTTTTCGAGCTTTAGTGGACCCTATAGGGGTTGGTAAAGTGGTCCCTAGAGGGGGCTTTCCAAGAGTCTATAAGTTTGCCCCTTAGGGACCACTCTGGAATTCTAACTTTAAACATCTTAGCGAAAGATATATCAGAAAAAAATTTAAAAATGATCATATTTTTAATGTTGAAAGTTTTTCTTCACAACAAAAAACATGTTATGATTTGTTTTCTATACTCTATTCATTACTGGGGCGGAAAAAAATCATAAAGACGTCTAAATCTCTCCTTTTGCACACTATTTCATTAATCGTGTCAAGACCCTCATTGAAATTGTCAAATCCAGTTGAAGAAATATCTAGTCATACCCTTTAGAAACGTAAAAACCAAGGAAAAATACGGTCCCGACTGATTGTAAGAACTTTTTAATAAACACGAGGAACCAGTTTTTTCGGAAGAATGGCTGTAAATTAATTAATCAACTTGCAGTGGGGAGACTGGTATGTAGTTCTCGCCATAATTTGTGTCAAGGAAACTTTTGAACGGAAAAAAAGGTCAGGAAACTCGTTGGGAAAGAGAAAACTAAGAAAATCTTAAAATTCTCAAACGGAAACATTAAACGGAAAATGATAGGAAAACATCAATTCCCAGTGGAAAAATGAAATATCGAAACTGCCTCGATAAGAAGCATCAAAGACACAAAAGAAAAAAGAGACGTTATCAAAAAAAAAGGCCGTATATTTCGCAGGGTGCACCAGCAGCACCACACATGCGGTGGGTGTGTCTCCCGATCGATAACTGGCAATCAGTCAACTTCTCACTTGGTCCCAAGGTATTTTGGGTGATAGGATGAATGAGAGATGGTCGGAGAGTACGGAGAGAGAAAAAACCGAGGCGATAAATTATTTTTTCCATGGGTGCGTTACAGTAGTGTCTGAATTTACGAAGATCATAAGAGCTGGAAATCGATTTTACGGAAACTTCCGGGTATTGATCATAACTCATTTACTGACAGAAAAATAGTTTTGAAAAAAGGTGCATTTTTTCGTTTTTTCTGGAAGAATATTCAGAAAGTTTCAAAAGTACCTACAAGAAAGGTCATTTCACTTTTCGGTTGGGATTTTCCTGCAAATTGGCCCTCCTTGAAGTACCAGAAGAAAATCAGAGAAATTTCGACCTGCACAACCTCCGGTTTTTTTGCGAAAAGAAGCCTCAAAGAAAACCCTCAAAACCCATAAAAATAGGCCATTTTGAGACTTTGGGCCCTTGTTTCTTGGAAACTAGAAAGTTTTGCAGGTTGAGATTCTCAGATTCTTTTTCTGGTACATCAAAAAGTTTTCTGGCCAATTTTCAGGAAATTCCCAACCGCAAAGTGAAATGACCTCCCCTCCATACAAGAAAATTGTGATCAAAAAAAATGTTCGTGTCTTTTCTGATACAGTTGGGAAGTTTCTGAAAGATGGTCAGATCACTTTTTGAAGTCTCAGACAAAGCTTCGGAGATTCTCAACCGGAAAAAAACTCATTAATATCCAAAAAAGAAGGGTTCAAAGTCTCCAAAAGGACCACTTTTGATGGTTTTCTCTGATTTGGAAAGGTGATTTAAACAAGATTAGGGGTTTCGGAAGGTTTAAACGTTCTGAATCTGTCCCTACTGCATCTAGAAAAATTCTGGCCGGTTTTAAAAAATAATTCGAAGACCTAGTGAAATTAAACCCCTTGTCAAACTTTTGAAAAAAACTAAAAGTAGGGGTTTTTTTCAAAATTTCTCTCGTTGACATCAACAAAACCACGGGGAGCTTGATTCACCGGAAAGACAATGGAAAAAATCAACCTTTGATCAAAAATCTTAACTTCTTATCACTTATCTACTCGATCGTGTGTAGAAAGACATCATCATGAGACAAAAAAGTAAACATTGGTTATCAGAGAAAGAGTTGGAGATTGAGGGTTAGAAAATTCGGTAAAATTAAGCTTCCAAGGTGGAGAATTTCATGGTGAAAAAATTTTGATCCGGAAATTTTGAGGGTTGAGAGGTCCATAAAGTCATATATGGAGGATTTCAGTTCAAAAAAATTATTTATTTAAAGGACCAAGTGTTTCATTTAGAATCTGGAAGGTTCAAGCTCAATAATAGGCAAGGAAAAAGTAGGGAAAAATTTTGTAATAGGAAAAAGCGGTTGATTTTTCGAAAATTGTGTTAAAATAGATTTTTATAGGTTTTTAGTGGATTTACAAAATCAAGCAAGGAGTGGTTTTTCGCCTTGGGCAATGTCGGAGTGGTGGATAATGGCCGCTTAAAGGAAGAGGCTCAAAAAAGCCGCAAAAAGGCAGCAAAAAGGCATCAAAAAGGCATCAAAAAGGCATCAAAAAGGCAGCAAAAAGGCATCAAAAAGGCATCAAAAAGGCAGCAAAAAGGCACAAAAAAGGCACAAAAAAGGCGTCAAAAAGGCAGCAAAAAGGCAGCAAAAAGAGTCCCTTTATGGAGCCTTACATTTTTCTGGGATTTTAAAGGCTCAGAAATGGTGGAAAAAGAGAGAGGCAGCAAAAATGGTGCATAAGGGCCGAGGAAATGGCGCAAAAAGGCAGCAAAAAGGAAAGTTCTATGGAACCTCTTTCCAACCATTCCCACTTGCCTATGTTCCATGGATGTCAGTCTTTTTAAGCTTAGAAAATTGAAAAAGTTGCTTTCAAAGGGAAAACAGTAACTTCATCCAAAAATAGATTTTTGAGGGCTCTCTAGGACCTCTAGATCAAGTAAAGATCAAGTGGTTGCATTCCGGGATTTTTTCTTAAAAGTTTCGAAAAAGCTGTAGTGAATGGAGTATACCACAAAACAGAGACAATACGTCGAATTGATAGGATCTGGGGGGTGCGCGGAAACGGCGAGTAGGAGGAGATTAACGCGTATCGTGCGCCACCGCAATCTGATCGTCGTCGTCGTCGTCGTACAGCACCCGTACAGAATTCGACGACGACGCCGCCGGCGACGCAGGCGACGCATAAAAGTCGCAAGACGCGGAGGCCACGCCCACCAACCAATTTCGACCTTCTTCTTCTACGCGGCGCGTGCATAGACAAACAGATAAGAGCGAACAAGGGTACAATGCAAACCAACAGAGACCCCCTAGGAGGTGTTCCGTTTTTGGAAACGGCTTTTTTTTCGTCAGGTTTGAAAGGTCCGGCTTGATGTAGTCATTTTACTTTGCGGCTTGGAATTTTCTAAGAATTCCTTAAAAAAATCTCTGAAGGTCTAGATGAAGATCCCTCATATCATAGGTTTATTCACTGCATACTGTTAGAAAAATAATAAATAAAATAGTTCAGAATAAGCAGCAAAAATAACCAAAACGGGAATTAGTCCACCCTAGACTATGACCCGGGGATAGAAAAGGAAGTTAGAGCAAACGGGAAGGAATGGATTCGAAAAAGCAGAGTTAGGGGAGATCATTAAGTTTATTTCATAGTCGCTTCCCTACAGAAACTTTTATTTTTTTAAAAATATGATTTTTTTAAAGTTGCGAAAAAAATGGGTTTTTCGAAAATTAATTATCTTGAAAACTAGAAGCTGGCGCCGGTTGCAACCTTAATGTGTCTTTATATAAACTTTCAGAGATTTTTTTGAGAGAATCAATCTGTGTTAAGAGCAAAAATTTGAGAATTAATATCTCAAAAACTGGAAATTTGCGCAGGCAACGACTACAAAGGGATTTTCATCTGGAGATTCAGAGAGTCTTTGAAGGAATTAGTAGAATATTTCAAACCGAATATTCAATATTCATAAATATTCAATATTCAAAAAACCGCAAGGTAAAAATGACCTCTCTTGTAAGGGAAGGTTTCGAATTTTTGAATGAAAATTTTAGTTTTTTCGAAGTATACAAGCCCAAATTTCGTCACCAAGCTTTGCGTTTTGAAAAATAGCTTTTTTTCGTCTGACTTGAACAGGAAAAACGCCTTAAAATAATGAAATTTAAAAAAATTAGGATTTTTCAAAATTCAAAAAGTCAACTTTGAACAAGAAAAATATCGAAATAACGAAGTTTTTCCAAAAAGCTTGAAGCTCAACTTTTCTCAGGAAGTGTTCCATTTTTTTGGAAAAGGGCCTTTTTCGTCAGGTTCGAACAGAAAAAGCGTGAAAGAGAAAAAAATATTGGATTTTTCAAAATTTCGAACCTCAACTTTTGTCACGGATTTTTGCTATAAGTTCCGTTTTTGGATACGGCTTTTTCTTTTTGGTTTTTGTAGGTTTGAATTGCAAAACGTTCTTCAAGTAGTATCAGAAAAAAACTTTTTTTCTATGTTTTTGAAAAATCAAAGTTGGTCAGGAAGTGGTCATGGCTTAAGAAGGCAATGGAAATGATCAGATTTATTTTTCAAGAAGTTTCACTGAAAATTCTTTTTCATTTAAAAAGCCGAAAAACAGACAGTATAAAATTTATGAAAAAAATCAACAAAAAAAGAGCAACAACAAGGGGATAACAAACACCAAAAATGGTAATTTTCATAACAGAAGAGGAAACGATTCAGACTTGGGTCTTCAGATGTTTGGGGAAGTAAGAACGGTTCCAGCAGAGTTCCACAGAAAAAAGTAAGATTCACATCAAAACACTTGAAAACAGAAGACAAATAGAAAAGAAAAATTGGCGGATTTCAAAAAAACAAGTGGGATTTTTGGGGAAATTCATTCTAAATTGATCCAAAAACGATCGATTTGAAAGATTTTTTTCGACATTTCGACCATACATCCTTTTAATTATCACATTTTATCGCCAATATTTTTGGGAAATATAATTTCCGACGATAAAATATCCCGAATGTCTCTATAGTCAAAGGCGGAGAAGTTCTCAAATTTTTTTGAGCCTTATTTCGCAAATCTTTTTCTAGATTTTCTGAAGGCTCAGTTCAATGAAGGTCTCATGGCGAAAAATCCAAGATTGGAGATTCTGTGAAATCGGAAGAAAAAAATACAAAAAAATCAGGGAAAAAAATGTGAAAAAAATCGCTCGTTCTTATGATGATGTTGTATTAAGAAAAAGTTTACTGATCAAAAATTTTTTTTTCTTTTTATTCAATACCCTTCTACCTGATGTTATCAAATGAGTATACGTCAAGTTTAAAAGAGTTTCTGGTAAAAAGAAGTCTTTGAAAAATCAAAAAATCAGCAAAAAATGATTCTTGCTAATCCTCAGGTTACTAAGCTTCATCTCAAATCACATTTTTCCGACGTACTAGGAACCAAGAACACTGGAAAGCTGAACAACAACAAACAGCAACAATCGAATCAGAATTTGATGTGTTTGGACTTTTTGACGACTTCAGGCCGTCGCTGACCGCCGTCCTCGTCCGTGGGGTCGTAGTCGGCGTCGGCGGAACCTGTCCAGGTGTTGACTCGGCCGACGAACCCTGCCAACAGTCTCTCTCTCAATCTCCCGATCTCTCACTCTATTTCTTCGCCTTTTTGGGTGGGAAGGATTACGCCTCCCGCACAATTGCAAAACATGGAAAACTGAAACGAACGTTTCTCACGGCCGCCAAAGCCTTGCCATTTCTGCGCCGCCAGTTCGGGACAATCGCGTTTCAGGTGTTGCTTCGATCCGCACACGTTGCAGCTTCCGCCTGAGCGAATTACAGCCTTTTTTTTCAAGGTGCTAATTGGAAGACGATTCTAATTGGTTTGACAAGGAAGCTATAGATCAATTCTCATTAGTTTGACTCAAAGTGATCTGATCGGAAATTATTTAGCTGCTTCTCAAAAATAAAAGATACTCGGGCAAAGTCGGAATGGTGGATGATGGTCGCTAAAAAGGAGAGGCTCAAAAAAGGCGGCAAAAAGGCAGCAAAAAGGCTTCAGAAAGGCAGCAAAAAGAGTCCCTTTATGGAGCCTTCCATTTTTCTGGAATCTTGAAGGCTCAAGAAATGGTGGAAAAGGGAGAGGCAGCAAAAATGGTGCATAATAGCCAATAAAAAGGCGCAAAAAGGCAGCAAAAAAGGAGCCTTTTCCACCCTTTCCGACTTTGCCAATTTTATCTTATTCTGCTTTTAGAAGTTAGTGAAGGTTTTCCCAAGAACTGTGAAGATGGAGATTCTCAAAAACTCAACTTCATATTTTTTTAATCATTTAAAAAAATTCCCTGTCTTTTGACTTTTCATGTAATTTTCGAATTTTTTTCAATATTTTCACTACCGTAAAAGGGGGCGGAGCCAGTCCTGTGTAAAATTTTCAGGAACTTGTGTAAATCTGATCTCAAGAAACTACCGTACTTCTCAGAAAAAAGTTTCATTTTGATTCAAGATCCTAAGACTCTTCAAACTTCATAGGAAAAGTCGGAAAGGGAGGAAAAAGGCTTCATAAAAATATTCCTTTTTTGCTGCCTTTTTGCGCCATTTTATAGGTTGTTTTGAACCATTTTTGCTGCCTCTCCCTTCTTTCACCATTTCTTAAGCCTTTAAAATCTCAAAAACAAAAATGGAAGGCTCCATGAAGGGACCTTTTTTGCTGCCTTTCTGCGGCCTTTTTTGAGCCTCTCTCTTTCAGCGACCATTATCCACCATTCCGACTTTGCCCGAGTTTGAAGAATTTTCATTTTTTCCAAGGTGTACTTTTTCATTAAAAAACCAGGAATCTACAAAAATTTCTTCTCTCAAACACCTTCAATCTTCTTCAAAACAGCCATTCCCGATGGAAACGAACCTTGCGGATAGATCCCATTGGCATTTTGATGGCAATCGCGCGACAAATGTCCCATCGCCTTGCACACAAAGCATGTCGCGTAGGGGAAGCCTGTAATTTTTCGATTTGACCACCTGCGAATGAATTGAAATGCTTGGGAATTATTTACGCTTCAACTGGGAGATTCAATCGGGGGACCTTATTATTTTTCGTAGGTCATTTAAAATTTTGAATTGGCTTCTTGGATGTTGATTTCAGAGTCGAATAACTAGAAAATTAATTTTAAAAGAAATCGATAAAAAAATCGATTCCAATTTATATTGACGTTCATGAAAAATCAGAAAAATGTCTTGTTTAACAGAATTTTGAACAAAATACTTGATTTGAAGTTTACTAGATATTCAAAATAACACCTTTTTTGAGTTTAGAAGATTTCAATTAAAAATTTCCCTTTCTTCAGTTTCAAAGCCTATAAATGGTCAATCTAGAAAATTCCTAGGAAAAACTCGTCATTTTTTAAAAAAGGTAATGGAGTGGGTCTATTGAACGGAAAAATTTAAGTTTGAATTATTTTATTTTTTTGGAATTTCAGTCCATTCAAAAATTTATTTTGAACGTTCTTTCGAGTTTCTGAACCTATAAAACCCATAAATAAAAAAATTCCTGAACCCAAACTGAACCCATAAGTTTCTGAACCCATAGACAATGAGGAACAGTTTTTTTCTGAAAAAAACTTAATAAATTGCCTTTTTTTGGACAGCAAGTTCACAAGTTCACTGTAATGAAAGTCCAGTACATCTTTTTCGATTTTCAAAAAAATAATTTGAGCTTTTCAAGTTCCCTCCGACACGTTCCCACATTCCGATTCAATAGCTTCCCTTCGAAAAAAGAAGAAAACCGTATCAATTGCCACATATCCAGGCACCTAACGATGATGCGAAGAATCACGCAATCATGCCACAATCGCTTGTAGGAAGGGAGGCAAAAAATCGGCGCGCATATCGAACACAGGGCCTCCTAATCCGCCACGACAACGATGCCACCCGAAAAACTCGCTTCTGACATCTCCCAAAGACCAGCTTCTCCTATCACTTTCCCCCCTCATGAATAACAAGAAGAAAGTCAGGTGCGTGCGTGTTCCTACCCCCAAAAAAGGGCCAAAATTCCTTCTTCGTTGTGTGAAAATTGGAAGAAAGAATCAATTTTGAGCGGAGATATTCATCGTGGCGTCACACCCATTTGTGGGTAACAAATTCATCGCGCGGAGAGAAAGAGAAGTGGACTAATTGATTGGGGGCCCTGAGTATAGTACGTTACGGGGTCGGGAAGGTGAACGATTTTGAGGAGGATCGCGGGAGAAAGACATTCAGGGCTTGAGTAAATGCAAAGATTTGAGTTACTTTGGGTTGAAGAGAAGACAGTACCCTGACTAAAAAAAGTTATTTAGTGTAAATTTGAGAATTTCTATTAAAAATAGACCCAGTTTCGAAATTTCCAAATTTAAATTTACAAACTAAACTTGCTAAAAATGCTGTTCGAATGTCTAGTCTAAGATCTTTGGTAGTCATCTAGCCTTGAAGAGATAATTTCTCAAACTTACGCTTGAAAAAAAATCGCTTTCAAGCTTAATTTTGAAAATGAATCAAAACGAGAATTTTCAGCAGGTACCGACTATGAAAGACCTCATTTTCACCTGGAGTTTCAAGTATTTATAAGAAATTCCAAATACTTTATAATAAATATTCTCGTAAGATAAGCTATGTTCAAAAAAAAAATCCCAGAACATCTAGAGAAAAAAAAATTGCTAAAGAGAACTGACTGATGAAAACACCTCAGAAAATCGAAAGATAACATATTTTGAAGTTTTTCGGACAAAGTTGGTAAATAGAACCTAGAAGAGCTAGTATTTCGTGAAAAATTTAGGTGTTGTCTATCGATAACTTCTCGTCGTGCAGAACTAATTTTTAGAAAAATCGAAGATTTGTGGAATTTCAAGAAAATATCATGGAATGCTAGATAAAAAAGAAAGGCAGTATATGTATAAAAAAAGTGAAAAGGAGAAAAACATGAAGAAAGCTAATTGAAGTGTACTTCGAAAGAAATAGAACTAAATTTCTGAAAAAGAAATGATGAGGTTGTTAAAAACCTGTGAAAAATTTAATTTACTTAGGAATTTTAAAGTCAACCTCATAGGAGTTAGAGGGAACCCAGCCCCTATAGGTTGCTCCTATAGGGATCACTCTGAAGATCTTGTAGGTCTCGACATTAAAAGAGTTGACTAAACGTGTACTGAAATCTAATTGAAAAAAATTGAATAACAAAAAAATTTTTGAGACTAGAAAAACATTTTTTTCCTTCCAAAAATCACCTTTCTGATTCTTCTTGGGACAGCTGTAGATGTTGTGCTCGGTGGATCCGCATTTGAAGCAGATTCCCTCGGCGGTCGACGCCTTCTTTTTCTCGCAATCGGCCAGAACGTGGCCCGGCTCACGACAATGGAAACAGACCGCACCGCTGAGAAAATTTCGATGGTTTTCTTGGAAAAATGAATCGGAACGGACGTCTGCTTGTCGTGTATTCTTCTCAGACGCCGCTGTTCGCGAATTTTCCACTTTTTGACGACGTTCACCGCCTCGAACCGTGTGATTTTGTGTTTTCCGACCAAACTGTCGAGCTTTTTCTGAAAATACATGGGATAATTTCAAAAATTCCAGGTTTTCCCTCACCTTGAGCACATCTAGAGATTCTTCCTCTCCAACGAGCTTCGCCACGTAATCTTGTCGGGCCTTCAAAATTTTCAATTACTTCTAAAAATTCCTCTGCAAAGTCTGATGGTTTTTACACGGAGCGATCATTTCTAGGCCCTTTTCATGGAAGGCCATTTTAGCGTGCTCATAAAGCTTCAATACTCTCAGAACTCTTGAAAAAAATGGCAAAAAAAGTTGACGGCAAAAGGATTCGAACTTTCATCATATGCTTCGCAGGCTACCGCGCTAGCCACTGCACCACGCTACTAGCTTCCATGCACTGGTTGGTGGCGCGCACAGATTCCTTCCAAAAGGCGTCACTTGGTTTAGGATGTAGGTTTGAAAAATTATACCTCCAAAACTAGAATTTCGCGCAGGTAGCGACTATGTGGGATCAATTCCCAGTCCATTTAAGATTTTTTTTAGAGAATTTATAGAAAATTCTGGACCCAGCGCTAAAATGGCTTCCCATGTAAGCAGCGTCAGCACCCTTAAATGATCACTAGGAATATTCAGAGAGTTCAGTTCGCTTGACCGAGGTTCGAGATGATTTAGAAAGCAAAACAGTGTTCATTGACGCGCCAAAGTTGCCTTGAAACAGTAAAATTTTGTTTTGGAGCAATAGTTTTCATCGAATTAAAATGCTATACAAGATCCTAAATGGAGAATTTTTTTTCCTGAACAACTCTCAGAAAAAGTCTAACAAGCTCATTTTCGACACCTTTCTAAAAAAAGATCCTTCTGTCACTTTTTAAAAATTTTTTGGCAATTTCTCCAACCTTTTTGAGCAAACTTCCGCTTTAAAAAGCGATACAAGCGCGTCACTTTCGTTCTTCTTGACAGATCCTGCGGCAACCGCTTCCGTCACCCCTTTTGTAGCCTTGAAATAATAAATTTTATAAATATCAACCGAAAAATCAGAAGAAACCTCGTCGAAACTGCTCTTCTCGGCCAAAGTTTCGAGCAATTTACTGTGCTTCTCACTCAAGTAATCCATGCTCTGCTTCATTTTCCAAGTCTTTTTCTTCTCCTTTTTCCTTTCTGAACAAATTTTATTTTGAATTTTAATGGATATGGGAGAAATACCCATATTCTCCTTCAAAGCAGTCGATTCACTTGTCCCTGGGTCTGTAGACAAGGCGGGGACTTTGGCCGGCGTTGCTCCGTCTTTCTAGAAATTCGAATCAATTTTTATGATCTTACAGATATGAAATTCTCGCGTTACTTCTTCTCCACTTGCTGTCTTGCGCTTTTTCCCCTTTTTCTTCGGTCCTTCTTCCGTAGATTTCGCAACATCGCCAGACTCACTATTTTTCTAAATATGCGCCATTAAAAAACAAAAAGAGCGTATCAACAACTCACCTCTAACTTTTTATCAGCCTTTTTCGCTTTTTTACCCTTCTTCGGAATGTTTTCCGTCGGTTGTTCTTCAGTTTCGACAGCTTTAACTTTCTTCTTCTTTTTCTTGTTCTCCTTTTCGAAATCCTCGAACACTGGCTCAAAACCAATATCCTCCGCCATATCTGTAAATATCCTAGCAATAAAGAAGCCTTTCAAACATAAATTAATAAAGAATAAAATATTTAAAAAAATAGAAATTTAACGTAATAAAAAAATTGTGCGCAACGGCAGAAATTCGCAAAAATGTGTGCACGCCGCTTGCTGTTTGGCCCCTCCCAAGACAATTTCAAAATTTTTAAAACTCCAAAAATTAAAATTTTTCCGGTCTTTTTCACTATTCTTTAATTTTTCCAATTGTTCAATTTGCTTGATTAAAGCTCCAAGGAGTGAGGATGGAAAGGCCTTTTTTGTGTTGCTTGATTTTATTGATTATTTCGCCTTTTCTGTTCACAGACGCCGGAAGGGAAGCGTCCCGGATACCGGAGAACTGTGATGAATTTAGTGATTCTATAAGACATTTAAGCATTTCAAATTGCTCTCTCAAATTATCTAAGTACTTCTTTGTCGTTCGAGAGCGTTATTTTTTTTTAAAGATTGCCAAAGTTAACTACTTTCCATTTTGATCTAGGGGTTTTCCTTCTGATGACCGCTGCTATCCCAAGAGGATCTTGGGTCAATTTGTACAAGCAACTCCAACGCGAAGCCAAGAAGGTTAGCGTCATTATCATTGGTTTAAAAAAGATAATTATTTTTCAGTTCCCTCAATACAACTACCGCGTTTTCGCCCAACGACGCGTTCGTGAATATTTTGAGGTGAACAAGAGCCAGACCGACACTCAGAAGCTTGAAACTCTCTACAAGGTTCTGCAACTGCTTTTTGTATTATTCATAGTTTTTTTGACTTTTTAAGGAAGGCCTACGGAACTTGGAATCTATCAAAAGGCAGGTTGCCATCGGAACCCTTTATCCTCATCAGCAAACCGTCGTTGAGCAGAAATTAAACAGTAAGCTTTATAAAGAATTTTTAAATGCTATATAATCTTTTTCAGAGCTTTAAAAATGAGAGAGTGTAAGAAGTGTCGTTCTAATGAATATACAAACAAAAATCTCGTGATGATGATCAACGAATGTGGGCACCCACTCTGCAAGTAAGAGTCGATTCATCGTTTTCTTGAGTTCAAAATGATATTTTTGTCTTGTTTTGGAAAGCTTCTTCTTGGAGTGTTCATAGTCTGTTACTGTTCATGCTTAGAATCTTCAGAGGGGTCCCTATAGGGGCAACCTTGGGGGCCCTAAACCAGCCTCCATAGTGGTAACTAAAGATTGCAAAATTGGTCCCTATAGGATTATGATGGTTGATAATTGTTTTGAACTTCAAGCGAAGAAGCGTTTCCATGCGAAAAACTGAATAAATGAGCTTTTGAATGAGACACCCCTATAGGGCCACCTTAATTCTACCTCTATGGGACCACTTTTTCGGCCCCTTTAAGGGTTGTTTTACTTCCCTAACCCTATAGGGACCACTCTGGAATCGCTAAGTATAGATCTTTTCATTTCATAGTGGTAAAATTTGATTTATAGCTATAAAAATTCAGTTAGGAATTGATAATGGTTAGAATTAACAGAAAAGTTGAAGTTTTAGTTAACTTCAGAGTTTCAAAAAATCTCTCGTCCTTTTTTCCAAGCCAATGATGAATGCTTCATATTTCGATTGAAATCCAGAAAATGATTCCAGAAATTGCGTCGAGAATCTTTTCGCCCGTAATTCTGGCAACTGCCACGTCTGTAGTAGATTATTGAAGAAAAACGGCTACCGTGAGCAAATTTTCGACGATCCTTTGATCGACAAGGAAACTGCGATCCGCCGACGTCTTCGCAAAGTTTGAAACTAATTCAAAAACTAGATAATTTCACAATTTTTCAGATTTACAACTTGAAAAGGGACGATTTTCCGACTCTCAGAGAGTTCAATGATTATCAGGAGAGGTTCGGAAAAATTTAACTTGACGATCTTTAAGATTTGAATTTGTGGTCTATAATCTTGTCTTTGAAACCGATGTTTCTGAGACGAATGCTGAAATTCAAGCCTTTGAAGAGAAAAAAACAAGGACACGATTGAAAGGAATAAGCGGCGGTTCGATTAAATTTTGAAGAAAAAAGGGAAAAATAATTATTTTAAGCCTGGACGAGGACCAAAAATGGATCGAGGATAATTTGAGAGACGAAAGGGCCATGAAAAATCGTATCAATGAGGTTTTGGCGCAGGAAAGTGTGAGTTTTGTGGGATTTTCTTCGAAAAGTGATATTCCAGATTTTTAGGGAAAAATTGATAGTTTCAGAAAACGTGTTAGGAAGGCTTAAGTTTCCTACAAACCTCACTCAAGCCAATAAATTTTAAATTTGGCCCAAATTTTGATGTTTCTTACTTTATTTTTTGGAAAAAAAGCGATTTTTTTACTGTTATAAAGCCATCCTGGTTAGCTAGTTTCGGTGTGAAAATTTATTTATTACAACTCCAGAAAGCCTCCGAAAAGTTGAGTTTTTTTTTTTTGAGAAAGTTGTAATACAAAAAGCGTTTTTTCTTCGTATCATTTTTGATGCAAATGTATTGAATTCCGAAGTTGGGGATTTTCATTCGGCCAGATTGCTTTTTGAAGCACCAGAAGACGATCCTGAAAGTCATGATCTTCGAAAATTCCAAGTTTTCGAAAAAGAGCCGCAAAACGGACCATTGTACAAGCTTTTGATGATTTTTGGATTTTAGGCTGTCTTTCATGAGAAATGGGAATTTTCTATTTGTCTAGATTACTTTTTGAAGTACCAGAAAAAAAAACCCTGAAAGTCTCAATCTACAAAGCTTCTCCGATCTCGACAATGAAGGGCTCAAAATTGCAAAAAGGACTACTCTTACAAGCATTGTATCCTCAGAAAGAAAACGAAAATACGGCGGTGACGGACACGAAGGCGATCATGGAAGAACTTCGAGAATCCAACGTCGCCGCTGAGATTATTCTGGATCGTGAGAGGAAGCGGCAGATTGAGAAGGAACTCGAGGAGAAGGAGGAGCAAGAAAAGAGGAAACGGATCCATAAAGGTGGAGTTTGATAGTATGATTACTGATAATGGGATAGTTTATTATAGTTATATGAAAAATCGCTATATTTTTCGTGTTAATTAATATAATATTTTGATTTTGGGATGATTCTTAAATGTATTTAAGGCAAGGAATATTAAAAATGAGTCAGAATTTAGTTTTTAGGCCGGTTCAAAGATTAAAAAAATAACTATTTTTCGCGGTTGATGAAGTTCACGTTGAGTAGTACCACGTTGCTTTTTAATCTCATTTTTCATTTTTTTGTTTCAAAAATCTTTAATTCTTTTGTTCAAAGTAGTATAGAAATGACCGCTAGAGAGAGAAGAAGACAACAAGAATTTAGGAAAGTTAGAGATCATTTTGAAGTTAGTTCGAAAACAACATGATAATTTTTTTGAGTAAATTTAGGCCATTTTTGAGCCCAGTTGTGAGATTTTGAGTTTATATCGTGGAATAGAGATTTTAGAATCATTTTGAAGTTGTTTTCATTTTTTCTTATTCCAGAACTTCTGCAAGACCGGAAGAGACACGCCGAAAGTATGTCTTTCACGTCGACGATGCGCGTCGCTGGACGTCCTTATACTCATCAGGTTGATCATTTTTCGAAATTACAGGGAAAATTCTGTAATCAATCAATATATTTGTGTTTTTGTGATTCATATATGTATAGCTGATCCACGGTAAGCTTGAGCCATCAAAAAAGGGTCCTCCTACGACTCGTTTTTTTTTTGCGCGTAGATCATCCAGATGCGCCTTGACAAGCTCAGAAATCAGCGGGTTTGTAGTTGAAGACCGGGGGCTAGGTTTAGCTGATTCACGGCTAGCTTGAGCCATCGAAAAAAGGGTCCTGACACGATAACAAAATGATCTCTAACTCTCCAAAATGCTTATTGTTTTTTTCTCTCTCACACGAGACAGCGCCTGGCTTGTGGAGAGCGCAGACAGGCCACATTTTCTCAGTGTCTCAAGCTAGCCGTGAATCAGCTAGAAGCCTCGAAACGAGAGGTATGACCCCAGAAAAGTGAAGACTCCGCGCGGAAAAAACGAAAAATGTTCGAAGAAAGAGTTCTGTGCGCGAAGATGTACTACAATCACGACTAAATCGGATACATAGTAGCCTGTCTGCGCTCTCCACCAACCAGACACTCTCTCTTTTCTTATCGCGTCAGGACCCTTTTTTCGATATCTCAAGCTAGCAGGGATCAGCGATGACCTTGATCGAAGTTTTTCAAACTTTCTTTAAATGTACTCGGACCTTGGTAATGCGAAACGGACGTGCTCCGGCGATTCTAGGATCACTTAAGAGTGCTGAGGCTACTAAAGTGGTCACTGGAAACGCCCCGACACGTCCGATTCGCGTTCCCAGTCGCGTTACAAAGGTGTACAACAAAATTTCAAATTTATGGCTTTTTCTAGTTTTTTTTTTTCATTTTCAACGTTGATAAATTTTAAATTTTTATTACATTTCGATAAAATCAATCATTTTCAGCCCCTCGACTTGGTTATCAATGGTCCAACTTTGCCTTCGATGAAAGATATCGAGACGATGGGTTATTTGACCCATATGAAAGCTGCTTCAGCGGTGAGTGGCCTTTTTTGGAGTTTGAAGCTTTTCTGGGAGAGTTGAGAGTTCAGAAAATTGGAAAATTTTGATTGAATGTTAATCGTTTTCTGTTTAGCCTGGAGCAAAAACCCCACGCTCTTTGGAAAACGAACTCTTGGTGTGTTTTCGAAAAATCCCCCACCCCCTTCTGTTGTGCTAAATTTTATTCTTCTCCGTAAGATGGAAAAACTTTTCCCCTACATTTATTTGATTCAAAAAAGAGAAATTTTCCAGGGCCGAGTCGCCGGCGGCTACACGAGCTCACTCGGCTGCATGCGGGCCATTTTCGAAAGTCGCGTCGATCTTTTGGCTTTTTGAAACAAGAAAAAGAACCTCATTCTCCTCCCTTCTATTGTTGTATCCTATGTATTTTCGTGGTTGTTTGTATTTTCTAGTCTGAAATAAATGATAGGATTTTGAAGTTTTTCGATTTTGTTGTTACTGGTTGCTTCCAGTTGATCTTTATTTGTTCAGATTTTTTTTTAGAATTTCTGGATTTTTTATGGAGGGTGCAAGTTCGCTCCACTGCGAAAAAAGGAATTTATCGAATTAAGTGAAAAATTCCAAGCTTTTTACTCTCTTCGAATGTACTCGGACCTTGGTAACGCGAAACAGCCGTGCTCCGAAGATTCTAGGGATCACTTAAGAGTGCTGAGGCTACTAGAGTGGTCATTAGAAATTCCCCGATTTGTCCGATTCGCGTTACCAAGGTCTGAGTAGGTTGAGCAGAAAAAAATTAGCCGTGGAGCGCATATAAACGGCTTTTAGAATGGATCTGATTTTTGATTCTGCTTTTTTTTAGATTTTTTTAAGGCGTCAGATTTTGGTACTTCTTTTTTTAAAAAATTGATTTTTGATTTTTGAGGTGTAGAAAAAAAGCGCTCCTTGGCGAAAATTGAAGATTGATCGAATTGTAAGTACCGATGATACAATAATTACAAAAAAATGGAAGTTTAGCGAATTTAAGAGTGTATCCAAACGTTTTTGAATGAAGAATGAAGTCATAAAAAAATAATTGAGACTTTTTTTTCTCAAAAATGGCATTTTGGAGTTATCGAGTTTTTCGTTGTAGTTGTTACTGTTTTCTTCCAGTAGATCTCCATTTTTTAAGGAAAATTCGATTTTTATTGGATATGTAGGAAAATTTGTTTTTAAACATAGGTTAGGTTGGAAAGGGTGAAAAAGGCTTCATAAAAATGTCCCTTTTTGGGTTCCTTTGGGTTCCTTATGCACCATTTTAGCTGTCTCTCCTTTTTTCCACCATTTCTTGAGCCTCAGAAAAAATGGAAAGCTTGATAAATGGACTCTTTTTTCTGCCTTTCTGCGGGCTTTTTTGAACCTCTCCCTTTTAGCGGCCATTCCGACTTTGCCCGAGTAATCATTTTCTGTGGTTCAGAATGCAGGACAATATGATAAATACGGTGTGCCAGGCGATAACGACCCTCTACTCGGGGTCGAGCACCGTCCATGAGGAGCAGTACTTCCTGAAGCAGTTCCAGGAATCGGTACGGGCATTTTGTTCGATTGGAGATCAGAAAAATCAGAAAAACCTTCATAGAATTCTTAAAAGAAAATGCTCGACGCCAACATTTTTCAGGTAGAAGCATGGACGGTCTGCGACGCCATTATCGCGATGCACCAAAATTCGCTCGCCGTTTATTTTGCCGCCCAAACTCTCAGGACAAAGGCATGTAGTTTTTTATTGATTTTCGGGTCTTGTATGGAAAATTATTGAGCTTTTATGGTCACCATGGTTATAGTGGGTTGCGCGGAAGAAGCTCAGAAGAAAAGCAGAAAAAAAGCTACCGTAAACCTAGTTTATTTTCTTGCACTTCTGCTCTACGAAAGTCATTAACAAAGGTCTCGAAGCGAAGATTGGTATACGGTATTTTTGTAAAGAAAAAAAAGGGGATAAGCTTCTGCGGAATGGACTGTGAATGCTCAGATTTATTGTTCACAACACTGCTAAAAGGTTTAGAGATTAAAAAAGGGAAAAAATACCAAGATTAAGTACTGAAACACATTTTCGGTCATTGATTTTTGTCCAGGTTTGGCAAAGTTTTCTGTAAATTTGTAAAAAGCCACCAAAAAACTGTAAAAAAAGTTTTGAAGTGAATTTCCGTCATTTTGGTATACGGTACTTTTTGCAGAAACTGGCAATTTTTAACGATATTTAAAAAAGAAGCCTTCAGCTGTTCTCATTTATCTTTCAGAACCGTTTAGCTTTCATTAATAAACTATTCAAATTTCGCAAATTCAAATAACGTTACAGAGTGGGAAAAATGAATGAGTTTTGAAAAATTAGAGATAATTTTTATTTCCACCATAAGCCCCTATGGGGACCACTTGAATTTTACCCCTATATGGGCAATTTTCCATCTAACCCCTATAGTGACCACTTTAATCGTACCCTATAGGGGTATTTTTTTCCCTCTAATCCCTATAGCGACCACTCTGGCTTTTCTAAGTAGTAGAGAATTTTTGGGATATAACAGAAAAAAATTAGAGATAAGGATTTCGGAACACTTGAATCCACCCCTAGAGGGACAATTTTCCACGTTTTTACAAACTTTTTCTTCAGATTTCGAAGCAATTCCGACAACTGCCTCCCGAAAGCTACATCCCTCTGAGAGATTCGCTTATCAATCACTTGAGGTTAACCCAAAAAAGGGTTCCGAAAAGGCGTTTCCTGTCCAGAATCCACGGCAAAACGACGCACGACGACCAAACCGAAGCGATTTCGACGCAACTCTGCGTCGCCGTCGCCGATCTCTACATCCAGGTGCCCCAGTGGACCAATTGGATCGCCGGACTCATCAATCAGTTGGGAAATCGTCGAGTCCTGTTGAAGATCTTTAGCTTTTTCCAGATTCCACCAGCTGGAAGGCGACCGGACTGCCACCCTCTTGACTTTGCTTCGAGTTTTTCCCGAGGAAGTCGAGGAGGTTTGGGATTTCAGAAAAATAAAGCCGAAAAAGTTGGAAAATCTCCATTCTTTGAGAAAAACAAGAAGAGAGAGAAGTAGTAGAGTATTAAAAAATTGACTCTTCGGACTTTTTCTAACTACTCCCTTCAGTCACGCGAAAATAATAAAAAATTTCAAGTTAAAATTCCAAAATAATTGCCGTTTTCGGCTCTATCAAAGATTTTTTTGTATCCCTGGGAAAAAAAATTTTTCGAAAAGTGAAAATTCTTTGAAAAGACTGTTGAATAGAAAACGTTTTTTACCCCCCGGTTGAACTTCTGCTGAAACTTTGCTGAAGTGTACTTTAGGACCCCCTGATTGCAGAACAGAAAGAAAATTTCTCGCAATAAATCTCGTTTTCGAGTTAAGACACTCCAAAAGCCCGAAATAGCGCTTTTTTGGCTTAATTTGCGTATTTTGCACATTTTGAAGCTCCATAACTCGGAAACGATTGTTTTTCTTTATCTGTAAAAAAAACGCTCCCTGAGAAAATAACATTTGACATTTTTTAACATTTATTCAGTCCTCAGAGTAATCATGTATCTGCTGAATCATGGAATATTTGAAGAGATGTTTGTCGGTTCGCGCAACTGAGAAAAATAACAAGAAGCCTTTAATTTTTTTCGGATTAGATGCTTGTCGCAATTCTGAAAAAAAGATTGGAAAAATTCAAATAAAAATACAATTTCACTATTTAAAGTCAGGGACTTTTTAAAAAATCCATTCAATTATTTTTTTCTCATTCCTGCAAAAAAAGATAGAAAAAAACTCAAATAAATTCCTCACTACAAAAATCTTCTAGAAAGTATTTTTTTCTTGTAGAAATAGTCATTTGAAAAGCGTTTGGAACGTATCTGTTCTGGCTTTCTCGTGTTTTTTCTTTCTAGTTCTAATTTAGTCTACTTGCTTTCAATTAAAAAGTTTTGGTCGCACTGAGAATGGCTCAACGAGTAACGCAACTCTTTGTGAAAACTGTATATTCTATTTTTCTTCCAGCAAGCTGGAATTGGAGAAAATCGTCGTGATGTCGTGCGGAAAGAGCTGGCGGAAAGTGGGAAAAATATTCTGACTTTTCTGGTAACTTGAAAGATTAAAAAATAATTATGAAAAATATTCAGACCCACGTCTTTGCAACATATCAAAATAGTACGGATATGATCAAAAAGGTGATTTTCACATGAATTTCTGGGCAATAAAGGACATTCCAAGGTTTTGTACTGCTTGAACTCGACGATCAGCAACCCGCTTTTCTTCACCGACGATTTCGCCACGAGCCCCCTGTTGCAGTCGGTTTTCCAGATTGTGGTGGGTTTTGAAAAGATTTTTTATTTGAAAAAAAAAACCGAGAATTTATCCGAAATCCAAAATTTTTTTTCCCAAACATTTTACAGGTTTTTAAAGCGTGGAAGGGGTCCTAAACTTGGTTTTTCATCTTTTAAGCTTTAAAACATTTTTGTCGCCCTTATAGGGGCAACCTTAGGGCCCTTGAAAGTTCCCCTTAAGCTTGCAAAAGTGGTCCCTAAGGGGACATGCTATTTGACAATTGTTATAACTCTAAACGAAGAAGCATTTCCATGTGAAAAACTGAATAAATAAGCGTTTTTTGAATGAAATTGAAAGACCCCTATAGGGTCCACTTGAGCTTTAGGGACTAAGGCATCAGACCCCTAAAGACCACCTTAGTTTTACCCCTATAGGGACGACTTTTTCGACCCCTACAGGAGCTCTTTGTTCCCCTAACCCCTATAGGGACCACTCTGCAATTCTTAAGTGTGGGGTGCACTTTTCTCATCCCTACAGCGTCTGTTTTTCCCCTAACCTTCTAAAGGGACCACCCTGCCGTTCTCAAGTATGTCCTATGTCACGATTTAAGGCGACGACGTCTCCCCAACTGCCACCGTCGCTGCACGAGGTGGCGACTGAAGTCATCGGCTCGGCTCTGCTTCGCGTCGAGCAAATCGAGCAGAACTATCCGCTGGCCAAGATCCTCCAAGTGGTCCGTATTCACACAACCCTCAAAATTCCCACCCAATTCCTTATCAGGCCATCCTCCAGCTCTACCCTGCCTTCCAAGCCGCCGCCGAGCTTGAGGATCTTGACAAGTTTGAAAATGATATCATGAAAAACATGGTCCTCTATTAAAGATTGCACAACTTCACTCGGTTGTTCGTCGAGATGAACGAGTCGTTTTGCGTGAAAATGGCCGCCGAAGCGCCGACGGATCCCAGTGAAATCGGAAACCTTGCCTGTCTGGAGCTTCTTCTTCTCGTTGCAGAACATCACGATTTCACGGTGAGTGGGAAGAGAAAAACAGCAATAAGAAAGAAGGACAGTGAGTGTTAGAAGTTGAAGAGACGCCAGAGAAGTTATGAATTTTTTTCCTGACTTTCAGTAGGTTTTAAAACAGGATTGAAGGTCATACAGTAGGTTAGAGATCAACGGTTCTATAAAGAGAGAAAGAGAGTTTTACTACATCTTCACTACGCAATAAGAAGAAAGGAGAGCGAGTGTTCGAAGTTGAAGAGACGCTAGAGAATGAGAATAAAAGATACTTCTCAGGTTGAAAGAGACGCCAGAGAACTCATAGATTTGACTATCAGTAGATTTTTAAAACTTAGAGTTAAAAAGATCATACAGTAGGTTAGAGAACAACGGTTCTATAAAGAGACGCCAGAGAAAGAGAATTTCACTACATTTTCAATACGCAATAAGAAGAAAGGAGAGTGAGTGTTAGAAGTTGAAGAGACGCTGGAGAATTAATACATTTTTTTTCTGACTTTCATTAGGTTAAGACTCAGGTTTGAAGAGTAGGTTAGAGATCAACGGCGGTCTAAAGAGACTCCAGAGAAAGAGATTTCACTACACCTTCCCTACGCAATAAGAAGAAAAGAGATGCCAGAGAATGAGAATAAAAAAAATACTTCTTTGGTTAGAAGAGACGTCATAGTCATGCATTTTTTTTTCATGCCTTCAGTAGTTTTGAGAACTTATAATTAAAGAATCATACAAGAGGTTAGAGATCAAAGGCGGTATGAAGAGAGGTCAGAGAAATCATACCCTTTTTTATTGTGCGTCTCTTCTGATCGCTGCTGTCTTCAGAAGGTTCGAAAGCTTGGGATAACAGTAGATTAGGGATCAGCGGTGGCCTGAAGAGACGTCAGAGAAAGAGAATATCCTAACGTCTCTACCGTCTCTTCATCTCTTTGATCTCTCGCTTGAAGTTTCTGCTTTTTTGTTTCATAATGAGAGATTATAAAGCGAATTTTTAATGTTTATGTTTTGAAACAGAAAGTTTGATTTTCTTCACTCGGTCATTTTCGAAGTTGAATCAATTCTTTCAAAAGATTAGCCTCAGATTAAGAAAACTTCATTTTTTAAATTTTTCAAGGAAAAAGAATAATTCAGGGCGTCTTCATAATTTCGCGACATTAAAATAGTTTTAGCGATCTGAAATTTTGGCTAGAAGCTTCAATTTTGTGCAGAAAAAGTCAGAAAATCCTTTAATGTATGATATTTCAACGGCTTGAAAGAATAGCCTTGCTTGAAATTTCGTCTCTGACCGCGAAATCAGCTTCAATTTTTGTTCCAGTTGGTCGACATGTCCTTCAATGTTTGGTACCGTATTTCTGAAGAGCTGTTTCGCATCAACGACGATGATCATATTGCCCGATTCCGACCTTATGTTAAAAAGTAGAAAAAGAGAAAAATCATTAATTGAACTATTGATCCAAATATTTGAGATATATCATGTCCTTGTACCGACATTGCCGCTTGGATACCGATGAAACGGACGCTCCGGAGCCGAATTCGGATTTCGCCGAGTTCCGGTTGAAGGTAGAAACGACCTTTCGATTCGATTTCACCCTTTTTGAGATCAAACTAATATTTTAATGGATCAAAAGTATTGAGAAAAGTCTTAAAATGCCTAAGGGCATGCTTTTTCCGAAATTTATGGGGCTGGAGGTCATATTGATTAGTGACGTTATGGCCTGTGATACAGTACGATGAGGCTGACCGTAGAAAACATGAATGAGGAAATTTTAACTTTTTGGAAAGATCACAAAAAGTTTGAGACTCTCAAGTTCAAAACTGCCTGTATTTTTCTTATAATAAAGGGTGTTTAAAGAAGATGAGATATCAAGAGAGATTAGACAACTAGACTGTCGCAGATTGGTTCAAAAACAGGAGTATTTGAGTTGTCGTTAAACGAACTGAAAGTTTTTCTTACCATCTTTTGAAAATATGCATTTTGTTGAACTTGGAATTTCCAATTCTGTCAGAAAAATTACGAAAAAAAAGCTTTTTTGATTTTTTGTGTGAAGTTCGAGCTTCTAAACATTTTTTTACGTTGTAATATTTTTGGTTGAATTTTTTTGTTTTTGTTTTGTTTCTGTTTGTAGGAAAAAAGTAGCTTCAAAAAGTTCCATACAAGGAAGTTGTGTCCAGAAAATTTTTGCGCTGTTTTGAACAGATTATACCTGTTTCACGGCTGGCGTGAACAATCATAAAAAAAGTCCGGACACGATAATAAAAACAGATAGTTCTGGTTGGAGAGAGCGCAGACATGCCAAGTTAGCCGTAAATCGGCTATACAGTAGAATTTGTTTGAAAACCTGAAAAACCACCTTTTTCAGGTCATCGACACCCTCCGGGACGTTGTTTTCATCGTTCATACTGACGAGTGTTTGAGAATGGTTATTATATTTTTATCCGTCAAATAATTGGGAGTTCTGATTAAGGTGTTCTCCCTGTTGAAAGAAAATTCGGCGAAACCGCAGTCGACCTGGGACGAATGCGAAGCGGCGCTCTTTCTCATGTCGGCCGTTGTTCAGAATTTGATGCCGTTAGTGTTTTTTTTTTCCATCTTGGAGCTGCCGGCAGGGCGCCCCGGTAAAAATGACCCCAAAAGTGTGAAGTAAGAAGAAAAAAAGGCTTTTTTGACAAAATGAGCGCTTAGCCGCTCGGGTCCACTTGGGGCCAACCTTGGGCGAATGTCGGCCTCCAGCCCGCTCGGGGCACGTTACGGTAGTCCCGGGCTGCCCGACTTTCACCACAACTTGAAGCAGTCTGACTTCTCTGCGCTCTCATTTCTCTCATCTCCTACGTATTAGTTTTCGGAGACTCACAAGGATTTCCGAGCGAAATAGAATGTAAAAAGAAGAGATTCAAGCCTCTAGAGTTAAAAAAAACTTGAGACCGGCTTTTTGGGCAGCGAGTTAGTGGGGGATGAGGTACTGCAGGAAATCCTTTTTTTCGAAAATGAGGGTTTATAAATTTATCGGAATTGGTAGCTTTTTAAGGGAACAACAGAAAATCTGAAATCGAAAAATAATTATTCGGTAATGTTTTTGTTACATCTCGTAGAGATCGAAAAATTTGTATCAAAATGTAGCTGAGAATGAATCTTTGCTTCATTGGAAATTTGTATAAAGCGACTCTTCAATCTCAAAAATTAATTCTTCAGAGATCATTTGACTTATGGAAAAGGATGAAAATTAGAGATGACTATTATTTTTTTGTAAATTTGACAGAGTCAGTTTTTAGTGAAGACGACGGAGTGATGCCGGAACTGCTCCAAGCGATCGTCTCCCTGCCGGTGACGTCACATCCCGCCATAATTCTCACCTGCACCAGTCTCATAGGAGACTGCAACGAGTGGCTCGAGAAACATACCAACTTTGTTGGTGCGTTGTGTATGTTTAGGGTTATTGGGATTTGATGAGGGTTGTGGGCTTTTATTTGAAGCAAAGGTCTTTCTGAGGGCTGGAATGTAATTTTTAACTGGGTATCTGAAAATTTGGATCGGCAAATCGAGCCGCTCACTGAAGAGAAATAATGGTTCCTTCTCAGAGCCAACGATCCGATGGCTGCTCAATTTCGTTGGTCAGCCGCGGTACGCGGCTCGTGTCGCTGAGACTATCGAAAATGTAAGTTTATTAAGGTTTTCAAATGCGGTGTTCCTAAAAAAATGAGAAGAAAATTGACTCAACCAAAAATGATTTTTATTTTTTCTAACTTTAAGGTCTCGTCCAAATGTGCACGGGAGATGACAGGAGTGGTGCCGGAACTTCTGAACTTCATAGAGATTCTCGAAAATGCGAACACTCTGGGATCTCAAGTCGAAGAAGCTATAAATCATCTTCTCAAAGGTCTCAGAATTTACGATTGCGTGAGAAAAGACTTTTTTGATGAAAAATCCGATGCTTTTGAAAGTCCTGATAATCGGTTTTTGTAAAAAACTAGTGGAACTTTAGCTTCTAGAAAGTATCCGGGTCGAGTAAGGTTCAAGAAAATCAAACCTCAAAAGGAAGTTTTGACCAAAAAAGTCGCTTTTTCGTATCTTTCCAGACGCTCTTATGAATAAACATTCAAGTAAGGAACTGAAAAGTGAATTTTAGCCTGCTCGACCCTCATCTTCACCATGGAATACCAGCAGACGAAACTCGGCGTCGAGAGGCTCTGTCTTCCGATTATTGAGAACTTGCAGAAGGTTCATTTCAGAAAAAAAAATTCTCACCATGAACCACACAAAGTTGACTTTTATTGAATGAAAAAGTTGAATAGAAAAATAGAAAAATAGATACCAGGAACGGGCAAATACAGAACTCATTCAGGAGGAGGGGTTAGCTTACGATAACTATCGAAAATCAAGTTTCAACCTCAGGGAGGTAGTTTTGGCCACAATGATAAAAGTTTCAGCTTCAGGGAGGTAGGATTTAGGAAATCTTGGGAGGAGCTAAGGAACTCCAGAATAGTCCCTTCAGGGGCAACCTTAGGGGCCCTTGAAGAGTCCCTCTAGGGACAATTTTACCAAGCCCTATGTAGACCCCAAACGCTTGAAAAGTGGTCCCTATATGGGTTTCAGTTGGTGACCCCTAGAGGGAACATGCTAGTCGATAAATTTTATGAGCTCGAAACGAAAAAGCGTTCCCATGCGAAAAACTAAATAAATAAGCGTTGTTTGAATACAATTGAAAGACCCCTATAGACATCATTTGAGCTTTAAGGGCTAAGAGGTCAGACCCTAAACTCCAAAATGAACGGCTTTTTCGACCCCTATAGGGCTTGTGAATCCCGCTAACCCCTATAGGGATCACTCTAAAAATCTTGAGAAGTTGGCGGTATTTAAAAATGGTCTGTCCATGTATGATAGTTACCATTACCCTGCTCCCCCAGAGTGGCCAATTCTGCAAGTTTTAGTGATCCTACAGGGGTAAAGTGGTCCCTAAAGGGGGAGGCTTTAAGGGCCCTAGTATTGCCCCTTTAGGGATCACTCTGGCATTTCTAACCAGTAAGAATTGCCATTATTTTTTTCAGAAGATTCTTTTGACCTTAGAAATACTTTTTCACCATGAGAAGAAAAAGTTTTTTTGAGCTTTTTCAATCAAATAATTTTAAAAAAATACCTCTTTTTAGGATTTTTTTCTGGTTTATTAGGTTATCAGGTTCTTTATTATTTAGAATTTTTCAGTAATTTTCATGACATTCTCCAAAAATCATCATTTATTTAGGCGATGCGAGCATCAAACGAAATCGAAAAGATAGAAAACAAGGAGAACGAAACGGCGACGGACACGTGGGCGCGACAAGCGACATCGCCGATCCTGTGGATCGATCGCGTCGCGTCGATTTTCCGCGAAGTTTGGAAGCCGGTAATTGTTGATATTACGGTGGTTCTTGAGAAATTCGCGTCGTTTTGGTCCTTCTTTGGTTTTTTATAGAAAATGTTTATTGAAATAATATGTACCATTGGAAAGGTCGTATTCTTTTTCGTATATGGTTTTCCAATGGTTACTTTGTTTTTTTAAAAAAATTTAAGTTTTTCATAAAAACGCGCAATTCTTTTTTTACTCGTTCTGTCACTTTTTGAAGAAAGAAGAGGTCAAATTTGACAGGCCCCTGGTCCAAATGTTCCCGACGCTCCGTGGCTAGAGGTCGCCAAGGGATTGTTCCAAGTTCTGCTCCAGGCCATGAACCAGTACAGCGACAAGGTGCGGCATGTCGAGCACTGCTGCCGATCATTGAGGTATACGAAAGAGTTGAAAAAAACTGTTCACAAGTCCAAACGACCTCAAAATGTCTTCAAAAAGAAGAGTCTAAATTTCTTTTTTGAGTTCCTAAAAATGTTTCAAAAGTTTCTCGGAATCTTCTTTCTTTCACTTTTTTTCCACCTCATTCTTTTCTTAAAGGTCCTTTCCAGAAAAAGGTGCCTTTGAGGCCTTTTTGGAGGCTTTTTTTCTGATAGTCCTTTTTCAGACCCCCGTGCTGGTAGGGCTTTTTATTTGGTTTAAAAAGGCTTTTTAAAAACTTTCATAGGCTTTTTAGAATCATTCTAAAGTAGAAAAATGATTTCCTTTTTCCGAGCATTTTTCTTTTAGGAATAAATTGATTAAAAAGTATCTGACAAATAAAAACGTAAGATTTGAGCTTCCTTTGTATTGCTTTTCATTTTTCAACGGTTTTCAGAGAAATTTTTCTAAGATGATAAAAAATAAAGTTTGAATTTTTGCTAAAAAGCTCGTTATAGAAAAGTTGTTTTAGGACATTTTTCCCAATTTTTGTTTTCTGCCTCATTTTCTGTGTCTCTCCTAATATCTTTGTTTCATGGATATTTCCGATTTGATCAGATCTGAGAATTTTTAAAGGTTTACTCTGGGAAAATTAGATTACGATAAGCTATTTTGTGTAAACATTTTATGTTGGCTGAAAGTTAAAATTGAGTTTGTTTTTGGTAGAGATACAAATTTACATATCATGAATGGAAATCTCGAAATTCACTGTTTTACGAGGACATAGGACAGCAAATTTTTTACTTATTTCGAAGATTTGTGATTTTTAAGGTACCTGGTCCGATCCTTGGGCGTACAATCGTCAATTTTCGTTGTACCGCTTGTAAACTCGGTAATTTAAAAAAAAAGTAAGAGACATCAAAATATGATCTAAGATGGTGAATACGTACCGTCGGTACCAGCACTCGTGTATCCTCTACCTTTCCTCGGTTTTGGTCGATGAATACGGCTCTTTTGACGAGTCTCGACCCGTTCTGTTGGAGCTGGCTGTGGTGGGTCTCCAAGATGGTATTCCCGAAGAAGTTTGGAAGTTTTCAGGAACTTTTCGCCATATCCAGTCGATTGCTGAAGGAGAAGAACGGGTACATTGAACATCCGGACACGGTTGATGACTTGTTCCGACTTGCTGCGAGGTGGGGGACAAAGCGAGAGATCAGGAGCGTCCGAAGAGACGCCAGAGAAGCGGAGAATATTTTTTTTTTCTTTGGCGTCTCTTCGATTAGCGCGATCTATCGCTCATTGGTTTTTTGTTTTTGCAAGTGATCGTAACATAGTGAAGATGAGAAATCAAATTGAAGAAAGCGAGAGATCTGGGGCGGTCTGAAGAGACGTCAGAGAAGCGAAAGTACTTGTTTATCTGGCGTCTTTTTTATTAGCGTGATCTCTTACTCGTTTTATATTGCTTTTGCAAGTGGGATAAAACATAGTAACGACAAAAAGCCAAATTGAAGAAAGCAAGAGATCAGCGGCGGTCTGAAGAGACGCCAGAGAAGCAGGGCATTCTTGTTTCTCTGGCGTCTCTCCGGCCAGCGCGATCTATCGCTCATTGGTCTCTTGTTTTTGCAAGTGATCGTAACATGTTGAATGAGAAATCAAATTGAAGAAAGCGAGAGATCAGCGGCGGCCGGAGAGAGATTAGAGAAGTGGAGCATCCTTGTTCCTCTGGTGTCTCTCCGGCCAGCGCGATATCTCACTCGTTTTATATATTGTTTTCGCAAGTGTGGTCATAAATTAGTAACGACGAGAAATCAAATTGAAGAAAGCGAGAGATCAGCAACGAGCGAAGAGACACGAGAGAAGTAGGGCTTCCTTGTTTCTCTGGCGTCTCTTCGGTCAGTGCGATCTCTCTGTCATTTTCTCTAGGGTGTTTAAGATAGGAAAATTGCTGATAAGGAATTATGTTCCAAAAATATTCGAAGGACGGGTAAAACAACAAATAAAGCCCTAAAACGAATTTCAAAGGAAATTTCACTTCAGACTGGTCCTCCGAGCCCCGTCGGCCTTCTTCTCGCATCCGACTGGAATTGCGCCAGAACTCTACGCGGCGGCCATCGAAGGCCTCCAGTTGGATCACTGTGACGCCAACCGGAGCGTCACCAAGTTCCTCAATGAAATCATCGATCAGATCCTCATCGCTCGGAAGGTTTCGGATCCGTTTCGTCATACCGCAATTTGCATGAAAAATATAGAATTGCAAATCAAAAAAAAAAATCCAGCTGAACTGGGGGAACGGCTGGAGGAAAGGATTTTCTGAATAATTTTCAAGTTTCTTTGAGAAGATAGACGGCAGGCCAGCGCTCATACTTAGGATTTCCAGAGAGGTCTCTTTTAGGGGTTAGGAGGGAAAAAAAGTAACTATAATGGCCAAAAAAAGTAATCCCTATAGGGAAATAATAAAGGTGGTATCTATGGGAGTTTAGGGTCTTTTTGTTCGGGATGCATAATTTGGAATAACTAGATTTTTCATCAAAAATAATCAAGTAGTTTGAAATTTAAATAATAGCACCAAAGCCAAAAAAAAGAATATTTGTCAATGGCGCGAATTTTCCTTTACATTTTTTGTCAAAAAACAGTTTTTTTTTTATTAACAGATTTTCGTTCATATTTTTTTCGACACCTGGACGAGCAGCGCATTTTTTTTTCGAGTCGCGAAAAAAAAAACTTTTTTGCGGAACGAGAAACATGGAGCTTAGTCCATCTTTGGTAAGAAAAAGTTTTTTCTCAGAAAAACTACATGGACAACGGCGTGAAAGCGGCCATCGATCTCGTTTCGACCCAAGGAAAGGGAGTCGTCGCCTCGGCGCTGAACGCGGCTCTTTTCAAGGTTTTTCTCAAGTTGAAAAAAAGAAAAATGAATTGGTTTCGCAGCTGAGCGGCCAACTACGACGCGACATGGCCGAGGTGATCGCCTCCACCGGCAAATTCGACAAACAGGTGAGATTTTCCCAAAAATCGATAGGGTTTACAGACTTTCTGATCTTTTGAATTAAAATCTTGATTTTCTTTCTCAAAATGAGCATTTTTACGGATTTTTCATTTTAGAAACAACGAGAATGGCTGGTTTTTGCGGTGGCCAGCCTTCCGAATGAGCCGGTCAAGGCGACCGGCGAACAACTTGGCGCTTTCGTCGAGGGAATCGCCCATAAGTCAGTTTACTTTTTCAAACAAAAAGAGAGAAAAAATCAACTTTTCAGCGCCGAGAATTCGACATACTCCGTGTTTACGCAAATCAAAGAACTTATTAAGCTATTTTCATAGATCTTCTTTTTTTTTACTTATTGAGAAATTTTTAAGAATAAGATTTAGGACACTCTAACGTTAGCCATTTGATAGGATAGGAACGTGGGAATCGCGCTAGAGCGTAGCGAGAGAAGAGAGCGCAGACTGTTAGATTTTACAAAAATCTAGCTCGATTCCCATGTACATTTTCCATTGAGACACCTTAGTATACGACTTTTTTTTTACCTGTTCCCCACTTGATTCTTTCACCTGACTTATTAATTTATTTCCATTTTAGGAGTTTTTAAACTGCCACCGAGTTATTGTTACATTACGTGTAGGGAAATTGGCCGGCTTTTTAGGTCGTTTTTTTTGTTGAAAATCAGGACTTTCTAGACCCGAAAAACCGGCCCTTTTATTCATCTCGTTGCTCGTTTTACGTGTTGTGTAATTAGGATCCTTTAAACTATGTCATTCGCTAATACATCTTGTTATTCCTCTTTTTCTTCCTAGGGTTTTTTTTCTCTTTCTTCTCATTTACTCGGCCTTTATCGATAGAAACTTGTGTTGTAATATTCAATATTCAATAAACACACTTTTTGCATCTATTTTTTTTTCTCTCATTTGTTTTCTGTTGCTGAATGAAAAATGTACATTGATTATTCTACACGATCCCAAAAGTTTCGATCAACGTGAAGGACGTCATAGCAGCTTACACTTCTTGAAATAATAAATAATCGATAGAGCGTCAAAGATACATAAAATTCTCGAAAAATTATCAAAACATCTGAAGCTTTTGGATGAAGCTTAGTCAGTTGATAACCTATATCGTTTGAAAGCTGACGTTGAGACGAATCGAATGATGTAATCGGATAGGCTGTAGCTGCTCTGCGAGCCGAGATATAAGCGTTCAAACATTTCTTTAAAAATTGAAATTGCGCGTCAGATCAAATGTGTTGTGTGAAGTTGCGCGTAGGTTCAAGAGCTTGTCTGAGGCCCTCATCGGTGTGTTTCCTCGCGAAAAAGGAAAAGCTCAAAAAAAAGTTGATTATTTTCAAGTTCTTTCTAGTGGAATTGATAGAGAAGCTTCTATATAGTACGGTTATCATATTAGTTTGGAGGGAAAAGCTAAAAAATGGGGAAAAAAAGAGGTCCGAAAAAATTTCTTGTTTCGGACTTTCAAGCCTGATAACTTTGTTCATTTCAAAGCTACAGAGGAGATGATTATATCAATCGATTCGTCTCATCATCAGCTTTCCAATGACTAATGATTTTCAGAGATTGCAATAACTTGAATGACGTCATGGGGATTTATCAGCTTATATCTCAGCTTCTCCCTCAAAAGTGACGGTATAGCAATCTATCAATAAAGCGTCATAAGACGGATCCTTTGATTTGGTTGGTTCCCTGATAACTCATCATATCAACTAGTTGCAAGCTGAGATAAGTCTGATGCTTCTGGATGAAGCTTTATTTGATGATAGCCTGTATCATTTGATAGCTGATGATAAGACAAATCGATGAATATAATCAGTTTCTTTGTAGCTTCAAAATGAACAAAGTTATGAGGCTTGAAAGTCTGAAAAAGGCGGCTTTTTCGGACCTCTTTTTGTCTCAATTTTTAAGCTTTTCCCTCCAAACTGATATGATAACAGTACTATATAGAAGCTGATCTATCGATTTCAGCCGAAATAACTTGAAAACAACCAACTTTTTTTTCAGCTTTTTCTTTTTCGCGAGGAAACCACACCGATGAGACCCTCAGACGAACACTTGAACCAACGAGCAACCTCGGTCAAGACGTTTCATCCGACGCGCAATTTTAATTTTTAAGAAAACCTTTGAGAGCTTATATCTCGGCTCGCAGAGCAGCTACAGCTCATCTGATGATATCAGTCGATTCGTCTTGATGCCAGCTTTCGATTTATATAGGTTATCAGCCGATTAGGCTCTACCCAGAAGCTTCGAGCTTGCCTCAGCTTAAACCCGGTCAAAGAGAAATCTATCGACGTAGAATAATGTTTCGAGTTTAATATCCAAGTGAAACAGAGCATGAACACATGTCAGTCGAATTAAAGCCCCTCGATTTTTGCCATTTTTGGGACTTTGAAAAATCATAACTCGATTTTTAGGAGGTTGGAGACTCAGAGACCGAGTTTTTCCTGATCCTTGTGAGCTCCTCTATCCATTGATACCAATTTCGAGGAGTTTCGGATTTTTCAATCTGCAAGTTTGATCGCCTCTAACTAAGTTCCTAGTTGACCTACGGAGGTCAAACCTGGCCCCCGGTTATTCTTTCGACGAGATCTATCGATTGATATAGGTTTCATCCGGATCGGCTTCCATGACTTCAGAAGCTCGAAAAAAAGCCAAGGGGTTAGACTGTACTTTTTTCGATTTTCCTGAAAACCAAAGTTTTCGAGATTTTTACATCAATCGATAGGGAATGGAGTCAGAAGCTGGAAAATCCTGGTCAAAAAGTTCTAGGGTTTCTAGGAAAAAAGTTATGATGCTTCAAAGTTTCTTGATAATCATAGCTACACTCCTAGGAGGTTAGATACTTAGAGACCTAGTTTTTTTTGACCTCCTTGATCCCCTCTATCGATTGATACCAATTTCGAAGGGCTTTGGACTTTTCGATCTCCAAGTTTGATCGCCTCTAACTACGTTCCTAGTTGACCTACGGTGGTCAAACCTGGCCCCCGGTTATTTTTTCGACGAGATCTATCGATTGATATAGGTTTCATCCGGATCGGCTTCCATGACTTCAGAAGCTCGAAAAAAAGCCAAGGGGTTAGACTGTACTTTTTTCAATTTTCCCGAAATCCAAAGTTTTCTAGATTTTCACATCAATCGATGGGGAATGGAGCCAGAAGTCCGAAAATTCAGGTCAAAGTCTTCTCAGACGCTTAGAACCAAAGTTATGATTTTTCAAAGTTTATTATTTTTCATAGCTCGACTTCTAGGAGGTCAGGTATTCAGAGACCTAGTTTTTCTTGACCTCCTTGATCTCCTCTATCGATTGATACCAATTTCGAAGGGCTTTGGACTTTTCGATCTCCAAGTTTGATCGCCTCTAACTACGTTCCTAGTTGACCTACGGTGGTCAAACCTGGCCCCCGGTTATTCTTTCGACGAGATCTATCAATTGATTAAACCATTCGTTTTTGTTGCCAGCTTGCCAATGAATAAAATTAAAAATTCTATTACCAAAGAAAAAAAATTGTCCAACTTTTTTTTCTGCTTACCTCAGATCGTTCGGGATTTCGTTTTCAACGAATTACACTGCGTCAAAAATTTTTTTATTCATATTATCAAGTAATAATGCTACTCGTGCTTCTTGAACAAGTCGTATATGAACGGGATTGCAGTAAATGAGAAAAATCAGCAAAGTGACGCAATATTCAATAAGAAATATCCTCTATGGTAGCTGAATAAGAAGTGTGCGGTAGATTTGGGTATAATAAAATGCAATAAAAATGCGATAGAAAAAATGAACAATGAATGTGTAAAAATAGCCGCGAAAATAGGAAAATATTGTGCGCTCCAATGATAAAATAATGAAATCGACTCCGTTAGCGCTTTTCTACGACGCGAGAAAGGGTTAAATATCCACTGAAGTGGAGCGTTAAGTGGTCGCTAAAGGGATTTCTAGAAAAAATGTCCCTCTAGTGAGCGTGGTCCGTTTAGTGCGACTTGAAAAGTTGCATTTCTCTGCGCCCGCTGCTATTTTAACGTTTCTTAGAAACTCCAGAGTGACCCCTATAGGGATTTCAGTTAGTGGCCCCTATAAGGGACATGCTAGTCGATAATTTTCATAACTCTGAGCGAAGATGCTTCTTAAATTTTACACAAGCATCTCAACTTAAGAAGCAACTTAATTTTACCCCTATAGGGACCACTTTATCGACCCCTATAGGGGTTGTTTTTCCCCCTAACCCCTATAGGCACCCCTCTGGAACTCCTAAGTTCTCTGACTTCACCGGCTAGGGAATAGAGAGACGCAGAAATCTGGCGAACGGTTTTAAATTGAAGTTTCTGAACATTGTCATTGGGGCGCGTTTTCTAACTTTCGGGGCTATTCATAAGGAACAAAGATTCAGGGAGAGGGCATGCATTTCAGACGTTGGAAGGCGTCTTTTTCGAGCTGCTCGCGGTCGTCGGCATGGGCGATCTGGATGAGTTCGAAGGCCCGCTGCCGCATGCTCTTGCCCCAGAGTTCGGCGATGCCATGCTCCGTGGCGACGTAGCGGGCGTGCCCTCGAGTGGTTACAACACCGGAGCCCTGAAAATTGAATGATACTTTTAGAAATAATCTAGAAAAAAGCAGTTAACGACTCTTCCAACCTAGTTTTAGGTATAAATAGCTGTTGTAACGTATCTAGATGAGGTTTTTGGAAAGTTAGGACTTCCATAGAGAAGTTGAGCTAAAACAATGCTAATGGCTGTTTTCGTCGAAAAAAGAAATCACGAAATGCAAATCATAGTCTACCGCGACTGAGTTTGCGACTGAGTTTTCGCGTGTCTGCGTCTCTCTGTTCTCTCACCGGCGAGGTCAGAGAAAAATAAAAACATCACGTAAACACGAGAGAGACGTTGAGAGATAAGGAGGGCGCAGAGATACCCCGTCCTTTCAAGTCGCGAAAAACGGACTTACGTGTGGGATTTGAAATCGGAACACTAAAAAAAAAACAAATCCTATTCTCAAAACTTAGAAAAATCTGATTTCTTCGTGTAATCTTCTCTCGTGCTATTTCCCTGTTTTCAAGACCTTTGAGAGAAAAGAGGGCACAGACAGGTCAGACAGTTTCAAGGGATACGTAAAATATTAGCTGGACGATAAGAAGCAGAAAAAAAAAAAATCAAACCTGCGAGAGGAAAGGCACGATTTTCGTCTTGCCTTTGGTGGTCCTCGAAGGCATCGCGATCACGGCTTTTCCCAGGCCATCATGGGCCAGAGGAGTCGCCGTCATGAAGTCTACTTGCCCTCCGAAGCCTGGACAAAACTATCTTATAGAAACGGTTTTTTGAACATTTTAAGGAGCAGATGAGCTCTGACCCTTTAAATTCCTATTTTGAGCTATATGGTAACCATGGTCGCACGTGGAATGGCTCTACGCGAAAAGACTACTTGGAAAGACAAATCCGACCCGAAACGACTTGCGCGCAGAGCATAAGAAAGGGTTAGAGAAAGCTGCTGAACTACACTCGGAGCCATTCCTCATGCCACCACGGCTTCAAAAAGTGCATATAAAAATCTTAAGTTAAACAATTTAGAAGCCCATGGTGGCACGTGAAATTGCTCTACCCAAAACGACTGCAAGACCCGTCCGACACGAAACGACTTACGCGAGAGAGCACAAGAAAGGGTTCGGACAAGTTGCTGAGTTTCAATCGGAGCCATTCCTCATGCGACCACAGTTTCAAAAAGAGCGGGGACTTATAGACCTTTTCGTTTTAACAAAATGGTCGCACGTGGAATGGCTCTACGCGAGAAGACAGCTTGGAAAGACGTATCCGACCCGAAACGACTTGCGCGCGGAAGCATAAGAAACAGTTAGAGCAAGCTGCTGAACTACACTCGGAGCCATTCCTCATGCAGTTACGGCTTCATAAAATGCTGAGACTTCTATAAATATTGACACACCCGACCCGAAACGACTTGCGCGCGGGAGCATAAGAAAAAGAGGAGGTCATTCCACGCGCGACCACGGCTTTAAAAAGTGCTAAGACTTATAGAAAACTTAAGTTCAACAATTTGGTCACTATAGTCGCACGTGGAATGGCTCCACCCGAAAAGACTGCACGACCATCCGACCCAAAACGACTTGCGCGCGGAAGCATGAGAAAAAGAAGGCTATTCCCCGTGCGACCACGGCGTTCCCGAGCTCTCACCCGAGAAAAAAGTTGGGCCGATGGCGTCAGAAGCGATTTGGCCGGTCAGGTCAATCTCCAAGCAGGAATTGATACTCGTCATTTTGCTGTTAGCCCTGATGACGTCGATGTTGTTGGTGAAGTCGCAGGGAGCGAAATCTGTCAATTTATTCAATATCTTAAGAAGACTTCTTGAAAAAATGTTAGAGGGTAAAAATTGAACTTTTTCGACATCTTAATAACTTCAGAGTGGTCCCTAGAGGGGCGACCATAGAGACTCTGGAAGGCTCGCTTCTAGGGACCACTTTACCATCACCTATAGAGAACTCGTAACGCTTGAAAGTGGTCCCTGTAGGGACATGCTAGTCGTTAAATTTTATGAACTCTATGCGAATACCATGCGAAAAACTAACTAAATAAGCGTTTTTCAAATAAAATTGGAAGACCCCTACAGGGACCACTTGAGCTTTAGGGGCTAAGGGGTCACACCCTAAATCCCTATAGGTACCACCTTGACATATAATCCCTATAGGGATCACTATGAAATTCCTTTTGATTTTGGGATCTAAAAATAGGCCTTCAACTTTCAAGGCATATGTTCATAAATTTTCAATAAATGACTTCAAAATCGCACAAAATTCCGGATTCTCGTTGACAGTCTCGTAGAACTTGCGCGTTCCGAAGGCGAAACAGGAAACCACCTGAAAAATCGGAATTTTTCATCGGAAAGGCCAAAATTCGATCCATGATCTACCAGTATATCTACGGCCCTAAACGAGTTTTCCATATCTACTCGCATGCTGATCAGGTGTCTCAACGGGTGTACCCGTATTAAACCCGTGTTTCTGAGGTTATTTTAGTCTCAGTTGGGCTAAAACGGGGGAACAACGGGTGTAAGAAAAATATGTAACCCAGCTGTGCTAAAGCGGGGTCTCAGTTGGGCTAAAAATTGCCAAAAGTTCTATCAGCTGGGCTTTTACAAGTTTAATACGGGGGCACCCGCTGAGACCCCGTGTTAGCACGGCGGGATTACCCTGCTCAGCATGCGAGTATGTATTCACCAAAAACTCAATTGATCTAAAGTGTACTTAGGAAGACCTGAGTGGTCTCTATAGGGGTTAGGGGTCAAAAAGTGCCTCTATAGGGACTTCTAAATTTATTTTCCGATTCAAAAATCGAAAAAAAAACTTGATTAATTCATTCTCTGTTTGTATTTTCCACTCAACTGACGCTAATCTATTGTATTTTCGCATAGGCCACTAAAACCCCTATAGTGACCAATTTTACAAGTTTTAGTGACCCCTGTAGAGGGAGGTAAAGTGGTCCCTAGAGAAATCATCGAGGACCCCTAATACTGTCCCTACAGGGACCACTTTGGAGTTCCTAACTCAAACCTTAGGCCCAAGGGAACTCTTCAGGGTTCACCTGCGAATAAAATACCCCTATAGAGGCCACTTCTGCAGGTTTAGTGGCCCCTATAGAGGAAGGTAAATTGGTCCCTAAAAAGGAACCTTCGAGGGCCCCTCAGGCTTCCTCTATAAGGGTCACTCTGGAGTTCCTAAGCATTGTCTTTTCTCATAGCTTAGGCCCAAGTGAACTCTTCAGGGTTCACCTGTGAATAAAATACCCCTATGGAGGCCACTTCTGCAGCTTTAGTGGCCCCTATAGAGGGAGGTAAAGTGGTCTATAGAGAAATCATCGAGGACCCCTAATACTGCCCCTACAGGGACCACTTTGGAGTTCCCAAGCCTTGTTTTTTCTCATAGCAAGGGAACTCTTCAGGGTTCACCTGTGAATAAAATAGGTTCCTAAAAGGCGGGCTTCAAACTTTTCCAGGCATGAACGACTTCTGGGAGTTGTTGATGACGCCCTTGTCCATGAGCTCGATGACGCCGTCGCTGAACATCTCCGTGTGGACGCCGAGGTTCTTGTGGCCGTTCATCGCCAGAAGCGCCGAGTCGGGAATCGCGCCGATCCCTTAAGAGGTCACTAGGGAGGTCTTTGCTTGGAAAAATTGAGAAAGAGAAAAATTTCAAAAAGTATATTCTGCTGAATCTTCAATGCTTGTAAAATCAGAAAAATCAATAAAAATTACCAAGCTGCAAGGTCGCCCCGTTGTCGACCAAGTTCTCTGCGATGATTTTTCCAATCCGCTTCTCGACCTCAAAATTCAAGCTTCAAAAGTTTCAGGCCATTTCCGGAGTCACGTCATTCGGCTCTTCGACAGAGGATCTCGCATAAATCGGCCTTTCGGTCTTGACGAGACATTTGAAGTTCGATTGATGGACTATTGAATGGCCCAAAGTTCGGGGCATTGATGGGTTGACCAGGGCTGGAAAAATCCATAGAAAACCGTCCTTGAATTCCAGAAGCACAAAAAATACATTTTTAAAAAAAAGCCTTGAATATTTGACTTGTAAAAGTTGCATGAGAGAAAGTAGAGAAAAAAAATTCCAAAGTGCGTAAAACGGGTGCAAAATGGGCGCTAAAAGGGTTCCGTTTTGCGGCCTTTATTGAGCCTTTCTTTCTTGGCTTCTGCCTCAAAAAAGGGTGAAAAAAGGGTACTGAAAGCCATTGAAGCTTTCCGATTGTATTACTGTAGCCCATTTTTGTGCATACACAGTCACTGGTAAAAATTATTCTCAATTTGAAAAATGTTGTGTTTCTCAAAAGGGTCCAAAAAGGGTGGATGAAGGCCGATGAAAGAACGGAAAAAGGCAGAAAAAAGGAAACCTTTTGCTTCCAAAACGGGCGCTCAAAGGGCCCTTGAAGGATCCTTCCGATCTTACCAATGATGTGCTTGGCGCTGGTGGCGGCAGCCAGCGAGCAATCGACGTCAACTCCCATCGAGCAAAAGCCCCGTTCATCTGAATCCGGTCAAGTCCGACGTCAAACACGCCTTCAGAAGACCTGGCGGCGAGACGGTGATCAGGGCGACGTCGACGTTGATTTTCCCACTGAGATACGCTTTCGGGACGTCCGACAGGAACATTGTCGTGTAGTCAGCATGGCCCAAAAATTGAAAGTTCTGACTTTATTTTGAGGGATAATCACCTTCATTCACCGATTTGCGAGTTCCGGCACAAATGAACAGGGGATTCGCTCGGATCCGGCCTGAATTTTCGCTTTTCAGGCTAGGAAACCGGGGGAGTTTTCTTATTGGAACCATGGTACTTGGCAGCAGTGAAGGGGAGCTCTCCGGCGAGAATAATGTGAGTGGTGCGGATGTCGCTGAGGTCGGCGTCGTCGACGCGGCGACACAACGCCTGGAGCAGCTCCGTTGGCGTTGCCGCGTGGTTGTGAATGTAGACGTCCGTGTCTGAATCCTTTGTCGTGATCTATTTTTTCCGAAAGCGAATCGGGAGTGAAGCATGGTGAAGCAGTTTATTCGCTGGCACTACCAGCGGGCCCACATTATTTCCCAACGCTAGCTGTCACTCCGGGACGAATTGGACAACGATTGTAGACCGTAACCCGCGCCTACGACTAACTCTTCGATTATACCATGATTCAGCAGAGATTTTCTTCATCTTACTCTGAAGACTGAATAAATTGAATTGAATTGAATCGGGAGTCTACCATAATCCACGAGATAACCTCTCAAAATGGATCGAGGATTTTTACTAAAAGATCTATTTTCCAGGATACTTTTTAGCCCTATTTGAGCCCGAGAAACTAAAGAATCGATTCTGAGACCTCCAGAATACTTTTTAGCCCTATCTGAGCCCGAGAGACTAAAAAATCCATTCTGAAAACTGCAGTATACTTTTTAGCCCTATCTGAGCCCGTGGGACTAAAATATTCATCGTGAGACTTCTAGCATACTTTTTAGCCCTATCTGAGCCCGAGAGACTAAAATAATCTATTGTGAGACCACCAGTATACTTTTTAGCCCTATCTGAGCCCGAGAGACTAAAAAATCCATTCTGAAGACTCCAGTATACTTTTTAGCCCTATTTTCGCCCGAGAGCCTGAAATATTCTTTGTGAAACCTCCGGTATACTTTTTAGCCCTATCTGAGCCCATGAGACTGAAATAATCGTTGTGAGACCTCAAGTGTACTTTTCCTTTTTTTAAAGCTTAAAAGCTTAATCAGAGCCCGAGAGACTAAAAAATCCATTCTGAAAACTGCAGTATACTTTTTAGCCCTATCTGAGCCCGTGGGACTAAAATATTCATCGTGAGACCTCAAGTATACTTTTTAGCCCTATCTGAGCCCGAGAGACTAAAAAAATCTATTGTGAGACCACCAGTATACTTTTTAGCCCTATCTGAGCCCGAGAGACTAAAAAATCCATTCTGAAGACTCCAGTATACTTTTTAGCCCTATTTTCGCCCGAGAGCCTGAAATATTCTTTGTGAAACCTCCGGTATACTTTTTAGCCCTATCTGAGCCCATGAGACTGAAATAATCGTTGTGAGACCTCAAGTGTACTTTTCCTTTTTTTAAAGCTTAAAAGCTTAATCAGAGCCCGTGAGACTAAATGATTAATTGTGAGACCTCCAGTATACTTTTTAGCCCGATTCGAGCCTGTGAGATTAAAATATCAATTCTGAAGCCTCCAGTATACTTTTTAGACCTATTTGAGCCCAAGAAACTAAAATATCTATTCTGAAACCTTCAGTATACTTTTTTTAGCCCGATCTGAGCCCGTGAGACTAAAAATATTCGTAATGATGTCAACGATCCTTATTAGAAATGAGCTTTAAAAAAACTTGATAAAAAGAAAAATATTGTTAGACAAAAAAACGACAAAAATACGTTTCATGCCTATTTTAAATTTTGGTAGCTGATAAATTGGTTAATATTGTTGCCGCATGTTATTAAATAAAAATATAAACTTCAAAAACAAATTTCTGATCCCAGTTTACTCCAAAATGCAATTTTCAAATCCCTATACTCAACTCATCCTCATCCCCATAGTGACGTCCTCATTTCAAAACAACGGAAATCTTCTCAAAATGAATAAAATAACGCTCAAAACAGGAGCGCCACCAGCAGTCCAACCAATTAGCCTCTGCTGACGTAGATTGGCTGCCTATTTTCGCGAGAATTAATGAGCTAAAGTGCATTATTCGGTTCCAAGTGAGAGCAACTAGGAATGAAAAAAAAAGCAGAATTGAAGTTTTGAACTTTCTAGTAGATGAACCGCACAAAATAACAGCGAATTAGGTATAACATTTTTTAGAAAAAGTGAAGAGAGATGTGAAAAGGGAGAAGTTTTTATCAAGAAGTTTCGAAATCGCAACAGAAGAGATGAGCTTGTAATAGCGAAAAATTTGTTAAATAACTTTTTGAAAACTTCAAAATATTGAAAAGAACAAAAAATTTCGTAAATTCATTTACCGCCGTGTGCGCGGGCGTGTATGCACTACTCAACTCTACAGTAACCCCAAATAAGATGAAAATGTCTTTTTCAATGCAAACTCGATAAGAAATCAACAGCTTATGATTTACAAATCTAAAAATTAAATTTACTACCGCTTAAAAGTTCCGCTTTCTTCAATTTCTCTAGCCACCTTTTACCGAAAAAACTACCTTTTCTGTCAAATTTCACTCACTAGATTGAATAAACGAGACGGCTTCATCGGCGCTGACCACTGGAGGGTTCACTCCGAGTTTCGGAACCGCCAAACGATTATCAATCTTCACGCCGGGCACGAAAGATCAAAAAAACTTTCATTTTGAAAATTCGAAAATTTAAAATAAACCTCTTTAGGAGTAATTTAACACCACTCGACGTTGAAACAAGCTTCTTCAGATACTTCATTTCGACGCCTGATAGAGAGGCAACGTCTGAAAGTCAAACAGTTCACGAGGAAACAAATCTGCTGCGCAAACATGGGGAGAAAAGAAAAAAGTTCAAAAAACTGCCGTTTCCAAGTAAATTTTAATTATCATTGATTTCATTAGTGGATTGAATGCCGAAAATTTCCTATAATTTCAAAGAAAAATAACCATCCAAAATAGCTGCATAAAAAAGAATCTTTTTATCCATTAAAAAGATGAGGCGATTATCCTCAACGTCGTAGTTTTTCTTGTTTTCAATTCTTGAAAAACACTTCTATGCAGCCCCAAAAATAATATCAAGTTTTTCCATTGGCATTATTAAAATGAACACGAATGAAACACAAAGTAAAACAGGAAGAAAAAACGAAAACAACCGAAAAAAACTTTTGCGTAAATTTTGTTTACGGTAATTACGTCGGAGTGCATGCAGGAACATCGTCTACAGTAACTGCAAAATATAAAAAAAGGTTCTTTTCCATGTTTTAGAGAAAACGACTCTTTCCGTGTTGCAATTCACAAACTAAAAATATAATTCATTATTGATTCAAAATAAATTCGCGAGAAAGTTCAAAAAAAGAAAAAAAGAAAAATAAACAAATAGAATAAAGAAACGAACGGGGGGAAACAAAATCGCGTGGTTTTACAGCGGCCAGAGAGGCTGGGGTCAAAAACAGCGAAATGTGTGGCCCGTTTTTTCTCACAATGCGATTAGGCCATTCCTATCTGTTTGCAGCTGATATATTGGAAAAAGTACGAACATCACACATCAGAGTTTTCTTTCGAGGGAAAAAAATCGGTGATAAATACAGGTTTGCAAATTACAGATTTCACACAAACAGACTGAAAATAAACTGAGAAAAAGATGTTTTTCTTCAATCCTCTGACAAAAATAAAAGTTCCCAGATGAGAAATCAAAGTTTGACATTAAAATTGTAGAAAAAATAAATGAAAAAAAAACATATGACGAGAATGAACAATGACTTAAACTACGTATGAAAAAGCTTTGATTGAGCAAAATAACAATAAAAGCATATGAAATAAACAAAAACAGAAGTTTGAAAAAAAGAAAAAAATGTCAAAAAAATGGCGATGAAGGGAATGTGTGCTCCAAAGGGTAACGTAAAACTTCACTTGAAAATTTTTTTCATTTTCTCTTTTTAATTTTGAAATTTTCAACTGTTTTTGATTCAATAGTTATTTTTAGAGCTTTCAATATAATATATAATTCCGAGTACAATTGAAAGTTTTTTTCCTGGAGTTATTTAAAAATTTCAAAGGCGATGAAAAATTCGCAGTTACAACAATCTTTCACGTATAAACATACGATTAAAATTCAAAGTTACAACAAAATTTTATGACTCATAAAATGCGTTGAATGTTTCTTTAGAAATCGATTCGAATGAAGAAAAAACAAAAGGTATCGCAAATAAAAGACTTCAAGCGACGCTGACGGGCTTGACGATGACGGGAACTCGGTTGGGTTTGGGTCTGAGCGTCGCCGAAACGGAGCCCCTGGAGCCGCGCGACGGCGGCGGAATCGACGATGTCGTCGTCGTTTCTGGGGCCGCGCCTTCGAACTCGCTGAGGATGCCGATCATCTTCAGGTTGGCGATGATCGATTCTTGTGACTCTCTGCAAAAAGATAATAAAAAGTTTATTGTTTAAAAAAATCAATTTTGGGTGTCTATTTAGTGAACAATGAGTGTGATGAAGTGAAAAAGCTCTAACGGAAACTTTGTCAGAAGGAAAATATTTTTCAAACCATGGATTTTCAGAAAAATAAAGGGCAGAATTTAAAAAATCTTGTCTTGAAGAGATTCAAGCAATTTTAATCCATTTCGAGCCTTGAATAACCCGAAAAGCTGCTGTCAATGGACCATATTAAACTTTGATTTTTCAGAATCCTTGTTCAGTATTTTTCCATTCACTGAACTTTAAAACGTAAAACTTCAATAATTTTGGCGCCCGATAATTTCTCATTTTTGCAGGCACCATGCGCCTTTAATAGCCAAAAAAATTTTGTTTTTAATAAACGAATTTCATTATTGAAGTAAATTTATATATCCGGTAGATTGAAAAACTCAACGAAGTGACACTGTCTGCGCTCTCCACCAAGCAGGCAGTCTCTCATTTTTACCGTGTGAGGACCCATTTTTCGAAGGCTCAAGTCGTCTGTATACACAACTATTGTCTACAGTAAGCCAAAAATGAATATTTTACACTGTAAATGAATTTTTGAACCCCCATAAAACCCCGTGATTTTTCGTAGGACCAAAAAAAAGCTAGAAAATAAGAACTTGCCTCGTGGTGATGACCTGAACTTTGCTCTGTTTGTGAGCGTTCCTCGTCTTCCGACAGATCAACAGATTGGAGAAAAAGTCGCCTGAAACTCCATTTTCACTTCTTTTCAAAGCTTTTTTCAAACCTTTCAAATTCCTGTCGAAAATGACAATGGAAAGTGGGAAATACAGCGGTGGAATACTGGCAACAACGCCGTCCAACGTAATTCTGGTTGGTTCATCTGCAAAAACGTAAATTTTGCAAAAATATTTCGAAAACCGTGTGTGAAGCGCTGTTTACTGTCCTATTTTCAAAAGATCGAATCCAACCAAATCGTTTCATTTTACGAAAATCATATGGTAAGGACGTAGAAGAGGTGGAAAAAGACCACGAGGTACTGTTTTTTGTTGTAGGCCTGTTCTATCTTTTTTCAGACTTTTACGATTTTAATACGCCATACATGGCATTCCTAATGCGGTGAGGGAAGGTGAGCAAAGCTTCCGAAATTAAAAAAAAGTAAGTGCGCGCTTCGGATAAAAGGACTGTGACGTCACAGCTACCTATCGTAACTGAGTATTCAACGGCATGAAGAATACCGTACTCCCCATTTGGCTGCGTACTTGAGGGTGCAAATTTCGCGCCAAATATTTTTTTTTGACGTCACACTTTGGGAACGCCGTGCCATGAAATCGATTAAAAAAATCAGAAATTTACTCTCCAACTTTGCGTTTCCTAGCTACTCAGGTAAATCCTGGGAAATTGTTTGGAAGGTACTAAAAAGGTGTTGGGAGGCTTCCGCTTTTTGTTGCTTGGAAGGCGTTTGGAAGGTCCCAAGCAGATGGAAAAAGGCTTCCAACAGCTTCCCAAGACCCCTTAAATACCTGTCGAAAGCCTTCCCGGAATTTTCTAATTTTCAGCTTTTAAGGACCTTCCAATTACCTGCTGAACGATTTCCAGAGGCCTTTTCAAGACTTTCTAGCTTCTAATTATTTTCCCACCTCCTTCCTAATGCCTCTCTCGGCTTCGCCTGAGCTTCCAATAAGTGCAAAAATCATGATTTTTTTTTTTTCAAAACTCACCAAAGTCAGGCAGAAGCCTGAAAAGTGTCTGATGACCCAGAATAGTCGCCCAGCAGAAGAACAGCGGCAAGCAGGAACGTTTGAGAAAAAGTCCCTGGGAGCGGAAACTCTGGATCCGGGCGTCGTTTTTGAGACCACCCAGAAGCTTGGCCCTCTGCTCGGCTTGAGAAATTATCCGTCCCATCACTATTAGGATCTGAATGAGTGATTTTGAGCGAAATTATGATTTTTCGTGCACTTTTTTGTTCAAATTTTAGATCGAAAATTTTCTATTGAGTTCAGAAAAAAATAATAAACTTATTTTTTTAACCAGACTAGAGAAAAAAATAAAAAAATATGAAAAAAAGTTTTTCATTTTTTTGTCCGTGGAGCGCAATTGTTCACGAAACTTCGCCGAGGTCAAAATCTTTCGATTTTTTTAAATTCCTTCATGAAAACCGTCTTAAGAAGTCGAATTTTTCATCGAATTTTCAGCCGTTTGCTTAAATTTTTTTTAATAAAAAAATTTGAAAGCGATCTTAACAAGACTAGAGAAAAAAATGAAAAAAATGAAAAATACGAGAAAGTTTTCATTTTTATCCGTGGAGCACAATTGATTACAAAACTTGGCCGAGGCTAAAAATTTTTGGTTTTTTTGAAATAAAAAGAAAAAGCCGTCCTAAGGAATCGAATTTTCATCGAATTTTCAGTCGCTCAAATTTTTTTAATCAAAAATCATCATTATACAGTGTGAAAGACCTTATTTCAAACTCAATTATCATTCAAAAAAAGACCTTTTTCTTTCAAAACTCAACACATCTGTTCCTATCATTTTCTTTCTGCTTTTCCAAAAAAAAATTGCAAAATTGTAAAACTCACAACAAAGCCAGCGAGGAGAAGACCACCGTGATAAATATCGAACCAAAAATTGCCGAAATAATGCTGATCGCTTTCGGTCAAAGTATGGTGAAAGTACATCAAAGCCCAGGCGGCTATGATGCAGTGGACCACGACCACCATCTGAATTCCTTCTTCTTGAATCTTTTTTTTCATACTAAAGACAATTCTCTTCAAAGCTTTCTATTCAAAACGATGGTCCATTTCTCGCTATTTGAAAATTTTGACTTCTCTGCGCCCTCCTCGTCTCTCGACGACTTTCTCTTGTTGGCGCGATATTTCCATGTTTCTCTGACCTCGCCGGTGAGGGGAAAGAGGGCGCAGACAGAAAATATTTAGCAACTCCAGAGTGGTCCCTATAGGGACAACCTTAGGTGTTCTCGAAAGTTCCCCTCGAGGGAGCACTTTGCAACCTTTATAGAGGTTGTTTTCCTCTCCAACCCCTATAGGGACCGCTCTAAAATCCTTAAGTATTGTTCCAAAATCAGACAGAAAATGAACAGATTGTGATGAAAAAAGCCTCATTCATTCCAGTCTCCAAATGCGCAAAAGACACTGGTGAACCTACAAGGGGCCCCTTAAGTGACCATTAAAATCATTCCTAATTTGGAGTGAGTTAAGATGTGAACCAACTATTCTCTAACAAAGGCAAAATCAGATGAAAGACCATACAACATCGCGTTAACTGTTCCTGAAAACAGGTTGGAAAAGGTTCCATTTTGCTACCTTTTTGCGCCCTTTTGTAAGCTAATATTGACTCTTCAGCCTCTTTTTCCCTTTCCTGAACCTTGAAAATTTGAAGAAAGCTTGATAAAGGGAGCAGAACAAAAATACATATTCTTTGCTTCAGTAGAGAAAAAGTAACCCACTCGGATGAAGAAATAATAGGTGCCGGAAGATTTTTCGCGGGCGTTGCGTGAGGTGCAGAAGACGAGGCGATCTACAAGAATCCAGAAGACGGCCGCTTGGCATCCTTCCAAGACCACCACGTAGCATGTCGTCAACGGTGGGTTGCCGAGCCGCCATCGGCCAACCACTGTAATCGATTCATTTTTCACGATTTTTTTTAGAAGTCTTCAAGACGGACACCTTCTGAGCTAAACTTCTAACGCAGGTCTGTTTTTAGCGACTTGAAACTTCTCTGGGCCCTCCTCGTCTCTCGACGACTCTCCCTTGTTGAAGCGCTATTTTCGCGTTTCTGTGACCTCGACGGTGAGGGAAAAGAGAGACGCAGACACTCGAAAACTTTCTAGTCGCGGTCTATATTCTCAGATGCCTTTTCTAGGTTCTCTATGGCGCTCAGCCGACAATTCTTCATTTTTTGAAGTAATCTAACCTGGGAATACCTGATCCGCAATTTTTTCCTCAGAAAATCCCTCGGCGAGTACACTAGAAAGGTGCTATGATATCAGAATTCGATGAAACTTGGACAGTCTGTTCCAAACGTCCTCAAAAAGAGCGACTTTTGTGTTTCAATAAAGCTATGAAACCTCAAAGACCCCACTTTTTCTCTACTGCAAGCACGGACATAGGTAACACAAAACGATCGATTCTGGGCAATTCTAGGGATCACTTAAGAGCGCTGACGCTACTAAAGTGCTCACTAGAAACGTTTCGCGTTAATAAAGTCCGAGATGGTTCAAACCTCGAGCTACATGACTAGAGCGTTGAGAAAGGCCTCATTTTTTGTCTAAAACTTGACTAAAAAGGAAAGAGTCAATAGTTATGACGCATTTTTTTGAAGTCTTCAAATTGCTGTTATAAAAAATGTCACTTAAGTGAAAACTCTGCACTTGGAGAGTGGAAACTGCTCTAAAGGAAATTTCGTTCATTTCCTGGTAAGTACAGTATTTTTAAACATCACCAGATTAATGTAGGAATCAAACTATTCGTTTCAAGACCAGCTACGCTTCAAAGCCTTTTTTCTGAATCTAAATACATCATCGGATCAAAAAGCCTCGATAAATATAGCACGAGAAAAAGCAATTTTACGTTATTTATCACCTGAATAGTGAAATTTTTTCCGACTCAAACTTGTGAACAGCTGCAAGTGATACTTTTTTGACATTTCAAAGAGGATATTTTTTTTCCGGGTAAGTTCCGAGACTCCCCCTCAGCCTCGTAGACAGCTGAATTTATTTGTAGAAATGGGGAAAAAAAAACAAACCGGAGACAACATTGCAGCAGCAGAGAACAATCTGTAGGGAGGAGACGAAACGGAGCAGTTTTTTGGCGGGTTTCGGGATCAACGCCGTCCGTTTCGTGGCTTTCAGGAAGGCGAAGTTGATGTAGCCTCCGAGGGCCGACAGCGCCGTTACCAGTAAGACTACTTCTTCTGACATTCGAGCCTTTTCTGAACAAATATATTTTCTGAAGTGCTTGAAAGTGTATATATTCGGAATCCTCGTCTGTAAAACCTCAAAAAAAAAAATCCATTTCAAGCTTCTAAACCGATGCTTCTAAATAAAAGGTCAAAAATCTAGTGAAGAATTAATAAAAATTTACTAGCATTAAAAGAAAGGCCCTGCAGCGATTCTAGGAGTATACAGTAATCTACACGGTTTTTAGAGTAATGAAAACATTTTAGATTTTAAATAGGTCCTACAGCGCTCCCAGAAGCATACAGTATTCTACACGTTTTTTTAAAAAAATGATAACACCAAAAATTAATATTATAAAGGTCCTACAGCGATTCGCGGATGATACAGTAATCAAAAAATACTTCGAGAAATAGAATAGAGCAAATTAAGATTTGAAAGGTCCTACAGCGATTCCAGGAGCATACAGTAATCTAAACATTTTTTTAAAGTTATTAGAGCAAAAATTTAGATCTTAAAAAGGTCCTAAAAGCGATTCGTGGAAAAATACAGTAATCTATAAATACTTTGAAACAAACTGATGAAAAATGAACTAAAGCAAAATTTGGATTCTAAAAGGTCCTACGGCGAATCAACGAAAATACAGTAATCTACACCATTTTTCGAGAAACTGAAAGTAGATAAATCAAAAAACGAGAGCGAAGTAGTTGCGCCCGACCTGGAACGGTTTTCGCCACTTGGCAACAGAAAATGTTAGAGCAGCTCTTTTAATTATTCCACGTGCAACCAGGGTTTTTGAATTCGTAGCAAGAGCATGAGAAATAAAAAAAATCCAAGTTGTAATTAAAACTTTGCGCGAATCCGTATGTTCTAAAATAGAAAACGTGCTAGAAAGCTCCAAACATATTTCAGCAAAAAAAATGAGCCAATCTTTGAGATTTGAAAAAGGGACCAATTACAAAACCTGTGTCAACTTTCTACGCTTTCGCGAATAAATCATTCAAAGTATGCAGAAAATTGTGACGAAAATAGGTGGAATTTGGACTTTTGAGCTTCAAATTTGGTTGATTTATAAGTACAAATTCACCTTGATTATGAAAAAAATTATTCGGATCAATGCAAGTAAAATAGCGTATTAAGAGGTTTGATACACCGAATTCGGTGAAATTTTTGTTCCGGAAGGCCTAAAAAAACTTCAGAATTTCTCAATTTGTTTTAAACTTCAAAAATTCCTCAATTTATTTTTTTATCACGCTAAAAAGTAAAAATACTTAGAAACTGTTAGGGCTTTGACTTTGAAAAAAATAACTTAAAAAAACACAAAAAAACTGGTTCAAAAAAATTGTCTTAATGGCTAAACGAGAGCGAAATAGTTGCACCCGACCTGAAACGATTTTTCGCGCCTTGGCATCAAGAAACGTTTGAGCAGCTTTCTTAGTTGTTTCACGTGAGACCAGGGTCTTTCAACTCGTAGCTAGACCATGAGAAATCAAAAAATCCAAGTTATAATTTTAAAAAATGTCTACGAAAAAGCTTTAGCAGAGCTTTTTAGTATTGGTTTCAAATATTCTCTCTTAAAAAAATTGAAGTTTATAATCTCTTTTTGAAGCTTCAGAAAACTTTCTGGGAAAAATCGGAAATTAGTCAAAAAATAAGCTCAGGGCTAACACAACCAGTTCCTCCCAGGAAAAAGTTCAAAACTGATTCGGGAAATTCTCCAAAAAAAGAACGAAATTGGACGGCGGGGCTCGACGATTTGCACCTGCTCTCGCGACAGATGGCCGCCGGAGTCCCCAGTGATTAAATGGGCGTTCCTTTGCACTGAGTCGGGGAGGAGGAAAAAAAGGTGAAAATTTATTTCTTCTTTCAATGAAGAACCTCTCCATGGAAACGTCTTCACAATTCGGCTTTTTTCGGGGAATGAGATTCAGAAGCGACGGCGTCGACGTGCCAGCCTTGGACGTCGTCTTCCTCCAGGAGCGCCTCAGTCGGCTCGTCTTCGGCGAAAACCGCGTCACGTCGGCCGGCGAGCTCGAGTTCGTCCAGGGACGGTAGCTGAACTCGGTCGAGTATTCTTGGAAAAAGCTTTTTTCAAATATAATCATTTTCCTGGCTTGAAAGTTGGAGCCGCAGCGATTTTCAGTGCGAAGCGGTTTTTGCGGTTTTTGGCGTCAGTTCGAATTTCTCGAATTTTTGGACTGAATTGATCAATTAAAAATTTATCATTCCCCAAATAACCGTAACTAGTTCAAGGCGAGAAAAATGGCCTGTATTTGAATAAATGGAGTAGTCGCTTTAGTGCTTCAAAAGAACCTTGAAGATACATTCGTTGTGGAAAATGAAACAAAAACCTCTTAAGTGCCCTCTTTTTGGAACTCATATAGCTTTGAAGTAAACAAGATCTAGTGATCACCACAGGACTTTTTGAAATAAACAAGTTAACATTTTGTCGAAATCAATTTTAGGGACCACTATAGGGCTTTTTAAACTCTGTGAAATAATTAAGGCAGCATATTCATGAGGCTCAAGTTGTATTATAAAAATCTGAGTGGTCACTTGAGAAGTAAAATATCATCCCTAGAGTGACCACTTCAATTTTACGCCTTCACAGATTTCTAGTTGCAAAATTTTTTCATTTTTATAATATATTTGACTTCTCCCAAAATTAAAAAAAGTTCATAATTTGTATGGGAATAACTCAGTGAAAACTGGCAAAAAAGGATAATTGTTTTGAATCGGCGTGAGAAGCTGAAAATATCGGAAATAATAACAGCCTAGGCGTGAGAAAAACGTTGTTACAAAACGAATGACGAGAAATGTTCATTGCAAGAAATGTCCTTTTCGGCCAGTTTTCTGTAGTAAAAATGGCTTTTTTTTTTATGAAACTTGGTATATAGGTGCTTTAGGACGCTCTGATTTCAATAAAGTTCAAAAAAAGTTCGCCTTTTTGGTCCTAGTCGAGTTATGGCGTCTCAAAGTTTGCACGCGATAAATGCATTGGAAGGGAGGAGGGAATGTGTTTCGGCGGCTAACTTCCGTCACCAAGAGGTAGCGTGGTGCAGTGGCTAGCGGCCTTGCGCTGCGGAACACATGATGCAGGTTCGATCCCTTTTGAGTTAATTTTTTTTTGCCAGTAAGTTTTTCGAAGAAGTTAATGAATTTTTGAAAATGAAACGAAAAAAAACCGTTTAAAGAGTTGCAATCCACTATTTTATGTCGTTTTGAGGAAGACTTTCGAGAGGAAAAAGCCTTGGATTTTTCGAAAAATCTTGAGAACAAATGTGCTCCATAGATATTTTTAATCGAATGAAGCAGAACCAGTGGAACAGAGTGAAAAAAAACCAAAATAAGTTTCTTTTTCGAGTTCTTCAAAAGTTATCTATGGAGCGCACTAAATCCTTTCAAATCAATTTTTTTCGAGGCTATTTCTTCAAATTCCTTTATAACTACTTTTTCTTGTTTTTAAAGTAGTGCCAAAACCTATCTAAAACTCTTTTTTGCCACTTCTAGCATAAAGATTGATATTAGAATATATATTTTCCAAGAGTCTCTATGACGATTAGTTCAACCTCATAATTAGGAAGAAAAGTGCTCCGAAAAGTTCGTGGGACCTTTTTTCGGTGCAATTAAAAATCCCGGGTTAAATAATAACTTTTCAGCTGGTCGGCTGCACTTTGACCTTATTTATTTTTGCAAAAAGGTGAGACTCGGTTGAAATTAAGCGAAAAGTGAACCGGCGATTCTGATAACGAGAAAATATGATACGAATTCAGGGGCTCAGAGGTGACCACGATTAAAAAAAAATTCGGTTCATCATCATTTTCGGTTCGCGACTTATGCGCCTTTAATTTTCAAGGTTTTTCGACTTATCGTTTCTCAACCCAGATGACTAAAAAACAAAGGAATGTTCAAGAATGTTCAAACCTTCCTCATAAAATGTTCTGGCCGCACTTGAAATGGCTTTTTACACAAACTTCTTAAAAAAAACCGGTAAAAATCGATAGTTTTTCATACAGAATCACTTGAAAAACTATTTTCTGGTTTCTTATTCTTACAAACCTGACAAATTTATTGCCGACAACAAATTCATCAGAAACGCTTGCAGTCTGATCCGCGGAACTTTGGTTCGCGAAAAACGCCATAATTACCTATTGGAACACCGTCAATAAGCTGGAAACTCACCAAATTCGTCCAGAGCTCGTAGGCCGCCCGACGGAAGTCAAAGTCCCACTCTAGCATTCCGTCGGCCTCAAGGAAACTGATGAAAATGTTCGAAAACGTTAGAAGTTGCAAAAATCACTTTTTTTGGAAAACCCCCAAATTTAATATTACCTGAGCACGCAGAAGAACATTATTCTATTGTTATGAGGTCACTTTTCTATTTTCGTTCTCTTAAAATGTACAAAAGAACTACTCAGGTACGTCTGAGTGGCCCCTAGAGGGGTTAGGGGAAACCACAGCCATCGTAGGGGGACAAATAGTGATCCCTAGAATGGTGAAATCTAGCTGGAGTATAGAATTCCACTTTTAAAAGCCTTAAGCTCAAGTGGTCCCTATAGGGGCCTTCTGTGGATATTTTCCATTCAAACAACGCTTTAGTGACCCCTGTAGGCGGACTAGCCCTAAGACTGCCCCTCTAGGTACCACTCTAGCGTTCTGAGTACTCGAGGACTCAACAAAAACTAATTATTACCTTGAGGATGACGAAATAATCGCGTTTGCTCGATTTCAAAGCGGGCCAAGCCGGATTTTTCGGGTCGCAACCTTGAGCTGTAGGTGCTCTGAAATGTTTGAAATTTTTTTTTCCGAACATGTTCTAACCATATGAATGCTCTCAACAGTAGCCCTTGATACAGTAAACTTTAAGTAATGAAAAGAAATTTCAATTTTTTGTCCAAGCTTATGTCTTCTACCCTTCAATTTTAAAGCTAGGAGGACATACGTGGGCGGCGGTTAAATTTAATAGTGACGTCATGTCGCACCCTCCCCAACTGGCAGCGCACCATACCCAATTTTCGTCGCACCATACCAAAAGCGTTTTTTGACGTCACATGACGTCATTTTCGCTCACTGTCGCAAAGCAATCGTCCATATTGTGCATTTTCGTTTTTTCCGCTATATAATATCTTTTTAAATGGGATCATAGATTTTAACTTTTTTTCCATTTTAAGAGGACTAATATCAAAAAAAAACAATGCAGACGACTTTTTTTAGGTTTCAATCTTGATTCATCTTTTTTCTCAATTGGTTTGGCCCTTTTTTGGAGCTCTCAGACAACGAACCGGTGAGCACCGGTATGGACCGGTAAAAACTGAAAATTGGGAAAATGCGAATTTTTTGATCCAGTTTTCTGATAAATGAGTGAGGTCATTGTTTTAAGGCTAAAAGTCAGTTTGGAACTTGATCTGACCATTTTGAGCCGAGTTATAGCCCCGGGCGCACCCTACCCAGTTTAACTGGCGCACCATGCCAAACCATCAAAAAGTGGACTTTTTCCAATTTTTTTCTTCATGAAAAAAATCATTTTCTAGACGATTTGAATGCCTAGAAGCCTTTTTGAGCAAATTTTATCATTAACCGGTGAGCACCGGTATGGACCGGTAAAAACTGAAAATTGGGAAAAATGCGAATTTTTTTGATCCAGTTTTTCTGATAAATGAGTGAGGTCCTTGTTTTAAGGCTAAAAGTCAGTTTGGAACTTGATCTGACCATTTTGAGCCGAGTTATAGCCCCGGGCGCACCCTACCCAGTCCAACTGGCGCACCATGCCAAACCATCAAAAAGTGGACTTTTTCCACTTTTTCTTCATGAAAAATCATTTTCTAGACGATTTGAATGCCTAGCAGCCTTTTTTGAGCAAATTTTATCATTAACCGGTGAGCACCGGTATGGACCGGTAAAAACTGAAAATTGGGAAAATGCGAATTTTTTGATCCAGTTTTCTGATAAATGAGTGAGGTCCTTGTTTTAAGGCTAAAAGTCAGTTTGGAACTTGATCTGACCATTTTGAGCCGAGTTATAGCCCCGGGCGCACCCTACCCAGTTTAACTGGCGCACCATGCCAAACCATCAAAAAAGTGGACTTTTTCCAATTTTTTTCTTCATGAAAAAAATCATTTTTCTAGACGATTTGAATGCCTAGCAGCCTTTTGAGCAAATTTTATCATTAACCGGTGAGCACCGGTATGGACCGGTAAAAAAACTGAAAATTGGGAAAATGCGAATTTTTTTGATCCAGTTTTCTGATAAATGAGTGAGGTCATTGTTTTTAAGGCTAAAAAGTCAGTTTGGAACTTGATCTGACCATTTTGAGCCGAGTTATAGCCCCGGGCGCACCCTACCCAGTCTAACTGGCGCACCATGCCAAACCATCAAAAAGTGGACTTTTTTTCCAATTTTTTTCTTCATGAAAAAAATCATTTTCTAGACGATTTGAATGCCTAGCAGCCTTTTTTTGAGCAAATTTTATCATTAACCGGTGAGCACCGGTATGGACCGGTAAAAACTGAAAAATTGGGAAAATGCGAATTTTTTGATCCAGTTTTCTGATAAATGAGTGAGGTCCTTGTTTTAAGGCTAAAAAGTCAGTTTGGAACTTGATCTGACCATTTTGAGCCGAGTTATAGCCCCGGGCGCACCCTACCCAGTCCAACTGGCGCACCATGCCAAACCATCAAAAAGTGGACTTTTTTTCCAATTTTTTTCTTCATGAAAAATCATTTTCTAGACGATTTGAATGCCTAGCAGCCTTTTTTGAGCAAATTTTATCATTAACCGGTGAGCACCGGTACGGACCGGTAAAAACTGAAAATTGGGAAAATGCGAATTTTTTGATCCAGTTTTCTGATAAATGAGTGAGGTCCTTGTTTTAAGGCTAAAAGTCAGTTTGGAACTTGATCTGACCATTTTGAGCCGAGTTATAGCCCCGGGCGCACCCTACCCAGTCCAACTGGCGCACCATGCCAAACCATCAAAAAGTGGACTTTTTCCAATTTTTCTTCATGAAAAATCATTTTCTAGACGATTTGAATGCCTAGCAGCCTTTTTTGAGCAAATTTTATCATTAACCGGTGAGCACCGGTACGGACCGGTAAAAACTGAAAATTGGGAAAATGCGAATTTTTTGATCCAGTTTTCTGATAAATGAGTGAGGTCCTTGTTTTAAGGCTAAAAGTCAGTTTGGAACTTGATCTGACCATTTTGAGCCGAGTTATAGCCCCGGGCGCACCCTACCCAGTTTAACTGGCGCACCATGCCAAACCATCAAAAAGTGGACTTTTTCCAATTTTTCTTCATGAAAAATCATTTTCTAGACGATTTGAATGCCTAGCAGCCTTTTTTGAGCAAATTTTATCATTAACCGGTGAGCACCGGTACGGACCGGTAAAAACTGAAAATTGGGAAAATGCGAATTTTTTGATCCAGTTTTCTGATAAATGAGTGAGGTCCTTGTTTTTAAGGCTAAAAAGTCAGTTTGGAACTTGATCTGACCATTTTTGAGCCGAGTTATAGCCCCGGGCGCACCCTACCCAGTCCAACTGGCGCACCATGCCAAACCATCAAAAAGTGGACTTTTTTTCCAATTTTTTTCTTCATGAAAAAAATCATTTTCTAGACGATTTGAATGCCTAGCAGCCTTTTTTTGAGCAAATTTTATCATTAACCGGTGAGCACCGGTATGGACCGGTAAAAAAACTGAAAATTGGGAAAAATGCGAATTTTTGATCCAGTTTTTCTGATAAATGAGTGAGGTCCTTGTTTTAAGGCTAAAAGTCAGTTTGGAACTTGATCTGACCATTTTTGAGCCGAGTTATAGCCCCGGGCGCACTCCTACCCAGTTTAACTGGCGCACCATGCCAAACCATCAAAAAGTGGACTTTTTCCAATTTTTCTTCATGAAAAATCATTTTCTAGACGATTTGAATGCCTAGCAGCCTTTTTTGAGCAAATTTTATCATTAACCGGTGAGCACCGGTATGGACCGGTAAAAACTGAAAATTGGGAAAATGCGAATTTTTTGATCCAGTTTTCTGATAAATGAGTGAGGTCATTGTTTTAAGGCTAAAAGTCAGTTTGGAACTTGATCTGACCATTTTGAGCCGAGTTATAGCCCCAGGGCGCACCCTACCCAGTTTAACTGGCGCACCATGCCAAACCATCAAAAAGTGGACTTTTTCCAATTTTTCTTCATGAAAAATCATTTTCTAGACGATTTGAATGCCTAGCAGCCTTTTTTGAGCAAATTTTATCATTAACCGGTGAGCACCGGTATGGACCGGTAAAAACTGAAAATTGGGAAAATGCGAATTTTTTGATCCAGTTTTCTGATAAATGAGTGAGGTCCTTGTTTTTAAGGCTAAAAAGTCAGTTTGGAACTTGATCTGACCATTTTGAGCCGAGTTATAGCCCCGGGCGCACCCTACCCAGTTTAACTGGCGCACCATGCCAAACCATCAAAAAGTGGACTTTTTTTCCAATTTTTTTCTTCATGAAAAATCATTTTTCTAGACGATTTGAATGCCTAGCAGCCTTTTTTTGAGCAAATTTTTATCATTAACCGGTGAGCACCGGTATGGACCGGTAAAAAACTGAAAATTGGGAAAATGCGAATTTTTGATCCAGTTTTCTGATAAATGAGTGAGGTCCTTGTTTTTAAGGCTAAAAAGTCAGTTTGGAACTTGATCTGACCATTTTGAGCCGAGTTATAGCCCCGGGCGCACCCTACCCAGTTTAACTGGCGCACCATGCCAAACCATCAAAAAGTGGACTTTTTCCAATTTTTCTTCATGAAAAATCATTTTCTAGACGATTTGAATGCCTAGCAGCCTTTTTTGAGCAAATTTTATCATTAACCGGTGAGCACCGGTATGGACCGGTAAAAACTGAAAATTGGGAAAATGCGAATTTTTTGATCCAGTTTTCTGATAAATGAGTGAGGTCATTGTTTTAAGGCTAAAAGTCAGTTTGGAACTTGATCTGACCATTTTGAGCCGAGTTATAGCCCCGGGCGCACCCTACCCAGTTTAACTGGCGCACCATGCCAAACCATCAAAAAGTGGACTTTTTCCAATTTTTCTTCATGAAAAATCATTTTCTAGACGATTTGAATGCCTAGCAGCCTTTTTTGAGCAAATTTTATCATTAACCGGTGAGCACCGGTATGGACCGGTAAAAACTGAAAATTGGGAAAATGCGAATTTTTTGATCCAGTTTTCTGATAAATGAGTGAGGTCATTGTTTTAAGGCTAAAAGTCAGTTTGGAACTTGATCTGACCATTTTTGAGCCGAGTTATAGCCCCGGGCGCACCCTACCCAGTTTAACTGGCGCACCATGCCAAAACCATCAAAAAGTGGACTTTTTTTCCACTTTTTTTCTTCATGAAAAATCATTTTCTAGACGATTTGAATGCCTAGAAGCCTTTTTTTGAGCAAATTTTATCATTAACCGGTGAGCACCGGTACGGACCGGTAAAAAAACTGAAAAATTGGGAAAATGCGAATTTTTGATCCAGTTTTTCTGATAAATGAGTGAGGTCATTGTTTTAAGGCTAAAAAGTCAGTTTGGAACTTGATCTGACCATTTTGAGCCGAGTTATAGCCCCGGGCGCACCCTACCCAGTCCAACTGGCGCACCATGCCAAACCAACGAAGTCAATAAAACAACCTTTACATCTACTTACTAAAAGAGAAACTGGTCAAGAATAATGTTTTGTTAACAAAACTGTTCAAGTTAGAGGCTGTTCTTTTTTTTGGAATTTTTCAGTAAGAGACTAAAAGAAAGTAGACGTCAAAACTTGGTGGACATTAGTGTTTTAAAATTTGACCGTCGATCAATAAGACCGTTCAAATTACTTCAGTGTTCAGTTTTCGAACGGTTATAACATGTCATTTTTCTGACCTTTCGTTTGACCGACCAGTTTCTGAAATCTACTAAACCGACCATTTCGAGAGTGACATTTCGAACAGTCAAAAACCAACATGTCACATGTCAAAATGTTGAAACTCCAACCGTTCGACCAATGACCATTTATTATGACACGTTGAAAAACTATTGTTCGAACGGTCGGTCGAACGATCAATTTTTTAAACTAGAATAGACATCTCTATAAAAATTTCGGTTTTGAAAATAATTTTCTCAAGGAAAAAGAAAAATTATTTTCAGAGTTTGAAGTTATTATTGGCAGACCTAATTTTTCATTGAATTTTTGATGAATCATGTCTCCGAGTGTACCAGTAATTGTAAAACTATTTAAAAAAACATACTCGCGCCAAAATTTTTCTGCATAAATACTCTAAAACATGGTTTTTATATATGTATTTTTTCTTATCTACCTCTCTTATTATACTAATATTCCAGAATAAATTTCGTTCTGAACATTGATGAGTTTGATGAGGTAGAAAAAAATTGAAGGAGACCAAGGTAGGTTTCGCTCTTGTTAACATGAAAGCATTTCCTGTAAATGTCTTCATGATGCAATGATTATTAAATTTTTTCAATAGTTAGAATTAGATTTCTATATGAACTTCGAAAATGTTTTCATAATAAGATTTAAATTATATTTCAAACTTTTTACATGTGTATTGTTCTTTTTCAGTAGTTATTTAAGATTTTTGTAAGGTTTCTCACTGAAGCAAATTTTAGCGGCATTTAAAATTTCTAGAGAAAAATAAGAGCATTTTGTGACTTAAAACTTCTCTTTTCGCATTTGTTTGGGTATTTTTCTTCAAAAAAATATCAAGAAAAACCAATTTTTCTAGCCTTTTTTTCCGATTTTTTTCTCCACGGAACTTTTTTTATAAAAAAACATTAATGATTGAAAAAAATAGAAAAAGGAAAAAAAGTTGTTTGCAATATTATAAAAAGTCTTTTTATAAGTAAAATATTTAAAAACTCTGTGAGCGTTTTCAGCGCGCGCGAACGCCGCGAGAGCGCGCTGGGTTGTTTACAGTTTTGGCCGCTATGACGTCATGTGACGTCACGCGTGGGACCGTGCGAAAGTGAAAAAAGTGGTCGGCGCCCACGTATGTAGGAGGATCAAGCAGTTTTTGAAGTTTGCTGATCAGATTTTTTTCCTTTTCGCGCAAGCCGTTTTTGGATATGGCGCAGCTTCTTTTTTTCGACCGTGGCACATTCCAGATGCGACAATGAGACTTCAACTCTTGTCAAAGTGACTATTAAAGCGGATGAATCTTCAAACTGAGAGAAAAAAAAAACTTTATTTTAAACTTTAAACTTTCTCATATTCAGCATTATCAGAGAATTTTCGGAAACATGAACATCCGTGGTCAAACTTGGAATGGATAGAGGCGTCGCGGTCGAAATTCCGCGAGCGAGAAGAACTTATAGAAAAAGAGGAAAAAAATTATTTTTATGACTGGTTGAAAAAGCCCTTTCAATTGTGAAAAACTGTTTTCGTCGAAACGTCCGATTTTTCTCCACTTCGAGATAAATTTTTGAGTTTACGTTCTAATCTTTGAAGTTACGCCCGAGTGATCCCTATAGGGGAGGTGAAGTAGTCACCCCTAAACCTTGCAAAATTGAACACTAAACAAAAAGAACACTAAACCTTACAAAATTGACCAAATCATAAAAAAAGAACTAAAAAACGGCTATAGGGACCACTAGAGCTTCAGGGACTCATGGGTCAGATCCTAAACACCTATAGGGACGAGCTAAATTTTAGCTCTCTAAGTAGTCCCTATAGGGTCTTTTTTCCTAACCCCTCTAGAGATCATCTGCTTTTTCTCAGGAGAGAGCGTTCAAAAATGAGAGGACACGAGTTTTCTTTTTCTCTGCAGGCTCTCTTGTTTAGCAGTGCTCTCTAGACTCGGATTTTTTCGCCTTTTCCTTCTAAATTGTTTACACGAACCCCTTGGTCGCAAAACGGGTATAGTAACCCAGAAGTTTGTCGCAAAACGGCTGGATGTCCTCCCATGCGCCGTCCTGCAGACAGTTCTTCGGCGGGTTGTTGATGCCAAACTCCATGAGGTAAACCTGATTCTGCAAAGAGAAATATGCAATTATCATCCAAAGTCAACACTTAGTGCGTGCGAAGGAAAATAATTTTCAGCTGTTCCAATCACCTTATTTTCAGCCAAAGTCTGGGCCAGGCGGTAGGTCGGGATTGAGAAATCGCGATCTTGAAGGATCTGAAATTTTCAAGCTTTTTGCAAAAAAAAAATATAGTACTAGCTGAAAAATTCAAGTTCAAATTTCCGACGGAATTTTATGCGACTTTTCTCATCAAAATTTCTGTAAAAATCACAAAAACGCAAATTTTTTTGAAAAATTCATCAAATACGAATCTCGAAAAATCATTCAAAATAATCAAAAATTTGAGAAATTTATTTTTTTGCTTCAAATTTCCATGGGAAAAATCAAAAAATCCCAAAATTTTAATTCGCGAAAAATTGGCAACTTTCCAAATGAATGTCTACGTTTATAAAACTTCAGAGAGCATCCCAAAAATCCCAAAAAAATTATTCGAAAAATCTAAAAAAATTCTTAAAAAAAGTCCTTTTTCGCTTTAAAGTTCTGTATACATCATCACAAAAAAATCTCATAAACCTTTTTTGAAAAATTTTAAAAATGAAAAAGAATAATTTGTCACTTTTTGAAATTTTTTTCCCCCAACTAGACAATCAAAAATTCTTTTTCGATAACGAACCTTATTGATCGTCTGAAACAGGAAATACGTGTTCTTCTTGTCGCCTTCCGTATGAACGTACTGATGGAGTAAAAATCCGACGGAGAAGGGGTCCGTTTCTGGAAATGAGTGGGAGGAAATGGAATATGATCATAATTTGGACTTTATTCAAAGAATTTTTGATTTTCATGTCATTTAACTTCATAGGAACCTATTTTTGCTCCTTTTCTTTGAATTTGTCGCCATTTTGGAACATTTTCGTAGCTTCCAGAAGTCAAAAAGCAGCCATTTTTTTCCGAATTTTTGCAGAGAAAAATTGAAGGAAAAAATTTTTTTAAATCATTGAAAAATGGGTACTTTTTGAAGAAATTTATTTATTTTGATAGGGGCCACGTACTTGATTTTATAAAGGGAAATCACCTAAAAATTCATTCATTTAACGGTATAGAAATTCTTTTCGAGATACATAATCAACTGATAATTTTTAATTTAATGAAGTTTCCTCCAAATTTTCATCATCCATCTAATACTTTTTGCTTTTTGAAATACGAGAAAAACTCCCGAAAAATCAACAATTGTTTCAAGGGGAACATGAGTTTCACAAAGACTTCAAATGAAATGAAATGTTTATCGACTTTGATTCTTCTGGTGAAAGCAGCTTTTATTTTGAAAAGTAGGAATTTCTGAAGTTTTTTTCGCGCAATTTTGAATTATTTGACTGATTTTTCAAATTTCAGAAACTTAAAAAAAAAAACGATAATCGAGATTTGCGTACTTAACCGATCCGTAGACGCAAAAAAATTTTTGAATTTCAAAAAAAGTCGAAAAAAACTTTGAGCTTTCTTTGCGAAGATATATTCGAGTACCTTCTATCAGTTCGGCACCAAAAACTAGCCTTTCGCTTCGATACGCGCGACCTGTCTCAGTGCATGCGCCTTTAATTTAGCCTAAAAATGTCGTATTAAAGGCGCACGTACAGAGACAGGTCGCGCGCATTGAATGGACGGTGCCACGTGCTTCAAAGGGAAAGCCTTGTCTCTGTGCATGCGCCTTTAAATTAGCCTAGAATTTATTTTATCAAAACAAAGACCATTCGATGCATTGAAACATAACGAACAAAAAAAAAGTGTAAAACCGACGCCGTATCTCTACTAGAACTCGAGATAAACTCGATCATAATGTCGTTATATGTAAATTGAAGGCGCACGCACAGAGACGGGTCGTGCGCATTGAATGGAAGCTCTGCATGCGCCTTTAAATTGGGCTAAAGTTTTAGTTTTATTAAAGGCGCATGCAGAGAGACAGACCTAGCTCATCGAATGGAAGGATCTCTGTGCATGCGCCTTTAAATTTGCCTATAATATTGGTTTTATTAAAGGCGCATGCAGAGAGACAGGACGCATGTATCGAAGGGAAGGGCCTATCTCTTTGCCTGCGCCTTTAAAGCAGCCCAAAAACTTTCGTTGTATTAAAGGCGCATGCAGAGAGACAAGACGCATGTATCGAAGAGAAGGGCCTATCTCTTTGCTTGCGCCTTTAAAGCAGCCTAAAAACTTTCTTCGTATTAAAGGCGCATGCAGATAGACAGGATGCATGTATCGAAGGGAAGGACCTGTGTGGTGTGTCTTTGTCTGCGCCTTTAAAGCACCCAAAAAACTTTCTTCGTATTAAAGGCGCATGCAGAGAGACAGGACGCATGTATCGAGGGAAAGGATCTCTGTGCATGCGCCTTTAAATTGGGCTAAAGTTTCAGTTTTATTGAAGGCGCATGCAGAAAGACAGGATGCATGTATCGAAGGGAAGGACCTGTGTGGTGTGTCTTTGTCTGCGCCTTTAAAATAGCCTTAAAACTTCCGTTGTATTAAAGGCGCATGCACAGCGAAATACTGCGCGCATCAAAGGGGAAGGTACTGTAGCTCGAAGTGACCAGCTGGTCCGGAATAGGCTATAAAACTGCTTGAAAATCGCACTTATGCAACGAATCCGGCAGCGCGGAGGCCATGAATCGTTTAAAGTCCTTATAGGAGAACTCGGCAGTGAAATTGGCGTCGACTGAGTATCCAACGGGGAGATCCTTGTACAAAATCAGCAAAGTGGGCACTTGAGTGGTCTTGATTTCAGTCGACGGAGCCCGGAACGGCTCGCCGAATGGGTAAAAAGCCTTCTGAACTTTACAATTTTTATAACTCTTTCCGAGAAAGACCGCTACATGGACATCCGAAGCGGCCTTCACGATTTGATCTAAAGATTTCGTCCTCAAACAGTCTATAGTTTGATCTCTCGACGGGATTTCACACTGAAAAACTTAATTTCATCATTTTTTTGGCAAAACCTCAAGATTTCTGTAGAATTTATGTGAAGACAATCGCTCAAACTTGTTCCTTTCAAGAGTTCGCGTCAACTGATTTCCGTTTTCCAGGATCACTCTTGCCACATTATCTGAAAAAACTAGGTCGAAAAGTACAATTTTCCAACGTTTGCAAGTGCTTTATAGAGAAATCCATTGAAAAATTTTCTCAAAAATAATGAAAGAAAAAAATCAAAAACTTTTCTCAGTATTGGACCTCCTGCCCCTGTAGGGGGTCACAAGGGCTCGCAAAAAGTAGTCCCTATAGGGGCTAGTCAATGATTTTTTTATAAATTATATGCGAAGAAGCATTTCCATGGGAAAAAAACTGAATAAATAATCGTTTTTTTGAACGAATTTGTGAGATCCCTATAGGGTCCACTTGACCTTTAGGGGCTAAGGGGTCAGACCCTAAACCCCTATAGGACCACCTTGATTTAACCCCTATAGGGACCACTTTTTCGGCCCCAATTGGGGCTGTTTTTCTCCCTAACCTCTTTGGGGCCTGAAATATCATTTTTTGAATAAAATTGAAAAATTCCTATAGGGACCACTTGAGCTTTAGGGGCTAACGGGTCAGACCCTAAACCCCTATAGGGACCACTTTGTCGGCCTCCTCCTAACCCCTATAGGGGTCCCTCTGAATCTCCTAATAATATAAAACGGCGAATTGAGGCTACCACTCAAGAGCCCAGTTTGCTGATTTTTGCGCAGTCAAAATTACATTTCTATCAACTTCCCTGCAATTTTGAGTGCGTGGGAAAGCTTCAAAAAAGGTAAAATTAAGAGCTCGAACCCCCAAGAAGAGGCAAAGCTGCGGAGAGAGTCTCCGCGGCGTCGCCAGAGGCCCAAGCAGTGATCGGGCCGACGCCCAACTCCTCAGAATTGGCCTTCAAAAATCGGACGACGGTCAGGACGTCGCTGACACCGTAGGAACCGCCGTCGAGATGGCCTGGATTGATTTTGAAGGAACTATTTTTTAGTTATCATTACCCAGGACTCCAGTTCGGATCGAGGCGTAGACCATGGTGAGATCATCCTTCACTAAAGCGGCCACTTTCTTCTCACTCAGCTCTTCATTGGTGAAGTAGAGGAGAGTGTTTTTCTGGAAAAGTGACCACTTGAGGAGCTTAATCTTCTATAAGAGTGACCACTTAAGGGATAAAACTGATCAGTCAAGTAGTAGAACGTTTTTTCTGGAAAAGTGACCACTTTAGGAGCTTAATCTTCTATAAAAGTGACCATTTAAGGGACAGAGCTCATTAGTCAAGTTAAGAAGAGTTTTTTTTCTGAAAAAGTGACCACTTTAGGAGCTTAATCTTCTATAAAAGTGACCATTTAAGGGACAGAGCTCATTAGTCAAGTTAAGAAGAGTTTTTTTTCTGAAAAAGTGACCAATCGGGGAGCCAAACTTCCTATATGAGTTGCCACTGAAGGGATCAAACTCATCAGTCAAGTAGTAGAACGTTTTTCTGTAAGAGTGACCACTTGAGGAGCCAATTCATCTGTGAGAGTGACCACTTGAGGGGTTAAACTCTTCTTTACTTGACTAATGAGTTTAACCCCTCAAGTGTTTTCTTAAAAAGTGACCACTTTAGGAGCCAAACTATCTGTGAGAGTGACCACTTAAGGGATCAGACTCATCAATCAAGTATAGAAGATGAATGAAAAAAGATTCTTTATTGAAAAGTCCAACTCAAGTGGTCGCTCTAGGGCTCGTTTGATTTCAAAACCCTGGAAGCATCTTTTCCTGAACCCGTAAGATTTCTGAAAATTTTCCAACCTTTTTGTCAGAATTGCCTCTGAAGACGTTGAGGTACAGGCAATCCTCTGATCCGCTTCCATACGGATACTCGCTGCAGACGCTCCGAATTTTGTCATAAGTCTTCGATTTGTCGATGTCACTGTCAACTGCGTCCTGGAAAAAAAGTATTCTTTTTAAGATTTTACAAATAAAGGAATTTGAGAATTGCACAATGGTCTCTATAGGGGTTAGGAGCAAAACACAGCACATATAAAGGAAAAAAGTGGTCCCTACAGGGGCAAAATCAAGGTGGTCCTTATAGGGGTTTAGGGTCTGACCCCTCAGCCCCTAAAGCTTGAGTGGTCCCTATAGGGGTTGTTCAATTTCATTCAAAAAAAGTTATTTTTTAGTTTTTCGCATGTAAATGCTTCTTCGCATAGAGCTCATAAAAATTATCGACTAGCACGTCCCCTATAGGGGCCACTAACTAAAACCCCTATAGTGACCACTTTTGCAATCTTTAGTGGCCCCTATAGGGGTTGGTAAAATGGTCCTCTTAAGGGCCCTAAGGTTTCCCCCTATAGGGACCACTCTGGAGCTCCTAAGAAGGGCTTTTTTGGCGTTTAAGGGCGCATAGGCTGGATTAGAAAAGGTCTCCCGAAGCGTGAAGCTTTTTGATAGATTATTGAAAAAGACAAGAAAAAAATAAAAGGGAGCACTGCTAAACAAGAGATAGTTTAGAGAAAAAGCCCGCTCTCTTATTTTTTTAACGCTCTCTAACTTCAGAAGAACCGAACGTTTAAAAAGACGTGCCATTTTTTATAGTTGCCGCAGGAAAGCTAGAAGTAAGGACTTATGAAAAAAAGGTCTTTTTATAAACTTCAAAAAGGGATCTTTCAAAAAAATATCTTTCTTTGAACCTTCACCAAGAAAAAAACAGAAAACCCCACATGAAACCGAAGTTCTCTGAGAGGCGGCTTCGCATACGGCACTCCTAGGAAAGAAGTTGTTCCGCAGAAGACGTCAGGAATCGTCGAAAACAACAGGAGCAGCGATGAAAATCGCATCGCGACTCCTCGACGTGGCCTTTGCCGTCCTTATCAGTTTTGACCGGCATGGGCTCTTTGGTGTTCCTGCTGAATGTCCTAAAAAAATAGTGAACTATTTAGTGATCTTTTTAAGTGAACTTAGGGTGGAAAAAAAGGCTTCATAGAAATTTTATATAATATTATTGCTACCTTAAATTAGTAAACAGAACCATGAATTTTTCATTTTTTTGTGAAATTTTTGAAGTTGCCGAACATGGATTTCAGACCTAACTATGTCATAAACACGAATTTTTGAATTTTGACGCCTCGGGAGTTCTAAAAGGGACTAATTATTTTTTTATTTGAGTTCTATACTTTTTTTAGAATAATAATATTGTAAAAATTTCCTAATAAAAACTAGAAAAATAGTTTGATTCATGATAAACAGTCAATTTCGCTTTTTGCGCGTCACTTCTTGTGCATCTTGTGCATTGCAGACAAAACATTTTATTCTCCGCCGCTATTGTGGCCCGTTGATTTGGTGTCGGCGTGATCTCTACTAAAAAAATTTGCGCAGGTATTGACTATATAGGATCAATTCCTAGTGTCTCCAAGATTTTTGAGAGAATTTACTGAAAATTCTCTCTTCCCCCTTCCGAATAAAAACGAAACAATTCCAAGATATTGATTCTTCAAATATAGGTTATTCTTCATATAAAAAAGCCATACCGAATCATTTATTCATGATAGTTAATAAGAACAGGCGATATACACATTGGGAATTACAATCACACGTTAACAATCGGCGAGATACCAGTGGGGGGAAAATCGAGAAGAAATAGATTATCGAATCGTATCAAGAGCAAGCCATAGGTTGAATCAGTAATAGTTAGAACAAGTTATTTTTTTCTAAATGATGAATTCCGCGACATTTTTATCGGAAGACGACCGTCCTCAAGGCGTCTTCCTCATGAACTTCCATCAGACAATCGGATCCGTCGTTGAACCGGTAGGAGACGCCGCCGTCGACCACCTGGACATGGGAAAACACAATTCTGCTAAGTGAAAACAGCCGCGAAAAAAAAAGCCTACGCACCAGAGTGAATGCGCTGCATGGCTAAATGAACATTTTTTTGAATTATTTTCATTCTTCTTCACCTTTATGTATAAGGAGGGCTTAAGTATTATAAATCAAACGAGCTAAACTTAAATAGTCGGAAAAGGATTGTTTCTAGCCAAAAAAAAAAAACACATCTCAGACCTTGGTAACGCGAACGGGACGCGAAACGGACGTGTCGGGGCATTTCTAGTGACCACTTTAGTAGCCTCAGAACTCTTAAGTGATCCCTAGAATCGCCCAGAAACGTCCGGAGCACGTCCGTTTCGCGTTACCAATGTCCGAGATGTTACAACTGGAAATTCGGATTATCCATGGAGCGCACTTACTCCGCCGGATGGGCCTTTGCGAATAGATCCTGCTTTGGCCATATTGTATCGACTATATTTTTTCTGACTTGTTTTATCCGGTCTCTTCTATAATCTATTTCAAAAATCAATAAAATCGAGATTTCTCGATGGAGCGCACATTCCTCATAGATTCGAGCCTCAATTTATGGATCAAAAACGGAATTTTAAAGTTTTCCAACTCTGAAGATCGCAAGATTTACCAAACTCGCCACGACTTGAGCCTCTCTGTTTTTTCTGGTCTCTCGTGTTTACGCGCTATTTTCATTCTTTTTTGACCTCCAGGATGAGAGAAAAGAGGCGCAGATCGGTCAGACCTTTCAATCGAAACATTGTAAAGAATTGGATGAAATTAATTTTTGAAAAAAATTGGTTGAATTTAAAAAAGGCCTCAAGTGGCTACTTTATTGGAATTACTCATCCATAGACCAATAAATAATTGAAAAATTTTTTTGAAAAATGTCGATTCATTGATAGCTCTCAAGGGACCACTTCAAAACTCACCAAATGAGCATCATATCCCCGGCTCTTGATCCGAATCCGATCAGCAAAGCCACGAGGATCCGTAGGCAAAAATGTCGAGTTGAAAACTGGGTCTCGAACAGAAAACGCCATTTCTAAACCGTGATTACTGGAATGTTTCTCTGATTTTTCTCAAAAGCAGTTTCAACCTTTTCTCTACTTATTCCCTCATCATTGAGTTTCTGAAAAACCTCTCCACAATAATTTCATAACTAGCAAGAAAAAAAAACTTGAGATTTCATATATTTCGATTTCGCTACGATACAAAGAATGGCTGAACGGTTGCGTTCAAAAAACAGAAATTTTTCCCAGATTTTCCATATTTATCACTTGGACTCCACTTCGTTTAAATTATTTTTTTTCGATTGATCTGTTCAAAATTAAGGATTAATCAAGCCAAATTTGCCTTCCTTGCCAAAAGGGAGAGACTCAAAAAAGCCCGCAAAAAGGCCACAAAAAAGCAGCAAAAAGGGTCTTATCAAGCCTCCACTTTTTTCTGGAATCTCTCAAGACTCAAGAAAGGGTGAAAAAGGGAGAGGCAGCGAAAATGGTGCAAAAAGCCGATGAAATGGCGTAAAAAGGCAGCAAAACAGGAACCATTTTCACCCTAAATGAAACATTTCTATGGAGCCTTTTCCACCCTTTCCCATGTGCTTTGATTAATTATTTCCTTCAAGACCGCACTGGGAATGGCTCAGTGCGTTGCGGTCGGCTAATGACACCTTCTCCCTGTTTTCCTGTCACTGTATTAACTATCTTCCGGAGGTTCCTCCCATCCAAAAATTCTCCACCTAAAACCCCTTCAAAAACCACCAACTTTGACAATCGGGCGCGAAAATGAGCTGTTGATTAAAAACTGTGCAAATGTCGCTGATTGTGTCGGCGTTGGCTTCAGGTAGGGAAACCTTGAAATTCGCCAATTATAATAATTTTTCACAAAAATTCACCTTGCACTTGTCCGAAATGATTTTCATCAAGTCGACAACGCACTGTTCTGTGAGTTTGTTGATGTTGAAATACCACGAAGTTGAGCCGGTTCCTGTAAAAAAAAAATGATTTTCGAAACTTTTCTAGAAGCAAGCACTGAAATGGACTATAGTATAATCACCGATAACTTGAATCAAAAGTCCTTTTAAAGCCGTCTAAACCTCTTTTTTCACACAATATTTCGCTTAATTTCCGAAAAGACTCTAGAGTCTTCAGATTGAAAGTAAAAATAACTACACCTTTTTTTCCAGCTTCTTCTTTTTCTAATGTCTTTATTTTCATAACAAATTCGCTTGCTTCAAAATTCCGAAAGTTTTGGTCAGGGTAACTGAACTTTCGCGAAGTTCTTCATAAAAATGAATCTTTCGTTTTTTCAAGTACATTTTTCATACAAATTATACTTTTTTGTAGGTTTCTCTGACACGTATCGAAAACTTATAACAGAAAAAAACAAGATAGAGTTTTAAAAAAACCAAAAAAACAAAAAAATTTCCCACTTTTTGGACAACCATTTTTTTCGCTTTTTCCCGTCTAAAATATTCATTTTTGCTCGATTCTATTAAAAATCTATGTAGATTTCCCAAATAAATGAAACCGCTGTATGACAAAAGTGATTACATTTTTCTGAAAACTGAAAATTTTTCCTTTTTAGGGATGTCGTATACTTTCGAAACGCTCTATCCCTTTTGCACTCATATTGATTTTTTTTTTCAATCTTCCATTGATTTTCGAACAGAGTTCCTGTATGTAACATTATTTTTTTTCTTAACCCCTAGGAGAAGATTTTTTTTTCTGAATATTCCCTCTAGTCTCCTTCTTCCCGACGAACCCGTGCAAACGGTGATCCCGCTGCTCTTCTGCTTCACCATTTTCTCGTTGTTGATGCCGATTTCGTAGTAGGAAACACGGGAGGAAAGACTTTCGCCGACGAAAACTTCGTTAAGAGCCAAAACTGGGAGCTCCACGGTGGTCATCGAACTCGCCGCCTTCGACTTTTTGCATCTGGAACATCTTTTTTCAAGTTTGAATAAAAAAATAAAGAAAAATCCCCTCGTCACAAAAAGTTTTAAAATTCAATTTCTCATGGTTTTTGTGAGATTCTCAGTTAAAAAAAGCTCATTTTTCGTTGAAATTTCATGAATTTTCGATCCCCATCTTGTTTTTTTGAGGTGTATTTCTACCGCATAAAGTCAAAAAAATATAACAATTATTGTCTTTTTCAAAGTTTTCCTTAGCGTTTTAGGACGAAAATTCTTTGGAAAAATGTTCTTTTTTAACTTTTTTGTATACCATCTTAATCAGAAAAACAACGGAGGGCAAAAATCCATAAAAACGGTCGAAAATAAAAATATTTCGAAATACTCCAATCGTCAAAAATCCACCGTTCTTTCTCATAACATCTTTTTTTCTTATTCCAATCCTAAAAAAACGAACAAAGGCGGAGAAATCGATTTATAATCCGTTTCGCCGGGGCTTCTCGGATTGTCCGTCCACCGTGTGGTCGCGGGATTCCTAAAAAAATGTTGTCAAATTATTTTTTTCAACGCTGGAAAAAAACATAGGTCCGGTTTTTAACCCAAGCTCAAAAGCCTAGAAACGTTTTTTTAACTTAAAAATTAAGGTCCAAAATCAAATTTAACCTAAAACTAAGGTCCAGAAGTAGTTTTTAACCTAAAAATTAAGGAAAGTTTTAAAGTTGTATATTTCAGTAAAACTTCTCGAATTTGAATCCTACGTTTATTTCTGTCCAGTACATCCGTGGGCTTGAAAATAAAAATTATAGCTAGTTTTTTTTAGACCGACTAAATTTTGTACTCGCCCAAATATGACCAAAAAAAACCTGTTCAACTGCTGATCGTGAAGCTCGATGACTTCTCCGAGTTCCCCGTTCACAGTTATTCGGATCCTTTGCCGGAAAAGCCATCTAAAATCGAGATAAACCTTGGGTTCAATGAGAGAAACTCACTGAAAATCGCCACTGAATAGCCGTTGAAGGGCGGATTTTAGGTGATCCTCTGGCAACTTCCTGATCAAGCACATGTAGCCTTCGGAACTGGAAAAGGAAAAATTTAATGGTTCAAAATATGGCCAAGGCGCATTTTGAAAAAAGCTTCGAAGGTGATTTTCAGATAAAAATCAACAAGAGCCTTTAAAAGTTTAACTTTTCCGTCAGAGGAAAAAAAAAGAAAAAAAAAGTTCAAATTGAAAATTCAAACAAAAAATTCAAAAACTTCCATCTTTTGAGCTTTCAAATCGATTTATTCAAAGAATCAAGCTTCTTTCAAAAAGAAGGTCATGAAGCGAAAATAGAATTTGGCCCCTTGTTTTTAAAGCTCTTTTTCTCGTTTATCTTTCCGTTTTTCGCTCGAAAACCCGTACCCCTGAGGATCGGTATTGATTCCGATGACGGGCTTCTCGCGGCTGTGGATGCGACTGGCGGCCATGAGGAAGGTTCCGTCGCCGCCGGCCGAAAAGACGGCGTCGGCCCAGTCGACCGACTGCTGCGTGTAGGCGAACCGGTCCACTAGTCGGGACTCGACTCCGGCATTTCTGAATTCACACACATATAATTTTTCTGTTAATTCATTCCTTTGAAAATTAACAAATTTCAAGAAAAATCGATACATTCTGTTTTCAACCTATGATTTATCATTATTGAAAGAATTTTTAGTGGTCGCAATAGAGGCTCCCCGAAGGACTACTTGGAGAAGACTCTAAAGTGGCCACAAGAACCACCTCTATAGTGGTCACTAATTTATAATCCCTAAAGTGGCCACTGATTTGACTACTATAGTGGCCACTAAAAACGTCAAAAACCCTAGAGTGGTCACTAAGAACTTTCCACAATTTTTTTCTTTTTCTCTATGATAAAAAAATAGCAGAACTGGTCGAAAATATTCGAAATTTTCAATTTCAAAAAAACGAATCTGTATTCAATGCAAGCAGAAAAAAATTAAAAAAATTATAAAACTCGCAATATAGAAAAAAAGGGCAAAAACCAATATTTTTCCTTCTAATCTTTTCGTGAAACACCTCATTTTCGGCTTGAAATCACCGGGAAAATGATAATGAATAAAATTTAAATTTTTTTAGAACTCATTCTTACTTGAGCTCAGCCTGCAGTGTCTTCAAGTAGGAATGATGAACTTTGTGTTTTTCCAGAAGATTATTGTAGTCCGAGCCGCGTTTTTTCAACTGAAAAAGTTTCTTTTAGCCTTTCAAACACAATTTGATGGGACTTACAACATCGACCAGCTGAGAATCGTCGATTCCTTTGTTTGTTTTCTTCTCGAATTCGTACCGGGTAAGTTTGGTCAGAATCAGAACTCGTTTCGGGCGGAATGATGGGGTCTGAGTTATTCAAATTCGAACCGTTTTTGAATGAATATCCCGATCTTTTTAGCCAAAATCTTGGAACGTAATTACCAACTAACTAATCGGGAAGAGTCCAAATAGTGGATAATGGCCGCGAAAAGGGAGAGGCTTAAAAAAGGACGCAGAAAGGCAGCAAAATGGCAGCAAAAAGGCAGGAAAAAGGCAGCAGAATGGCACCAAACAGGCAGCAAAAATAGTCTCTTTATCGATCCTTCTTTTTTTCTGGGATTTAAAAGGCTCAATCAATGGTTAGAGGCAGCGAAAATGGTACATAAAAGCCCATGAAAGGGTGCAAAAAGGCTGCAAAAAAGGAACATTTTCATGAGGATTTTTTTGACATTTTCCGATTTTTTCTATGTCACATGAAACTCACAAGAAGGCTCTTAAATTTGAAGACCATTAAAAAATTTTTAATTACTTTTTATTCAATTTTAATCATCATTTTGAAGAAACTGAAACTATAGGTCTTGCTCACCTCCATGTTGAAAATGGGTCTCGACTGGATGGGCTGATGATTCTGGTAAAGAGCTGCGGCGAGCGACCGCGGGAGTCGCATGCGATTCGCCCAGGGGACCTCGCAGACCTCGGCGTCAAAATTCGAAGAGGTCGGCGACTTTTCGCACGTCGGCAACACGTGTCGGAGGGCGGAGAGCTACAAATAAACATCATTTTCAGGTCGTAATTATAAAAAATGTACTGGAATCAATTATCAACTGGATATTCGAAATCCACTACTAAAGCCGTATGAAATAAATTTTATTTATTGAAAAATCGAAAATAACTTCAACTCGTCTTTTTTACATTGCATTTGTTCTTCCCTTCGTAAATATTCTAATAAAACCTTATAACATCAGAAAAAGTCAAAAGAGACGAATATATAGCAAGTTTCAAACCTACTCCGTTTTCAGAATTTTCTATTTTTGTTGCATATCACTTCAGATTTGTTTGAAAAAACTTACAAAGCGCTAAGAAATTTCAACTCATTAATTTTCCAAGCAATATTGACCGCCTTAAGCTCATACTACTCGTAAAGTTTTTTTATATCATCAATAAAATTTTTTTCTAATCTTTCTAAAATTTCACCATCAGTAATTTATTTCGTCATCTAGCCTAGTTAATGTTTTATTTCATGCGTTGAAATAGGAGTAATTTTATTTTTAAAAAAATACAAACACCGAAACTTTATTTTTTTGTGGGTCTCGATACAAAATCAGGATTTTTCCTTCAACAAAACTTTCCAAAGATTGTAGAACTGACTATAAAAAAATCATTTTTATGTATCAGATTCGAAAATTAACAAAAAAACCTTTTGTTTGGTTTTTTTGAACTTATTCCTATCTTTAAACTCATTATTAACATGAAGAAACTTAATTTTTTTCGAATATTATCTTCTCGAAGACGATGAAACAGCTTTGAAAAGAAGTTCACGAAAAATTATAAACAAACGTGAGCACCGAAATAATAATAAAAATGAATTTTCAAAACTCAAGAAGCTTTTAAATCAGGTTCAAATGAGCCAAAATGTTGCGTTGGGCAGTTGTTTATCATTAAGATATGTTTCGTTTCTCCACCGAACGACCCATTAAGCAAATAGTGCTCAGTTATCAACATCACTTGTTCCTTTTCCATAGTTTAATATTTTAGAACCTTTGTCTAGTCCTTGCATATGTACCAAAAAACTAAAACTTTGGTTTCAACAAGAAAAAAAGAAACGAACAAAAAGCTTCTCACGCATTTTTCTCGTGTAGCAATAAAATGTATGATTTCCAAAAAAAAGTCCCCATAAATTTTTGAGAAAACACTATTTGTTCGTAAGAAAGAAAAAGGGTGATCGCGTAAATGAACACTTCTATTGCATCATCCCAAATTCTCTTTTACAAAAAAAAGAAAAGTGTAAAACTTTTCGAAGGAAGGGATTCTTCCCAGAAAAAAAAACTTGAAAAAGATTTCTTTTCGATTAAATTCTAGGCGATCATAGTTTAAACTCGAAAAACTCGTTTTAGAAATAGCGAGAAAAATAGTGAAATGCACGAAAAATAAAAGAAAAAGAAAAAAACTCGTGGCGAAATTTGAAAAAAGACGGAAAAGATTTCGGGAGCATGTGTGCTCCGACGTACATTTTTATGCCGTGTTCAAAGTAATTTCACGCGAAATGCAAAATGATCTCTGACTCTCCAAAATTTAGTGATCTTTTCCTTTCTCTAACGGGCATTTTGCATTTCGTGGAATCAAATTGAACACGGCATTAAATTTTTCTTTTCTTTTCTGTTCATTTTTTTCGATTTATTCAGTTCTTCTTACTTATTTTGATGCGATTTATGATTTAAGGAATTAAATGAAGCTTGTTGAAGGAATTTACAGTTACGATTTGACAAAAAAAAATTTAGTTTACCGAGATTTTCACTGATAATCAGTATAAATTCCACAAACCTCACTAAAGGTTTTCTTTTCCAAGTTAGCAAGGATAAAGTGAACCTGGTGCTCAATATGATGAGGGCGGATGCGAACCCGCATGGCGCATTCAACAAAAATGAAGGATGGACAGTCGTTCTGATTTGGGAATGATTAGGGGATGGTCGAGCGAAGAACGAAACGAGTTTCTCATATGAGAACGGACAGAGGAGAGAAATGATAAAGACCGCAACAATACTACACAGAAAACGTGAAAAACAACGAAAAACAAATCTCGAAATGATGATAATTACCGATTTCCATTGAAATTCTCAAATTTCAAGGCAAAAAACAAGATTTGAATTTAATCGAAAAATTCAAGTTTTCGGGTCGGGAGGTCTCCTGACTATTTTTTATTTCTGGAAAACCTGGGAAAACACTTTTTTGTAGTCTATTCTTGTACAGAATGTGAAAAACGAGTAAAAAAAAATACCACGTGATTTAATAAACGATTTGAAAGAGAAAAACAGCTGGAAGTTTCGGAAAAAGCTTTAAAAAATGGAGAAAGCAGGAAATGATGAAGCTTGGAAATTTTCGATACGTTTTATATATAAATTTAGTTTTGAAATCTTATTCAGTTGCTGGATTGAGTGTTGCCCAGTGTTTAAAACGATTGAAAACAGAGGAAAAAAAAATTTTGAAACAGCAAAAAAGGGCTTATTGATCAAGATGAAGCGAAAAAAAACGGCCGCGAAAATTTTGGGAAATGTTGCTCTATAGCGAAAAGTCTATCTTTCGTGGAAAATTGAGGACTTTTAAACTTTTGAAAACAAATTAGATATTCCAATTCAAAAAAAGCGAGATTGAACCGATGAAAAATTTAGCCCTCTAATTTTCTCTGTATTTTTGAACTTCAGAAATATTATCGAAAACCATTTTACTTTTGAAAAACCAATGAGAATAGAAAAAAATGACTTTAATTTCCAAAATACGACCTTTTTTTCAAATAGAAAAATGATTTTTCAGAATGTTTTGAAAAATTGTCCATAGGGCGCAAAGGTTGCGGCGCTCGCGGCTGTTTCTTCACAACTATCATTTCTGAACCTGTTCAGCTCTAATGATAGAGCTGATTGTATGGAAATTATTAGAAAAAAACAGTCAGAAATAAAAAAATTTTTCATGAGAGAACAGATATTATGAGCAATTTTTAGCGGAAAAAATTAAAAATTAAAAAATCTTCATTTTCGAAACTAGAAAGGATCTCACATGAAAGATGAAAGAACCGAGTTAAAAATCAGGGAAATTCCAAGGCCACGTGGGGCTCCGATAGAATCAAGGCAACAAATTCGCTCACGTAGCAACACGTGGTTGTTTGAACGCCCCACGCGAAATTCTTCTCGAGGGGGGACGGGAAAAAGTTCAAGGAATAGAGAGAAAGAAAAAAAACCATGCGCCACCGCGTGTTGGTTCGAATCTCATGAGGCTATTTGCCAGCGAAAATAGACAGGAAAAAAAAAAGAAATTCTCTCTCTCCTGAAGCTGTAAATAGAAGTGTGATCTTTGGAGTGGAACGCCGACTGAATAACAAGCAAAAAAAGGAACGCCTATTTGCAGAAAACTCGGATGACTTTTTAAAAGGTGGTATGAAAAACACCAGCGAAAAATTCAAACGGCGACTTTTTCCGATTTTTTTCATATCGCTAGGGAACTTTCCGACGGCCACCTTTCCGACGAAATTTTTTTCCGACTTTTTTTCCTTTATATTTTTTTCTGTTTATAAGACATCAATTTACATTTTTTTCCTATTTCTTTTGTTTTAATCATGAACCAACTACCTACTTTATATAGGAAGATTTAAAACGAAGATTTTATCGAGAAAAAAAGTGGGAAAAAGATTCGGCGGAAAGGTGGCCGTCGGAAAGTTCCGTAGCGATTTGAAAAAATCGGAAAAGTCGCCGTTTGAATTTTCGCTGGTGTTCTTTTCATACCACCTTTTAAAAAGGTGTTTTGAGAAAAATCGAAACTCCAGAATGGTCCCTATAGGGGCTAAAGGGAACAATATACCAACCCTTATAGGGGCCACTAAAGCTTTCAAAAGTGGTCTCTTTAGGGGATTTAGTTAGTGGCCCCTGGGGACATGTTAATCGATAATTTCTTAGTACTCTACGAATTGGAAAGAACCCTAGAGGGACCACTTAAGCTTTAGGAACTGAGGAGTCGACCCCAAATCCCTATAGGGACCACCTTGTTTTTATCCCTATAGGGGTCACTTTTTCGGCCCCAATAAGGTTTTCTTTTTCCTCCTAACCACTATAGGGACCCCTCTAAGAAAAAAATTTTTCCGTTGAAATTTTAAAAACTCATTAAAAAAATTTCAGACAGAGTAAGGGAAAAAGAGATGAATGAAACAAGTTCAAGTGGCCACCTGAGGGATTTTTTTCAAAAAAATAAAATGAGCTTCATAGATGATCCCTCAAGTGATCACTTTGAAAAATAACTTTATACCGCAGAAGATTATCCATTGACCTAAATGATGATGATCATAAGACTTTTCTAAATTTATAGATCTCTTAAGTGACCCCTCAAATGAACTGTCTATTGAATTTCTCGCACTGGAGGTTGTATCAAATCGATATTTTCAAAAAACTTTTCATAAAAATCCCTTTTTTAAAAACGTGAATGCCACTTAAATGATCACTCTGTCGATCATGGGATGAGCCTTCAAGTTCTCCTTAATAAGATTTCTCGATTTTTAGACGAAAATTTACGACAACAATTTTTTCTAAACGGTAATGATAGTACTGATAATGATATGATAGCATTTTTTCGAATTTTCCTAGCAAATATTCGAAAAAAAAATACTAACTCAACAACTCTTTCTGCAAATAGTTACACATAGAAGTTTTCAAAACGTTTGAGACCAAAAAACGGAGAAAAAGAACAACGGCGGAAGAGAACATCCAGCGAGAGAGCTTTACAACACATCACACCACCTTTTTCTTCTCGAATTGGAAAATCTTTACATTATCCGGAAAAAATAAGTGAAATTATGACGCGAAATTGCAGAGAAAAAAGCAATTTCCTTAGTTCAAAAATCAAGAAAAATTCGTTGTTTCAGGACAGATATGATGATTTTTTTGTGAAGTGATGACTCGGCACGGAGAAAGACAATACCCATAAATGACTTATATGTGTCCCTAAAAAGGAAAGAAAAGCGTGTTTAACATGAGCAATACGTGGAATGTTAAAGAAAGCAGAAAAAAGAAAAAAGTGTATAGTTTGCTCATCAAATTCTTTAATGGCGCATAGTTAGAAAAGTTAATTTTTCTTGAAACTAGCTTAAAAATGGCTCCATTTTTGCACTTGAACGCGATAAAATTTCTCATAAACTTCTAAATTGTAGAGGAAAATTGAAGTGGTCACTTAAGGGCTCTTTAAAATCTTTTCTAACTCCAACAAAAAGAAAAAAGTTCAAGCCGTCTCAGAACTTCAAAAAGTTTTTTTGAGTTTTGAACTATTCGAAAAAAAAATCAAGTGACCACTTAAGAGCGTAAAAAACTTTTATGAAGTTCTCCAGCACTTCTAAAAGTATAAGTGACCACTTAAGGGTCAAGAGAAAAAAATTTCAAGATCAAAATTTGAAGCGAAAAAGCGGGTAACTTGAAAATCACTCCGCAAGTTATATCACTGAAAGGTAGAGAGCGTGAGGATCGAAGAGTCGCAGAGAAAAAAAGATCTGCGTCTCTTCAAATATCATGCTCTCTACCTTCTACAATCATCATTTAAGCGCTCTTTGAGTAAATGGACGCATTCCAGAACTTGAAAGACCAAACTACACACAAACGAAAAAATCATAAAAACTTCAGCGGGCAACGAATGCAAAACAAGTGAAAAGAGAAATAAAACAAGATAAAAATCAGACATTTTCAACAGATTCCGGAGGGACGCAGGGTTTTCTTCGGACGCCTTGTTCGATTCCGATCCGCAGGATTTTCAGACCAGCCGATAGTCGAGTGTAGGCGTTTTGGATGTGTTTCGGTGTCTTCGGGTCCAAATCGACGATTTTTATCGAGTAGGCAAATCGGGTGCCTGGAAATGATGTGAATAATGAAAAAATAAAAAAGTCGATGACTCGGATCACAAAAAATCTTTTCTAACTACTGTTTCTCTTATTATAACCACACTTTTCTAAGAAAAAGTCAGCATAATTTTAGAAAATCTCAAGAAAATTTTCAAAAATCCACTTTCGAAAAATTCATGAGTATGGAACAAGTCCCGACGATCAAGCATGAAAAAAATTGCGAAAAATCTAATTTTTCTTTTTTTTCCCAAAAACCCACCATTGGCCAGGGTGACAACGTCCGACGGGTACTCGCCGGAGCTTGGCGATACCAGTTTCAAAGAGACCATTATCTAGAAAAAAAATCAATCAATGCGCAGAAATGTGCTTAGGAACGCTGAAGTGGTCCCTAAAGGGGTTAGAAGTAAAACAGGCTCTACAGAGGACAAAATAGTGCTCCCTAGAGGGCTAAATGCGGGTGGTCTAGGATACCTAACCTTAAAAGATGAAGTGGTCCCTTTAGTGGTCTTTGAATTTTTTTTCAAGTTCAAAGGTGAATAAAAGTATCAAAAAAGGTATAGGGACCACTCTAATAGAGTTCAAGCTAGTGCCCCCTATAGGAAGAGGTAAAGTGGTTTCTAGAGAGGGCCCTTCAAGGACCCCTAGGATTGTCCCTTCAGGGACCACTCTGGCGATTTAATTTCGCAAAGTTGGAATTCAAACGAGGCGGTGACATTGTCAGTAGAGCAATTTTCCTAAATATTTCCTCTATTTTCTGAATTTTTCCTTATTTTCATTTTGACGGGTCAGGGTTATCCCGGGGCGTCAGCTCTGCTTGAATTCCATTTTTATGGGTTATTTTTGGAAATTTTTGATGAATACGAGAAAACTCAGAAAATATGATTTATATTGATTTCAACGACATTTTCACCTTAATAAATGATGTAAATTTTCAACTTTTTCACGTTTTTGAGCAATATTTGACACCAGAAACACTTATGAGGGCAAAAAACCACACAGAAAAGCTTTAAAAATCAAGTGACAAAACGAAAAAAAAACCGAGCAATCCTTCATTGTTGCCGAGACGAGGTACCGTTCGATCAAGTTCTGGGCGTCATTTTTGGCAGGACTCAGGATCGCGTCGAGACCTTTTCGAGCCAATCGCGTCTTGTCCAGGATTTCAGCCTAGATTTTCGATTTTTTTGGAATGAAATCGCAAAAACACCTTGACATTTCCAGGCAAGGCATTGTACAGGCTGAAAGCCCGGCCCAAACCGATTGAGTCGATTTTCTGGGCCGTCAAAATTTGGCCCAAAACCGAGGAGTCGTGAAGTTGGAATGGCGAATTTTCGTCGCTTCCCGATAAAACCAAGCATAACTGGAACATAGTGATTATTAAAAAAATAAGAAGACGTCAATAATAAAAAATGATGTTATTCGAATCGTTCAAATTATGCTTCACAAAAAATTACTAAATCGAATATTTTTCTTTCCGTTCAAAAAATTTCAGACAATCAAAACTTTCAAAAATCTGAGGACATATTCAATATTTACAAAAGAAAAAAATAAGAAAAAAACACCTTAAAAAAATTCAAGCATTTAACAATTGCGCTCTATAGACAAATATGATTTTCTGAAAGACGAAATCTGAGCTTGAACACAAACCGCATGGTAAAGATCGTCGAGTTTGGCTCGCCTGTCAGGAAAAAAAGTCTCGTCGAAGTCGCTCTGTTCCACCGTTTTCTTGTCGCAATGGACCTAAAAATTGCATCTTTTCTTCCTTTTTTGAGATTTACTCCTTCAATTTCGCTCAAACATTCACAAAAATAGAAATATTGAATTGAAATATTAGAGATCTCAAAAATTTTCAAGAGTGTCTATAGAAAAATATTGAGAAATACAACACTTATTCAGCAGGGATGGGTGGAATTTTGCTTGTGCTTTTTTTTGCTTCTGGTTCTCCGTTTCCCGCAAAGAAGAATGACTCGGACTATGTTAACGCAAACCGAACGCGCTCCGGACATTTCTGAACATTTGTAGTAATCACCAGGCTTGTGCGAGGGCCGGCCCGTCATCCTCCCGGCCCGTCATCCTCCCGGCCCCCCGACCATTTCGTAAGCCCGGCCTTAGCGGGCCTCAAGAAAAAATGGCCCGCCCGGCCCGAATCGCGCAATTTTTTTTAGTCGGATATCAAGTTTTTTTACGACAAAAATTACGTTTTTGCTCATTTTTTCTATTGAAGTTTAACAAAAACTATGATTTCAAAGTAAAAGTCACATTTCGGTGAAAATTGTTTTTGAAGCCCGGCTTGGCCCGAGCCCACCCGGGCTTTTCTGAAAATAAGGCCCAAAGCACAAGCCTGGTAATCACTTGAGAGCGGTGACACCCCTAAAGTAATCACTAATCACTCAGAGAGGACGCCGCTAAAGTGCTCAGAAACGTCCGTACCGCGTCCGGTATGCGTTACCAAGGTCCAAGAAAAAGACTAAATTGAAATTTTGAATTATTTGAACAACGTCAAATGCGCTCCAATGCGAAAACAGTACAGTTTTTGATTGAAGTTTAATCGACGTTTTTTTTACGTTTTTTTTCCAACTCCTGACCAAGTATCCATTGACGAACACCCTCAGATTCCTGTGAGGATCTCGAAAAAGGGACTCGAGAGAGTGTCGCATTCGTCCGTAGTTACCAGAGTACAAATCCAAAGGGCAAAAATCGTACATCTCACTGAACCGTCCGGAACCGCATTTTTCGATCTTAAGTCCTTTTTAAGTTAATTGGGGGATTTGTACTGAAACCTGCAAGATACAGTTGTTACAATAGGGGACATTGAAATTCGGATGGTTTTGGAAGAATCCTTGCTTCGGCTTGACCTCGATCTGAAATTCTTTTTTGCGAATTTTCAAAATGAATCTCTATTTTCAGGGAGAACCTCCTCAAAAGGTCCTTATTGGGAAAATTTTTAGTGGCCACTTAAGGGCTTGAAAATTAGTGGCCATTCTAGAGCTCTAAGGGTTACTACTAGACCCCTCAAAAAAATTTTTAGTGGCCACTTTAGGGGTCAATTGATCAACATAACTGGTCCAATATGTTTTTTTTTTAAATTATCAGAGTTCTGGAAAGAATACTGGATGGAAAACTACTGAAGTGGCCACTAAACCGGAGAATAGTGGCCACTATTGAGGTGGGTTCAGTGGCCACTTTAGTGTCCTCTCCAGGTAGACTTCGGCGAGCCTCTAAAGTGGCTACTAAAAATTTTCCCAGTATTTTATCATTATCAACAGAGCACATTTGACCAACAGAATCCCTTACGGTGATGGTATTTTCCGTCTTGGTCAGCACAGTGTTGGGAATGCTGGTGGCGTCGAGCATTTGGAGGCATCCGAGTCGTTTTGTCCCTTTAGGGATCGCCGAGAAGGGCAGGAAGGACAGTTCGTCGGGCAGCTGGACCAGCTCGTCGAACGTTTCGACCTTCTCGTCGGCTGGTAGAGATGGGACCTGTGGGAAAAAAGAGGCTGTTAAGAAAATTGAACGGTCATTTTCCTTTTCGGTAAGCCTCCAACATTGGTGTATGCACAATTCACGCTTACGAATATTCGCGGACCCAAAATTTTTCCCTACCGTCCATACATGGGCTAACCAACTACTTTTTGTGACGTCATCACGTACCCCCCTTGAAAAAGTACGTACTCCCCTCGAAAAAGTACGTACCCCCCCGCGGAAAACTATCAATGTGAAATGATTATTAAAGTTAATATAAAAATTGAATGAGACTATTATCTTGTTTCGCGGGCTTTTGGAAGTATATTCAGCTAGGTGTCAATACTCCAAAACAGAAATATTTCAACTTTTAGCGTAGACCCCCAAAAATCCGAAAAATCGATCTGTTTTTCAATGTTATCCTACATTATGAAGTGAGTTTTATGATCTGGCCAAGTTTCAAGCCGTTTGGATGAGTTTTAAGAAAAAAATAATTTTTTTGGGTCACCGGAAATTAATATTTTGAATATTTGAATTTTTTTGGCAGATCGATTTTTTCGGATTTTGGGGAGTACGGGGGTACGCAAACCGTCAAGTGATAACGCTTTGAAACACTCCAACTTGGTCAAAAAAACGTCCGGAAGCCTGGAAACTTGAAGCATATACCTTATTCAGGGTTAACTCAAAGTTGATAGTAATTTTTGAGCCAAAAAAATTGTAGATTTCCAGAAATCATTTTCTTATGGGTTCAGAAGTTGATTATTTTTAATTTTTCCAAACGGCTTAAAATTTGGTGAGCATGTATGTATCATCCATTGGTACCATTTAAGCTAGAATTCAGGTCGATTTATCAGCTCTGGAATTTTTTATAAGGCTATTTCTACGATTCCCCGCGATTTTATCTACCGTTCGGAGCTCGGCAAAAAGATAGGCAACGAAATTCCTACTAAATGTACTTTGAAAAGCTCGATAAATAATATGGATGCATTTTCCGCGGCTTAGAAAGCCATCTGAATGAATAGGGTGGCCCGAAAGTGAAAAACAGCCTGTTAGCCCACGTATGCTACCGTCCTATTTTTTTCTTTTTTGCCTTCCCGTGATTACCTTTGCCAGATGGTGAACATCACGGATCTTGAGCTCGACAATGTGAGGATTCACTCGGAACTGGGGCTCGATGAACGGCGTGATTATCCGCTCCATGTACTTGTTGACCCGTTCGCTCTTCGCCTTCACCGTGATGAACCCGCTCTTTTCTCGACTTGGCGAACCGCCATACTATTCTGAAAAATTGTTTGTAAATCCGCCGCGACAGTTTTCGCGTGTCTGCGTCTCTCTGTTCCCTCACTAGCGAGGTCAGAGAAACATGGAAACAGCACGTAAACGTGAGAGGGACGTCGAGAGACGAGGAGGGTGCAGAGAGGTCCCGCCCTTTAAAGTCACAAAAAAAACGGACTGTACAACTGAACTTTTTCAAACATTGGTGATAATGAAACGTACAGTAGCGTCAGAAAAGATAAGATTTCAAAAATGCCTTGAAAAAAGCTCAATTTTTCCCAAACTTTCTGCAGCTGGGTTATAATAATAGTTCATTCTTGGCCAATTTTAATTTTAACACAATGATACAAGATTTAAAGAAAAGGTTCATGAAAAAAGGAAGTTAAAGTAGCGTGAGAAAAAAAAGAAAAAAAAAATTTCAAAACCGTTTTTATGTCAGCATGAGTACCTAGATATATACATAAAATCCCGTACTTACTAGGGAACTACTCGGACTCGGGTACGCATTTCGAGTTGAAACTTTGATGGCTTATAGACCCGGGTAAGAGTACTTGAAAACAAGAAAGAATATCTGCTAAACCCCATAGGCTTCTGAGAAAAAGCTTTTTGAAAATGAACAGTTTAGTCTTGAAAATTATCAAATTGTTGCTTTCCTCCTTATTTTGGCTGGAAAAAAGTTTTTTAGAGTTTATCATAGCCGAATCATTCAAGGCGAATGTATTTAAATATAAAATAAGGTAAAAAGCAGTGTTTTGAAAATTTTCAGGCCTAATTTTCACATTTTCTACTAATTTTTTCTCAGCTTTCTATTGGGTTTAGCAGATATTCTCTCTTGTTTTCAAGTATTCTTACTTAGGTCTATAAACAACTAAAGTTTGAACTCGATCCGCGTACCCGAGTCCGAGTAGTTCCCTAGTTAAATGAAATATTTTCTTGGTGACGATTCTTCGAAAAAGCCCATTTTTTTTTTCTTCAAGGAAGATGACTCCAATTTCAAGGTTTTGTAAATATTTTTGGTTAAGTTTGTCTGTTCGATGAGAGCATTATCGCTCGAGTTTATTTCGAAAAACATGATAAGCATGGAAAGATAAAAAAAATTGGAAAAATGTTTGAGAGCGTGACATGAAGTTTTTCGATAAAGACCAAACATCAATTAGAATAAAAAAGTTCGAATGCTATGTTTTTCAATGTTTTGGAAAATATCTAGCTTTCTGAAAAAAAGAAATTAAAATTTAGAAAAGCTATAAAATATCTTATTTATTTTGTATTTTTAGATTTTTCAATGAAGACTTTAATGAATATAACTCAAAGATAAGACTGAGGCTTCTTTCTCAAAATAAGCAGGGTCTAGCGTTTTTTTTTAGAAAGTTTCCCACCCCCTAAAAAGTTTCCTACCTCGAGCCCGTGGCGGCGTGTTTGGCACTGATGACAAGGTTTGCCTGGCCCTCGCCCCGGAAACAGAACGACCGGTAGTCGCGCAGGTCTACGACCGGTGATGACGTCATCTTGAGTGTTTCTACTCGGTTGACCTGACGATCATCCTGTAGAGTTTTTTTTTATTATTGAAATTCGAAAAAAATGAGAAAAAGAAGGTATGAGAGTGATCCCTTTTAGGGATGTGGCGCACATCCATTCAAAATCTATGACAATAAGAATCAGGAAATGCTTGAGTATACCACTAAAAAAACTTCTGAGAGGAAATCATTTTTTTGAAAACATTGATTCTCTGGTCTTTTTTTGAAGTTCTTCAGAGTTAAGAGGATATAGAGATTTCTTGAAAATTTCAAACTCATGACAATTTTTTCACTTTCCTGTAGGCTTAAGATTACCGAAAAACCTATGAAAAAGGTAAAAACCGTAGAAAAAAAGCATCGATTTTTCCGAAAAAATGACTTCATGAGTTTGAAATTCCATCTAGAACTTTGTTCAAAATTTTTTTACGATATGAAGTAAAATTTTTAACAAGAACAGACAATTTTGAAGAAAAATCATTACTATCAGTCTAAAACTTGAAAATTTTATTCCAGAATTTTCGAATTTTCTTCAGCACAATATTGAACACAATACTACTGAATCAAAAAAAAACCACAAAAAAAAGAAAAAATCGTGAAAAAAAGAGAGGAAAACCCTGAAAAAGGAAAAAATTTTAACAATCCTATAAAACAACTTTTGAACTTAATCTTTTTCCAAAATCAATACCCCAGCTAATTAGTCAAATCATGACCCTAATGTTCTCTACTACCAACATCATCTAAATTAAATTAAAACTTCCATAGCAAAAAAACAAAGTTGGAGAAGAAAGAGAGAGAGTTGATTCGGCGGCAAGACCACATGATAATCATCGAAAGAACCTGCTTTTTTTCTCTTATCTCAAGGTCCAACCCTCAAAAAAAAAAACACAGTGCGGCAGAAAGTGCGCGCCACAGAGATAACGGCTATTTTTGTCGTTTTTCAGTTGGGCGAAATTCGTTATGAAATCGGCGAACTGACTCACTTTTGTCATGTGTTTTCGGAGCGGAAACGAAGAAAAAATGTACGAAATTCTGTTCAAATAGACCAAAATATACTTTTGACTCATTTCAGTCATGTTTTGTTGAGAAAAAAAAACAAACAAAAGTGCGAAAAACCGAAAAATTCATCATCAAATTGGCGAAAACACCAATTTCAACAACTCACAAAAAATCTTTTCCAAACCACATATTTCTTTCAAAAAAGCTCAGATTAAACTATATTTCAATTTCACGCCAGGTCTGCGCCTTTAAATTGTTAAAAACTGATTTGATTGAGCAGTTTTTGGTAATTTAAAGGCGCAGACCTTTTAGGAATGAATTGAAATTTGAACTGAATCTGGAATATTTCTGATAGTCAAAATTTAAACCTAAAGCTTCGAAAAAGTCTGTTTCAATGCTCAAGAAAAAGTTCAAAAAACTTTAAAAACGCACCTAATTTTTAAAGGCGCAGAACCTTGTTTAAAGGCACAGACCCTTTTTATTCGGATTTAGTTACACTGAATTATTTTTGGAGTAAACATTATATCAGGAATTTCGGAAAAGCCTACTTCAATGCTTATTTTTCGAGGGAAAAGTTCAAAAAACTTGGCGCAGACCGATTTTTTAAAGGCGCAGCACCTTTTTTTTTGGAATCATCTAAACTAGGAATATTTCTGATTGTTCAAATTCAAACCTAAAACTTCAAAAAAGCTTATTTCAATGCTAATTTTTTGGGAAAAAAGGTCAAAAAAACTAAAGGTGCATCCTTATTTTTTTAAAGGCGCAGATCTATTTTTTAAAGGCGCAGACCTTCTTTTTTGAAATTAATCAAAACTTGAACTGGGATTATTTCTAAAGTGAATATTCTATTTTTAAATTTTGAAAAAAAGCCTTTTTAAATTTTTAAATTTTTGAAAATGCTCATTTTTTTCAAAGAAGAAGTTCAAAAAAACTTTAAAGGCGCAGGCCTTTTTTTCAATTCGCAGACCTTCTTTTTGAAATTAACTAAAACTTGATCTGGGAATAAAATATTCTATCTCAAAATTCGGAAAAGCCCACTGAAATGCTCATTTTTAGAGGAAAAAGCTGAAAAAAATCAATATTTTTTTCAATTTTTTTCGATTAGTATTCAATTCAAAGGCTTTCATATCAAAGGAAAAAAATTGATTATAAACTATTTTTTTCATGTATTAAAGAACATAGGAACATAGAAAGAAACCACAATCAAAAACTAAAAGTTCAAAATATTTTCAGAATACATTGCGGATTCATATCGACCCTCACATTTCAACGCAAAATTTCGCTAGGAAAATGAATGAATTCCTTTATAAAATCCACGATTTTCATTCAATCGGATAAATACAATATTATGCACGAGGTTATGCAAAGGGAACCAAAAAAAGCGAAAGAAATATAGGTCATCACAGGAAAGAGAAGAAGAAGATTAGAATCGTTTCAGTGTGTGATTTGGCACAGTTAAAAGCGAGAAACTATCACTGGGGATCGATATGAAGCAAGAAAAGGCCGAAAAAGGAAAAAGAACTAGGAAATTTCCCGTCACAATGTCGATAGAAGGGGATGATGAAAGGAGCATGAAAATAGAGAAATATGAGCAAAAAGTCTTGGCGGATAATCTCGATAAGCTTTTTGATACAGAGGGGAAAAGGGAAAATGCGGGAAATAAATGCACCAAAATACCTGAGGAAAGTTCTAGTGTACACTAGAGGGTTCTGAGCTCATAAAAAAGGAAATTTACTGGGGAAAGCTGCAGTGATCACTTTAGGGTTTTGAGCTTCTAACCGACTTCCAGGTGGCGAAAAGGACACTTAAGAGTTTTTTTTTGAAAAAAGATTATTTACCAAAATCCTAGAGATCTGTAGAAGAAAAATGATTACTTTGAATCATTATTCAAAAAATCAGAATTAAATCTTCATTGGTCACTTTAGAGCTCTCCTAGACCCATAAAACTGTCCGGGTCCATTGTAGGAAAATTTTTAGTACTCCCTTTAGGTTTTAAAGCTTCGAGAGGCCCCTAAAGTGACTAGGAACTTTTTTTCAACCGCAAACTATACACTTCTACAAAGAAATTTGAAAACCCCTACAGTGAGTTCTTCAATAACCCCTATAGAGGTCACTACAGCTTCCTAATTGAAAACTAGCTGATAAATACTAACTTCTGTAGATATTCCGCATTTTTACATTGAACAAAAAAGGGAAGGCGCAGAAGTACGAGGCAAAGATGATGCTCTAAACTTGATCAACTACATTTTTGAAGTTCTAGCTCTCTCCGCCTAGTCGCTTACAACTATGACTGAAACAGACGATATACATTGATTTCAAGAACCGTTCAATTTCTCGACGGCGGCACGTCGGGCAATGTCCGAAATGACGCTGTCGACCGTGTCGTCCATCGGATTGTTGTAGTCGTTGAACTCGTCGCGCATGTTCGTCACGCGGAACCTGAAACTTACAGTTAAAATTGTATAGTTATGCTTTAGTCCGTTCGCTGCGACTTCAAACGACCTGACCTCTCTGCGCTCTCTTTTCCCTCAGCGGCTGGGGTCAGAGAAACGTGAAAATAGCACGTAAACATCGCTGACTAAAGAACGTTTCCCCCTTCCAAGAAATTTGGGACCAAATACGCTTTTTTAAAAAAATTTTTTTCCGTACGAAACTTTAGTATTAGCTTCTGACACGAAAACGTCTAATAATCTTTTAAAAATTGCATATGATAAATTGTTTTGTCTAAAAACGAACAATGTCACGATATCGGCGTGTTTTCCTTCCATGGCAATGTCCAAAGGCGTTTTTCCATCCACATTTTTCAGATTTTTGTCGGCGCCACGCTTCAGCAACTGGCAGACTTGTCTGGAAAAAAAAATCGATAATTCATCAAAAAGCTTTCGAAGGAAGTTTTCGAGATATTGGATTGGAAAATGTCTCCGGACAAGTATTTCAAGAAACTTCCAAAATTGTCCGTGATGACTTCCAATTTTCAGATTTCTGTCGGCAACTGTCAAACTTGCCCAGAACAAAATAATCACCTAAAAAAAGAAGGTTTTTTTCAAGATATTTGCAAAATTATTTTTGAAAACTTCAAACTTTCGGATTATAGTCAGCTTCACTCACTAGTACACTTTTCATTACAGACACTGTCATTTTTTCAGCTTTCACTATTTTTTAAGAGATCACAGTGAAAAAAAACCAACAAAGTATTCGCTTCAAGGGCGGCCAAATGCAGCGGAGTGTTCAATTTGTCATCGAGCATGTTGATTTTTCGCACCGTTCAACAGCAAAAAAATTCAACGGCCGCTGTTTGTCCCTAAATTATAACAATAATGGTTTTTTTGGCAGAAAACGATCAATTTTTTTATCTGAAAAAAAGACATTATGATAGTTTGTTAAAATTAAATTTCTTGTCGTGTACCGTATGGGTTGATACTTTAAAATTGGACTAAAAGAAGGAATTTTTCGATTTTTTTCAATTAGAAATATTCTAAACAGGCATCTTGCCATAAAGTTCTCGAAATTATGTTTGAGTCCTTTAAAAAAATTTCCAGTTCGAAGTTCAGTTTCTATATTTGTTTAAAAAAACTTGAGACTCTCTTAATTTTGAAACCTAAAGTGGAGGAAAATGTTCAGAAAATCATGAAAAAAAGTTGATTTTATAAAATTTTAAATTTTTTAAAAATCGATAACTGATAGAAACAAATAGTTAACGGATCATTGACACCTTTAAAAAAGAAAATCAGCGCTTGCAAATTCATTTTGAACGTCCCTGAGATGAAGCAAAAACTCACTATTATACCAAAAATTAGAAAGTAAAACCTTCCTCCTGGAGCAAATTCTGTTTTTGTTAAGGTACAGGAAACTTTTTTTGCTTGAAAAATTGATTACGAACATTGCGAGTAGCGATATGCAAGGCCGTCGTGCCAGAATGCATTGAATTCAGCTCGAATCTCTGAGCGTAGCCTTTCAACAAGGCCAGAAGGTCGCCAGATTCGGCCGCCTCTCGCATACTTTTCCAGTCGGGGGCCGTGTTTGATACAACTGCAACCAAATCACTTTTTTTACCTGCTTTTTTTAAAATAAAAAAATATTGGTGTGTTGTGGCAGCATTTTTGTGAATTTTTTTATCGAAATTTGTTAAGTTTTCATGAATTTGACTAGATCGAAGGTCATTATCGTCGTAAAAGTTTCTCACTCATACAAATTTTTAGCGCTTTTTCTACTCTGAGCAGGTTTTTTTCAGGGGTCTCCCTCAGTTCCCACCTGAAAAATCACTGTTCAAAACCGAATCCAGCGCCGTTTCGGATCCACACGCAGAGAGCCGTTTCGTCGGCAGGGGAACTGATAAATCGGCTGAAAATAAACTCATAAAATAAGCTTTTTCAATGAAAAACCAACCACTCCAGGGGTCAGGTAAAAGACGATTTTCGGCACTTTCAGCTTCCTGGACGTCGGCATACGAAGCGGAACGATTCACAAAACCTGAAAATCAAATGAAAATCTGAATTTTCCCTCATTAGATTGGGATAATCGATTTAAATCTTCATAGATTGCAGAAAAAAATTGTATCTTTATCCAAATTGAACTACAAAAAAAAATAAAAATACTGTCCATTTTTTTCAAAAAAATTTCAGAGCGATCTGAGCTTGATTCAAATGAGAAAAAAAGGAAAAATTTCGGAAAATGAAAGAAACGGTCCTGGACCTTTACAGATCGCAGATAAAACTGAGCTTTATTTAAAATTGAAGAGTTGAAGCTCGAAAAATAGGATGATAAACTCAATTTTTTCTCAAATTTAAGAAAAAGCTTTAACTTATGCAAATTAATCAAATAATTTTTCCAAAAATAGGATAACAGTTTGAGATCTCCTTAGATTGCAGACAAAACTTGATTTATATCGAAAATCGAAGAGTTGAAGCTCGAAAATAGGATGATAAACTTCATTTTTTTAACAGATTTAAGATAAATTTGAGCTCATCCATGTGAAGCAATCAATCTTCGAGAATGAAAAAAAGCAAACTTGAATATTTACAGATTGCAGATAAAATCGAGCTTTATCAAATAGAACTGTTAAAAAATGCGATAATAGATTTAATTTATCACAGAACGAAAGAAATTTCAGCTTTTCCAAGTGGAATAATCAATCTTCGAGAATGAAATTAAAAAAAATTTGAATCTCTACAGATTGCAAAAGCAATTCTATCTTCACCCAGAGGAAATATTTGAACTTCGAAAAAGGGTAAATAAACTTGGATCTTTACAGATTTATGACAAAATTGATCTTTATCCTTTATAAAAAGTCAACTTCAAAATTGAAATTATCCAGTTGAAAGAACTAAAACTCGAAAAATGAAAAAACTACATGAAAAAACCCCTACCAATGCTGTTTTTGTGCCGAACCAAGAGATGTTCCTGCCTGGAAGCCGCACAATTTCGCGCCCTTTCATCGTCAGTTATCGCGAATCGTCGTTCGACGTATTTGGCCTTGATCCAAGCTTCTCGGACCTTCAACACCACTTTTAGATGAGAAAATTTCTTTTAAAAAGTTCTGTCTATGGCCTACCAAAAAGTTTTTGCATTTATTAAGATTCATTCAGCATCATTGTAAGCTTTGGGTTTTAGAATGAACGTTGAACAGAGAAATATTCGATTCTTTTATGATGTATTGGTTAGATAATGATCTTTAAAAAAAAACACTTCATTGGGCGAAAAATTAAAAACGTGAAAAATGAGCTCATCTTAATTCGCGATAGAGCGCAAAATAGACAGCGTAAAAAAAGAAAATGGCATGTTCATTGGAGAAACGGAACATGCTTCGAAACGAAAAATTGTGTTCATCGGTGCGCCAAAATTGCTCCAAAACAGTACTAATTTTTTTTTTTGGAGCAATTTTTTGCGTTTCGAAGCAATTTTCGTTTTGTCCGATGAACACGCCAAAAAAGAAATTCTTTTTTGAAACGATTTTTTAGAGCTCTTTCAATTTCGTTTAAATTTTCGGTTTCTCAACTTTTTTTTACCAACGATTCTGCACCATTACAGCGATATTTTCATTACTATTAGTATCTTAAAATTATTAAAATTATTTTTTTAGCCTTCAAAGTGACCTTTTTCGATTAATTTTTTTCCTGTTCTTCAATTTTCTTCGAATGATTTCTCGCCTTCAAAACTACATTTATCATCAATATTTTTCTGTTCTTAAAAAAATTATTTCAATGAGTTTTTTTCCATTGAGCTTCACAGAACCAAAAAAATTCCCAAAAATCATCCCTTTTTTTCCCGTTTCAAAAGAAAAAGCCGAAAAATTAGCAAACCGGTCGACTGGACGATTCAACGGCTGGCGGCGGCAGGACGTTCTTTTTCCGGCAGATAGGCCAAATAAATCGCATTTACCTGAAGATTTATCATTCAACTTAATTCTCAGGTGTTTTGAAAAATAAGATAAAAAAAGTATAACTTTCAAAAAAATGATTAAAAAAATTTCCTCCTAAAAGGAGCTAAAATCCAATGATACCGAGCCTCAAAAGACTATTTTTGAGATTTTTTTCGAAAAAAAAAATTTTAAAAAAAAACCTGTCGATTTCCCCAGGGCCAACAGAACATCCCTCAGCTCATTATCGATCGAATCCATGGTAAGAGACCGAACTTTCGACATTTGGACGCCCAAACTTCGATGAACTCCCGAGCATTCGATGCATAGCACTACCTAAAGCTCGAAAAACTCACTTTTTCATTTATTTAAACTATCAAGGGCTTAAAAATATTCGAAAAATACACCTAATAGCCTAAATTCATTCAAAAATCTTACATAACTATCATTTTATGGAGTTGCTAATGTTTCTTTATGCTCATGGTTCCATCAAAAATCAATATTTTGAACTTTTCATCAAAAATTTATCCCTCAAAAAAGGCTTGAAAATCTCTTATTTCCTCAAAAAAGTCGAAAAAAACGGACCCCCAGGTTGATGCTGACCCATTTGGGCGCCGGCGACTGACAATCGGCGCAGACTTCGTTTCCGGGAACTCTACGGATTTGCTCGAAAAGTCGACGCCGTCGGCGGGGAATTCGTCTTCGAGGAGCTCGCTTCGGAAGAGACGCTGAGGGACTTGTGATGACGTGTCGTCGCGTCAGAAGACGTCGCCGTCGCGCTGGAGACCGCCGTGCTTCGTGTGGTGCCGGGAGTCGACTGAAAACAGTTCATTGATGATTTTCCTATCTGAATATGCCAGAGTTCTTGAATACTAAGCAACATCAGAGTGGTTCCTATAGGGGTTGGTGAAAAAGCCCCTATAGGAGACAAAAAAAGTGCTTCGTATAGGTGTAAAATTTAGATAGTCCCTATCTGACCCCTAAAGTGGCCCTTATAGGGATCTTCCTATTTTCGTTCAGAATTGAAAATTCAACAAAACTTGACGATTAAACATCTGTTGATATTTTTCATTCAAAAAGCGCTAAACTATTGAATTTTTTCGCATGGAAACACTCATAGAAGTAAACGACGAGAATTCACCCCTATAGGGGCCACTTTTGCGAGTTTTCGTGGTCCCCTAGAGAGACGCCCATGAAGTTGCCCCTGTAGGGACCATATTCCTAAGATTATATTCGACATGAAAGGGATTTCTCTCCATCTCTCCGTGACTATCACCACTTTGAGTGTTTATTTCATGATACTCTGACCAGGTGAGAGAACAGAGAGTACAGTTCAAGCTAGAAAGACTTGAGATTTTTTTCTCGAGCTCATAAATTCAGTTTTTTGAACCATTACACCTTCTACGGCAAAGAGAACCCACCAAATTGTCGTTTTCATGAAGGGCCAAGATGGTCCTTTGCAAAGCTCGCATCCAATCGTTACAAAGGGATTCGGAGTCAGCTTGCAGCAGATGGCATCTCCAATAAAATCGTTCAAAATAAGATTTTTGTCATTTGATACAACAGAATAATAAGTGAAAAATGAAAGATTTTTAGTCTTTGAATCTTATGCCGTGTTCAAAGTAATTTCCGCGAAATGCGAAATGGTCTCTGACCCTCCAAAATTCAGTTATCTTTCTCTTTCTCTGACGGCTATTTTGAATTTCGCGGAATCACTTTGAACACGGCATTATAAAATTCCTTCTGGGTTTTTTTTTTCGGCGCTTATCTTCATTCTGCTCACTAGGGAACGCTATTTTTTCTCGCAATAGAACTTGTTTCCGATTTATGAAGCTTCAAAGTTTGAAAAAAAAACGCGAATTATGAAAAAAAGTGCTACTTCAAGCTTTTTTGAAGCGTCTAAACTCGAAAGAAAAAAATCTATTGCGAGAAATATTTTCTTGATCCGGCATTAAAAAGTCCTAAAAAAACGTTTCCTAGTCAGGAAATTAGACGAAAATCAGAAAAGTAATCATTTTAGAACGCCGGATAAAAATGTTGAAACATTAATTATTCGATTTTTCTCCGTACCTAGTCGGCGTGACGAGTTCGAAGCAGCCGACCCGGTCGATATTTGAAGGCGCCGGTCGGACCAGACAAAGCATCAGATTCTCTTCCATCACCGTCGACGGCTCCTGTTCGTTGGATCGATGCGAGTAGAGCTGGAAAAGTGAATCACTGGAGGAATTCTTCAATGTTCCCTTGAGCTTCTCCCAAGCATGCAGACCATTTTTAGGCCGCTGCCCCTTTCTCCCAAATTCAAAGTTACTACCTTCCTCAGGATAAATCTTGTATTATTGTGGCCAAGCTTCAGGGATGAAAAATTCGCGAGAACATAATTCAAATTCAAAAAAGTCCTCTTAAAAACTCTTTAATTTTTTCTTCTCCCAAGTACGAACCAATTTATTATCCTTGATCTGAAACCATCGCCGATTCCAGGTTTTGAAAGCGTTGGACGACCTTTTGTACAGATAGCCTTCCATCATGACGTCGGCGTCGAGTGGCATCCCAGAAGGATGTTGGAACATCTCCTGAAGCGAAAAATTGATCAAAAAAAAACGGACGAGTTTCATTCTTTATACTACCCGCTACAAGCTACACTCAAAACATAGGCAAAGCCAAGAAGGGTGGAAAAAGGCTCCATAGAAATTTTCCTTTTTTGTTTTTGAGCCACAGCACTCCTTGATGGGCCAGAAGCAGTTTTTGAAAGTCTCGTTTTTTTTATAAGGGCACAAAGCACCCAAACAACCTATTTTAACGCATTTTAAAGAGAATTCCTCTTGAGGATTTTGACAAGAAAAAAAAAAAAAATCTTAATCTTACAACTCTTTTTTTCCTTAAAAAAACCCATTCTTGGAAGCCTTATCCAAACTGAAGATGAATTCATCAAAATAGGCTCCTCCAAAAATTATTGAATTTTTCTAGAAAGTTTCATATTTTAACCTTTTTTTCCTCATTTTCAAATTTTTTTCAAGATATTGATTTTTATTTCGAATTTTTTTCAATCATTGGAAAACGACAATTTTCAAAAAAATTTCTATTTAGAAAATTCAAAATTTCCCTGAGAAAGCTATGATAGATAAGCTGAGAAACCAATTTTTACGCATCTCATCGAAGTTTTTTTTTTCGAATTTGACAAACTTCCTTCCTTTCATTTTTATATAAAGTTGGGCATATTTAATTTTTTTCGAATACCGAAAAAACCTTAAAAAACGCCCAAATACCTCACTTATTCATGAAAATAATAGAAGTTCGAAAAAATGGAAATTTTCTGTTTTCTTGGTTTAACGCAAGTCAACGATTAAAATTTTCACATTTAAAGCTCGAATTCGTCAAAATTGAACATGAAATCTACTTTTCTAGGGGTGAAACATCCAAGGAAATGAGCGGAAAAGGGCATTTTTCATGGCTACCGTTCAGAGCTAGGCAAAAAGATAGGCAATGAGTTTTCTACTAAATGTACTTTAAAAAGCTGTATAAATAATATGGATGCATCCGCGGCTTAGAAAGCCACCTGAATGAATAGGGGTCATTCTCAAAGAAAAATGTTGAAAATTTATGAAAAGACAAAAAAGCACAAAAAAAGGGGTTTGAAACTCTCAAAGTAAACCCGAAAATCGTCGTCCTTCGCATCGGAAACAGGTCGAACCTGGCCATAATCCCTGCGGCGTCGCCGGCGACTATTTTTCCGCAAACTATGGTAGAGTTTGGCGACGGCGCGTCGCTTCTTCGCCACTCGGAGCTCTTCTTCAGTCGCGTCGGCGAACGTTGGGAGTCGCGAGGAGGTCTCCGGGACGTCGACGGGCACACATCGGCGAACTACGATCGCCGGCGAGGGCGACGGTCGCGACGACTTGACGTAGGCGAATGGAGCGACGAAGCGACGTCGTCGCAGGCTCATTCTTCAACATTGGGAATCGCAGAGTGAGTCACCGCGACGAAAGAACAAATGGCAAGAAGGAAAAACGCTCGTTTCACAACAAGAACGGGGAAATATTGATGGCGCGGGGCGAGGTCAACAGCACATAAAGTTTTTTTATTGGAGCCTTGAGGTTTCTGTTTTTTTCTATAATGAAAAACAAGAACTTCTTGCAAGAATTAATAGAAAAAAATGATTTTTTTGCAATGAACAATCCCCGTGGATCTTCCTAACCATTAAAAATCTTTATGAAAAAAATAGCCTCGAAATTCTAGAAAAAAAATCTGAAAAAGTGAGGTCATTTTACTTTTGTATTTTTCCTGAAAATCGGCCAAAAACACTCCTCGATGTACTAGGAGAAGATTCTGAAAGTCTTCACCTGCACAACTTCTTCGTTTTTGAGCGCCTCCAAGTCAAAGAAAACCCTCAAAACCCAAAAAAAAGGTTTTTTCGAGACTTTGACCTCTGTTTCTCGAAAACTAGGAATTTGTGCAAGTTGAGAATTTTAGACTTTTCATTTGGTACATCAAGGATTGTTCTCTCTGATTTTCAAGAAATTCTTAACCGCAAAGCAAAATTACCTTCCATGTGAGCACTAGATAGCCTTGAAAGTTTCAAAAAAGCTTCAATACTAGAAACTACTTTAAACGAAGCTCAGCAAGAGTTAAAAAATTAAGATTGAACTATTTTAAAAGTCAAGAATTTTTTTTTTTTGAAGAAATTCCCATTTTCCTTTTGAAACTTCTTCTATAAAACTTAGAATTCATTCAATTTCACCTCATAAAAATATAAAACTGTCTGAAATAATCGAAAAATTATTATTCCTTATCGATGAAACTCCACAGAAATCAAGTTTAACTATCCTAATTATCAAATATTCCTCCAAAGATTACTTATCACTATTTTCACTGTTAATAAACCAAAGAGTCACTCAAAATGATCTCTAAAACCATACAAAAGCATTCAAAAAGCAATCAAAACTCAAAGAAAAAAACTGTTGAAATGATAGACACGAACACGTGTGATAAGAGGAATCGCGTGTCCCAAAACCATCGAAAAAAGGGAAAAAAAGTGGGGGAAAATGGAAGGAAATCGGGACGCGGCATGAATCAGACGCCGCCGATTTCCGCTTTTCATAATCATCATCATCAATCCGACATTTTCAATCAATAGGCCCTTTTTTGCTCGGAACAAAAAACACAGCTGAACAGACGTTACGCGGTGAGAGAGCAAAAGTCGCTCGAAATTCGAAAATTTTCGCGTGGGATTCGTAGTTTCTGACAGAAACTTCATAACAAAATCGGAGAAAGTCTAGAAAATTCAGTTTTCGACGGCTAGTTTCCCTTCTACAAGCGCATTCTCGGGCAAAGTCGGAATGGTGGATAATGGCTCGAAAAAGGCCTCAGAAAGGCTGTAAAAAGAGTCCCTTTATCAAGCCTTCCATTTTTCTCATACTTTGAAGACTTAAAAAATGATAAAAGGCAGCAAAAATGGTGCATAAAGACCGATAAAATGGTGCAAAACAGCCCATAAAATGACGCAAAAAGGCAGAAAAAAAGGAACATTTCTATGGAACCTTTCCCAACCTTTCCGACTTTGCCTATGTTCTTGGTAAATTTTGAAACTGTGAAAAATTAATTCCGTTAAATTCCCATCTTCAGTTTTTTCCTTCACTCAAATACTCAAACTCCATTGACAAAAATAAAAAGATTAACATTAAAATATTATTCCTGAGATTCCAGTTTCAACTCCCACAAGATCACATAAATCTTCCTTTTTTCTATTTCCTTAAAAATAACCGATGCAAAACTTTCATAAAAAAATAAAAAAACTTCGAAATTCAGAAATTTATGAGCTATTAAAAATTTTCAAGCTTATTCTCCTCACCAAAAACGAGCCAAACGTGGATTCGTTTACAGAATCGTCTATAAATGACTTTCCACTTTTCACGTGGAAAAAATTATTCAAAATATATTTTCACCTAAACTTTACAAAAAGTTCACGAACGATTTTTTTTTTTCCTTTTTGCAATTTTTAGATAAGCTTCAAATGTTCAACTTTTTTTCAAAAATTGAACCCTACTGAGAAAGTTTTTGGTGGCTACTAGAGAGGCTCGCCAAGGACTACTGGAAGAGGACACTAAAGTGGCCACTAAACACACCTCTATAGCGGCCACTATTTTGCGTTTTAGTGGCCACTATAGAGGTTCTTTATTTAGGAACCTTTATAGTGGCCACTTCAGTAGTTTTTCATCCGGTTTTCCTTCCAGTAACTCTGATAATTTGAAACCAAAACAGAGTGGACCGGTTTTGATGATCCATTGACCCCTAAAGGGGCCACTAAAATTTTAAGTGGTCTAGTAGTAGCCCTTAAGCCTCTATAATGGCCACTAAAACGTCAAAACCCCATAATGGCCATTAAAAATTTTCCCAGTATTTTAATTCATCAATCCTCTACACAGCAAAAGAGCTAAATTCTCTTAAAATTTTTTTTGTCCGAATGATTTCCTAGAACTTCAATTCGAGAACTTTCAATGTCAAATCCATTTTGAGCCTCATTTTCCGTATTTATCTTTCACAAACCCCACGCCTACCTTGGGAACGAGGCTGTGGACGTCCTGCATCTTCCTCTCGACGATCTTGCTCTTCGAGGTGTAGGCGGAGATGGAATCGGCGACGGCGCCGTTGTCCGAGGCGGTCCACTCGTCGAAGACGGCGTGGCCCTTGGCGAAGAAGGCCGACGTCTCGCGGACCAGGGTCCACAGCTGCAATCCATCAGAAGACGTCAATTCTAGAAGTCTTCAGGACGAACCGCGTCGATGATCATGTGATCCTTGTGTGCATGAGCAATATTGATTTGCGCCACGTAGTCCAGCGTCGTGTGTGCGAAGCAAGCGCCAACCTGAGAGGTTGTTTCTTTTTTTTTGGAAAAAAAAGAGTTCGGAGTGGGTAGTTTTCACCTGGGCAAATAGCTTGGATGGAGTGCATTTTTCTCGAACTTTTCAAACTTTCTTAGGAATACTGGAATAGTCCCTATAGGGGTTAGGGGGAAAACAGCCCTATAGGGGACGAAAAAGTGGTCCCTATAGGGGTTTAGCGTCTGATCCCTTAGCTCGTACAGCTCAAGTGGTTTCTATAGGGGTCTTCAAACTTTGTTTGAAAAAAGCCTATTTATTTTATTTTTTGCATTGAAACGCTTCTTAGCATAGAGCACATAAGAAATTTCGAGTAGCATGTCCCCTAAAGGGACCCCTTTTGCAAGCTTAAGTGGTCTCTATAGGGGTCCTGCAATTTCATTTAAAAACAACGCTTATTTATTCAGTTTTCCGCATGGAAATGCTTCTTCGCTTAAAGTTCATCAAAATTATTGACTAGCATGCCCCTAGAGGAGCCACTAACTAAAACCCCTATAAGGACCGCTTTTGCGAAGCTGAGTGGCCCCTATAGGGGTTGGTGAAGTGGTCACTAAAGAAATAAATTCAAAGAAATGAAAAAAAAACAGTAAAGTTGATATAACTGTAAAATTTTCGAAAAACTTAAAAGCCTGAAGATCCAAAAATGAAAGAAAGAGTACCGCGGTGAGGGCGTTCCTGCCCTCGACGGCGTCGACGGGCTTCGACCGGGACGCCGCCGCATTTTTCGCCAGAGCCTCGTCCATCGACGCCGACATGTTGTCGAAGTGTGCTCGGGACTCGGTGACTTTTTGGAGTTCACTGGAAAAATTGTCGCTTTTTAAAAAAAAAAACTCGTAGCCCTTTTGAATAAATGAAGGGAGGAATTCCAAAGCCTTTTTGAAAAATTTCAAATCTCGCTTGTTTTCGTTATTATTGGTTTCAAACCAACTTAGAAATTCCAGAATGGTCCCTATAGGGGTCAGAGGAAAAACGATCCTAATAGAGGTAAAATCAAGGTGGTCCCTGTAGGTGTTTAGGGTCTGACTTCTCAGCCCCTGAAGCTTAAGTGATCCCTATAGGGGTCTTAGAGTTCATACCAAATGTCAACTAGCATGTCATATATATGGACCACTTTTGCAAGCTTTGATGGCCCCTATAGGAATTGGTAAAGTGGTCCCTAGAGGGGACTCTCCAAGGCCCCTTAGTTTGCCCCTTTAGAGGCCACTCTGGACTTCTTAAGAATTTTTCAACTACTTATTTACCACAATAAGGCCACCCTATAACAGGAAAGTTATATAGTTTCATTGTAAAATTTAGTTGTAATTGATATTTTTTTCGTCTTTTTTCTGTCTTTTTTTAGGTCTAGCTGGTTCTGTAGGGGCTTGTGTTCATAGATAATCGGAAGAAGAAAAAAAAAATGAAAGTTAAAGAGCAATGATGTCTTAAAATTATTTTTTAAAATTGTATTCCCTTCATTTCTTTTCTCAATACCATAATACGTTTCAAAATGAACATAAAAGCTTCGAAAAACTGTTACATTACTACACTCCGATGATCGTTGTCAACTTTTGAAAAACGGGAAAAAAATTCAATATTTTTTTCGAATAGTTTTTTTGCTTCTTTTTCAAGATACTTTCTCTCTCTTTCTCTCTGAATAAAAAAACTATTTTTTTCCTTTCGGCTAGAAAAAAACTTGTTCAATTAATAAACTTCAAAAAGAAGAACATTAAGTAGGTGAAAAAAATTCCTATTTCCTTAAAAAAATGATAAGAATCATAAAAAGGTGCAAAATCTGGCTGGAAAAAAAGGGTCGTATTTTTTTAAAATTTCGTTTTTGAAAAAAATTCATTCTTTATTCAAACAGGATAAATACTGACTGATTGATTGAAGAAAGGTATATGATCTTTTCTGTGAGAATATGACAAAGTTTGAGTGGTCCCTGGAGGGATCAGGAACAAAAATAGCATCTATGGGGGGAAAATAGTGTTCCCTAGAGGGCTAAACTTTGGATTGACTTTATATTGGTTTAGAGTCTGACCCGTAAGTCCCCAAAGCTTGAGTGGTCCCTATAGGGGTCTTCTGATTTTTCGCTCAACCGAAAAGATTTTTTTACTTGTATCCCCCCTTCACCGCCTAGTCTATGACTAAAAAATAATTGGTTGATTAATTTTTCACTCACTCCTTGATGAAATTGGACAACTTTGTGTAGAGAACGATGTTCGAGTGTTCGTAGTAGGTTCTGGAGAGGCTGACCGTGTGGGCGTAGGCGTCGGAAAGCGCCTCAAATTCCAACTTGACAATATGTAAAATTATTCCTATTTTTCATAAAAAGGAAAAAAATGGATATTCTGAAGATTTTTTTCAACAAAAAAATGATTCTATTAAAAAGCAGTTATTGAGCTAGAATTACACTGAAGCACAAAAAAGGACCTGAAAAATTTTCTCCAAACGAAATTTCAATTAAGTCTAGGCCAAAACACCATTAAAGGAACCGAAAAAATTCTTTCCCGTCAAGATAAATTTGTTTCCTAAGCCTTGAAAAAAAGCCTTAAAAAATGAAAATGAACCCCAAACACTAAAAAACTAAGTTTGGTAAAAAATGACCAGAGCTCAAAAAAAATTATTAAAATTTTATAAATTTGAATAATGAAACAAGGTATAAAACGCTGAGCAAACCAAAAAAACGCCTTAGAAACTCAAAAAAAATCATTGAAATTTTATGATCGTCTCAAAAAAAGATCTTTTTTTATTGTTTCTTCCACGCGAAACTAAAATAAAACTTCAGAACAAGAAAAAAAGAGAAAAAAATTGGATTTTTTTGAGTCACGAGTCTGCGAAATTTCCCACTACAAATGTAGACATATTTTCCAATTTTAATTGAAAAACAACCGAAAAAATCCGACAGAATCCCAAAAACCCAAAAAACCCTTTTTCAAACTAAAGAAACACTAATTACTTCAAACTTCAAAGGATAGCTTTTTCTCATCCGAAGAAGAAATTTTAAAAATCTAAAAAAGAACCTGAAAAGTCGCCTGAGCGAGGGCGTTCCCAGAGAAGCTCTCATCACACAGTTGATTGACGGAAATGGTCAGTTTGCTGGAAATTTTGGGCAAATATCTAGCGAAAAGTCAACAAAAACTCACTAAAACGTGTTGACATAATTTTTGCTGTGCTCAATCATGGCCGAGACGTGTCGGAGCATCTGCAAACAAACAAAAAATAACAATACGTAGAGCCAAAAATGTTCCAAAAGAGGATCGAAGTAAGAAGACCAAAACTTTTCACATTCTTAGGAACTTCAGAGTGGCCCCTAGAGGGACTAGGGAAAATAACAGCGCCTACAGAAGACAAACAACGTTTCTTAAAAGACTAAAAATGAGCTGGTCCCTCTAGGGTTTAACATTTAACAACAAAGCCCTTAAAGCTTAAGTAGTCCCTATAGTGTTTTTTACACTTTTTGTTATGACTTGAAAGATAAAAAGACGTATAGGAACTACTAGGATGCTTCTCTAGAGTGGCCACTAACTAAAATGCTAGAGTGGCCATCTTTTCTAGTACCTCTATGACGCGAAGTTTTTCTCATTTGAAAGGTTACCCCTCAAGGGACCACTTCGGCGTTCTAGGGTTCGACTTTCTCAGAAACGCTTGTTAATGAATCGAAATGGATGCAAAGCTTAAAAAAAATAAAAGGCAAATAAACGTTGCAAAAAGAGTGTTTTCAACATTTTTTTGTTCAATGAGAGAAGAATATTTTTAAAAAAACCTCATTTAATCGATTTTTCCAGCCGGTTGAAATACAAGACATGCTGGGCCAAAACTGCGCGAAATCTCGGCGAATCCTGCAAAAATAAGTAATGAAAAAGTTAAGAGTGTTTGTTTCAAAATTCTTGATGGATTCCTTATATGTTGAAAAGAGAAGTTTCCAAAAAATTTTCAAGGCAAAAGAGTTTTTTTTCGTGTTAATTTATCCTTTTCAATTTTTTTCTATTCGCTCTTAACATCTAAAAAATTTTTAAAACCGCTCTCCAAATCTACATAATTTTAAGACAAAGATAATTTTTCTTTAAAATTCACCTTATTTTATATCTTTTTTCTCAAAAATTCCCGCCAGAAAAAAATTTTTTTCTGAGCTAATTAAATTACCTGCTCGCTTCTTGAAAACAAAAAAAAAGGTGCCGGCGGGTCTCCCAGGTCGTCCGGGGCAACCTGACCCGCAAATTTGAAAATGAGAAAAAATGAAGAAAATTAGTGAAAGTGTCGGGATCGGGTCGTCCCGGGTGGATCCTCTAAAACCCATGAAAAACAACAAAAAAACCTGAATGGCTTCATTGAAATCGATGGCGGGCGGACAGGCGCGCGCCACGCCGTCGTTGCTCACGGTCATGTCGTCGGGCTCCTGAGCAACTACCGCCCGTTTCAGGATCGGCCTCTGGAAAGCCAAAAAATGGGGGAGAAGAAAAAATGAGAGTGGTCAAAGGGACACAAACGGAAGAAAGAAGGAAAAAGCAAACAAAAAACGGCGGGCCGCCGATACCGAATGTTTTGAATTTTTTTCTCTTTATAATCAATAAAACTACTCTTTATTCGAAATTTCGATCATTTTCTATTGAAAAAAGGGTTTTTCGAGCCACATATGAACTGAATACAGTTAAAAACCACAGACTTTTTTTAGATTTTTTTATTTCTTTTTCTTCAAGGAATTTTTTTAATGTTTGAAAGCACAAAAAAATCCCGAAAACGGCTCATCGCATCTTCTTAAAAAAATAAAAATATTTTTCAACCGAGTTTAAAATAATAAAAAAAGTGCTCTAAAGACTGAAGCGGTTAGAGTATTGAATTGAACAATAATAAATTTTCACTCCAAAATTCGAAGAAAACAAGATTCTATGCATTTTTTTGTAGGAAGAAAGGTATAATTTCCTTATATTTTTTTATTTTTTTCAAAAAAATCTAAAATGCTTCGAAAAAAATACTATTATTAAAAACCGAAAAAAACCGATGTTTCCCTTAACTTTGGTCTATAGTTTGATAAATCGACTTTGCAATTTCATTTAAATAAATCCAAAAAAAAAACTGATTCAATCAAAATCATGAAAAAAAATCCCTATGAAAAAAATCTATTCAATGCACAGTTCATTCCAAATTAGACCAAAAATTTCAAATTTTGTTTCTTTTTTTTTTCAAAACTTCGAAAACATCCAGGATCATGATACAAAGCTTCTCTAGAATCAGATCAGCTTCCGGGTTAAAAAAATGATGAAATTTGAAATGAAATTTTTGCGGGGAAATCATTAAATTTAATGATCGTCTCAAAAAAGATCTTTTTTATTGTTTCTTTCACGAGAAACTAAAATAAAACTACAGAACCACAAAAAGAGAAAAAATTGGATTTTTGAGTCACGAGTCTGCGAATTTTCCCACTACAAATGTGGGCATATTTTTCAATTTTAAATGAAAAACAACGGAAAATAACTGATTCAAAATTGCCTTTTTTCAGAGATCCTAAGTGAGAAATGTGAAAAAACATAATTTCTCTCGAAAAATATACCTTTCGAGTTGTTCTGTTAATAATAAAGCCATCAAAACAGGTGAAAAAATCTCATAACAACCCAATTTTTGACGTGGAATGACGTCGAATTTTATCCACTTGAAAACAAAAAAAGGTAGGAGAATATTTTTAAAAAAAATCATTTTCCTTCAAGTTTTCAACTGAATTTTCAAACTTTCTGTGAAATTTAGAGGCACCATTAGAATTAAAGCTTTTTTTTATCAGAAGTTTTTTTTTAAAGGTTATAGAAAAGGTTATATGAATTTTTAAGCGTCAAGAAAATCTTATATCAATGATAAAACGGAATAAACGAGATAATTTACCCAGATTAAAGTCAAAAACAACTTTTTTTGATTTTCAAAAGGAATAATTTATCCATTTGCAGAAGCTCAACGAAATGAAACAGCCTCGAAATGCTATTTTTGACCATTTTTGAGCACATAAAAAGCGAAAAATTCGATTTTGAGACTTTTTGCAAATATTTGTATGGCGCGTTCATCAGAAAAAAACAAAAATTGCTCCAAAATCCAAAAAAAAAAGCTACGATACAAAAATTAGTACTATTTCGGAGTAAATTTGGACACTTTTTTGCATTTTGAAACATGTTACGTATCTCCAATCAACACGAAACTGAATATAAACTCAAAAAGGACATTTTAAAATTTTCACAATCTCATAAGTCTATCAAAAAAGCTTGCTAGGAAGCGAAAATAGCCTATAAAAATCTGGAAAAACACTAGAAAAAGTCTCTTTTTTTCTCAATAATTTCATCAAATCTCCTTTAAAAACATTAAAATGCATTCAGGAAAAACGAATTATAGAGTATAAAGTCGATTAAAAACTTCAAGAAGGTATTAAAATTTTCGTGGTTCTTTCCAGACAGCTTAAAGTCTATAATGAACTCATTATAATCTTTGAAAACCTTCCTAAAAACACGAAAATCAAAAATGACCTTCTGAACCTTGATCTTTGTTCCTTGAACACAACAAAAAACAAAAAAAATCGGCTTCAGAGGGTTAAAAAACAAAAAAATAAAGGTAAGAATGATGATACACTGGATGGGAAAAGAAAAGAAGACGAATTGGAGGGGAAACCAACGGAATCTAGTTTGGGGAGCGTGCTGGCGGCATCGTGGAACTCCTCCTCGTCTTCGCGTTCGACGACATACGCCAACTGGTTCCGGCTGTCTGCTCTCTCCATCCTCGGCACGCTCTCTCCGCCGTCCGGTCGTGTCGTTTCGTTGGCCAGCGAGCACCGGCTAGAAACAAGCAAAAACGGAGCAATGAACAGATAAATATTTAGACGAAAACGCGAATTTAATGTAAACTCGTAGGTAACGGGAATCGTTTACAACTCCAACTTTTGATGAAAATTGGTTGGAATGTACTTTAGGACCTCCAGATTCCAAAAAAAAGGAAAAAGTTCTTCATGATTTAGTTATATTCCAGCTTCTCACGATTTTCATTTTTCATCGACTTACCTTCCCTTCGATGCACGGGGCCGGTCTCTGTGATGCGCCTTTAATATCAACAGAACTTTAAGGTTCAATTGAAGGCGCATGCACAGGGGCAGACCACTCAAATCGAAGGGAAGATCCTGTCTTTTTTTGTCTGCGCCTTTAAAACAACTTAAAAACTTTCGTTATATTAAAGGCGCACGCACAGAAACAGGACAAGCGATTCGAAGGGAAGGGTCTTGTAGCTCGGATAAGAATAAAAATCATGACAAACAGGCGCGGAATAGGAAAAATTTGAAAAAGAGACTTTTTTTAAAGACTTTGAAACATCGAAATAATGCGATGAATTTATTTTCCAATTCTAGAATTAAAATTACTATCCCTTTCAAAAATTCTCTCTTCCTTTTTGCAGAACAATATCTCTGATTCCCCTGTAAAAAAAAACTTTTTTTCTTGATTTGTGAGTCATAGGATTCACGGCATTCCAAGAGGGTGGCACTTATGATAAGTGATGGCTACTTGAAAAAAAAAGAAAAAAATTGAACTTGAAGATCCGATCCGATAGATCTCCTTTTTTACTGTTAAAACTATATATACGAATAGAGCTGACTATAAAACCAAAAACAAATTTTTTTTTTTCGAAGTTATATTCGCTTTGATGTACATGAGGCATAGCTCAGCTGGCATAACTCATTTCTAACGTCCGCAAGGTCGTAGGTTCGAGTCCCCCCGAGGTCGACCAAGCCTTTCATCCCTCCGGGGTAGATAAAATTGGGAGCTGCATGCAGCGAAAAGGCTCAATCTCTGCCATCGGCCTTTGGAAAGCCGGCACCGTAACTCTTCCTACGACCTCTTTTGTACCTGATTTTCTACGAGCGAAACTCACAACTTCTCTGCCTAAGCTACAGCTCCTGCCGCCGTTTAAACACAGTTGAAATCAATGAAAGTCGATTGCACATGTACACTTACATTGAAGATGCAATAACCAGTTTTTTTAAAACATGAATCACATTGATTTTTTTTCCTTACAGCGAAAAAATAAAAACAAAAATGAATCACTGGAAAAAAGGAGAAATCTCATTTTTCTTCAAAACAATGCGACCTATTTTTTTCAGTCTTTTTTTGAAAATTTGACCATCAAAGTATTCATAAATACCATTGGACTATGTGAGATCAAAGAAGAAGGTCTTTCCGTTTAATGGAGGTGTGAAAATAGATATAAAAATGAAAAAAAAAATAGAAGTTTCAGCACGGCTCTATAAAATTAAAGCCTCGATATTTTTGGATCCTCGATTATTTCCGAAAAATATCAAAATCGAAAAAAAACGTTTGAAAACCATGAAAAATGTTTGAAAAAAAAAACTCAAGTAAACACAACCAACTGATCGATAAACACTGATATTGCGCATTTTTAAGTTCAAATCGGTTGTGAAAGATAAGAACTGATAAAAATGTCACGGGTAAAGCTGTTCGATTAAAAAAAGATAAGACAACTCTTCGAAGGAATATTAATCCGGTTTTTAACCATTCTGAGAGCCAGAAAACCGATTAAACTGGAAATTAAAATGAAAAGTAATTTTGAAATAAATTGCTCTCAAAAACTTACAAAAACTGTCACCTCTTATGCCGCCTCAAGGCTATAAAACAGCATCGATAGGTAAACATGAGAAATATTGAGATTTTAAAATGTTGAGCTTTAAATCCTCAAAAACGGTGATTTTATGAGGTTATTTACAGTCCCAAGAAAATATTTAATAAAGACCCTAGGTCAATTGAAATAACTTTTGGTACGCATAGGAAACCATACTTTTCAAACCAGTTAACATAGACAAACATTTGGTATACAAATGTCATAAAAAAGACAAAAAATAAAAACTATAATTGTCGTCAAGTCCCACGCATCTGGTTCACAACAGTGTACGCATCTTCTCATCCCACAGTAATCCATTTCTTCTTTTTTTTTTCGTCCCTCTTTGTAATCCATCAAAAAATCGTGCTCGAGCCAACAATTTCGTTTTGGCGCAATTTCGCGGCATTGCAAACAAAAAGCCACGATCGAAAGGGTGCAAAATTGAAAAATTGGATTGCGTTTCGCCGCCACAACGAAACAATATACTTTATACAACAACTGACTAAAAATCAACGGAAAAATACCCTGTTTTGTTTTCTTGAAAGATTCGACGACGCAATAGAATGTCATATATGTGAAAGATCTGGCATGGCACACCGGATAGGCAGGAAAAAAGAATATAAATTTGGTCAAAAAAAAATTGAGCTGAAAAAATGTGAGAAGTTGAGGGACCTGAAGGAGGGGAACCCAGAGACATTGAAAAGCTGTTAACCGGTAGAAATGGTACAAAATGATGGGAATGAAAACTTTGAGCAATCAAAGAGAGAAATCGGAGGTAGAGATCGTTATTTGTCAGGTATTCGAGGCGATTTCGTAGTTTTTCCGTCGAAAAACAAAGGCGGCCAGCATGGCGATAAGAACGACGCTCATCTGAAAATCGAGAGATTCAAAGTTGAGGAAAGTTTTTCATTTTAACTATACACAGAGAAAGTTTTCTGAAATAATGACTGTAGTTTCGTTTCATGACCTTTTTTTTCTTAACACGCATTCTCCCAGAAAATCGAACAAATGCGAAAAAGTTTGGTACAAAAATTTCATCTTTGTTCCTGAGAGCTCTCCTTGCTATCATAGATAGTGAACAACCTCTTGAACATTTAGAACGAGGTTTTATAAGGCTCCGCCCACTTTTAGGCTTACTGTAGAAAAAACACCGTAAAAACCAAACTTTTTTCCTAGTGGAGCAAATTGGTCCAAACCAACTTTAAAACAAAATATGTTTTCTTTTGACCATTTATAGTTATAGAACTGACCCGGAAAAATTTTTCTTTCAGAAGAAAAAAATTCAAGTTTTTTGAAAAATGACGATTTTCGCAGTCTTTGAGTCATAACTAGTACTAGAACCCCCGAATGCCTGGATTTTTATTTTTTCAATCGACGCGTTAGGGTCTTGTGATTAGAGGAAAAATGCCTAGAAACTCTGAATCCGGGTGATCCAGTTGACCTCCATCTCGAAGAACGCGGCCAACTTGAAAATCGCAAAACCTTTGAAAATTTCTATTTTTTGTGAAAGCCGGATTCCGTCTTGTTTCTTATTTTCGTTCAACATAACACAGCTTGCTGCAAAATTGCAGCTCAAAAGTAGCGAACTGGAACCCTTTGAAAAAAAATTTCTGACGTTTTTCTGATTTTTCGTTTTTTCGGCATTTTCAAACTTTTCGCTCTAACTAGTACTAGAACCCCCGAATGCCTGGATTTTTATTTCTTTAATTGACGCTTTAGGGTCTTGTGAGTGAAGAAAAAATTTCTAGAAACTCTGAATCCGGGTGATCCAGTTGACCTCCATCTCGGAGAACGCGGCCAACTTGAAAATGACTAAATTTTTTTAAAAAAATCAGTTACTTTCTCGGGAGCAGGATTTTTCCCTCCCTTCTTTTTTTGCCAATCAGACACAATCCACTCAACACAAAAATTGGAACAAAAAAAGTTATGACTCTCAAGCATGACGAAATCCAATTTTTTTCACTTTCTCGGATTCATTTTTCTGTCCTTTCCAATTATTGAGCTCTAATGGATTAGAATACCAGGAATGCTTAGAGTTTTTTGTTGTACTGATCCGTTACATCTTCCCAAGTTCTTTAAAAATATTCCCAAGCTCTGTTTCCGGGTGATCCAGTTGACCTCCAAGCAGTCGAAGCGGTCGACCTCGAAGTCGAGCGAAATTAAAAAAATTTCCAAACCGTTTTTTTGCTTCCTAACCAGTAGTTCTCCTCACCTGGAGGGTTTTCAGTGTAGTTTCCACCAAATGCTAGTGTCAATTTTTTTATTTTTTTAGCTCATTTTTTTATTTTTTTGTCAGAATTTTTTTAAAATGATGAATCATTTCTTTGGATTTCGCACGGAAAAAAATGTTCAAGTTCTCCTATTTTCGAAGTTGAACAGATTTTCTCATACAGAAAAAAAAGACAAAAACTATTTCAACCCAAAAAGAATCAAAAAAATTTTAAAAAATTCTGACAAGGGGAGTGTTTTTTTGGTGGACGGTTGAACTTTTGTTGAAACTTTGCTGAAAGGTACTATAAGACTTCCTCTTTCCAGAACACGAACAAAATTTCTCGCAATAGATCTCGTTTTCGAGTTATGAAGCTTCAAAGCTTGCACGCTGAATATGAGCTGCAACGCAAGAGGGAATGTGGTTCGCGTACGACCCCTGCACCACAGTTGGCAGCGTGGTGCAGTGGCTAGCGTCCTTGCACTGTGGTGTCAATGACCGGGGTTCGAAACTTGTTGAAAAAATTCGTTTTTGCCAGTTTTTCTAGGAGGAATTCATCGACATCGGGGAAATGGACCATCAATTTTTGTCCAAAAGAAGATGGCTTCTTATTTCACTCGATTTACCAAGACTTTCGACAAACATTTTCCCTCGGCCCATAGGCACGTTCAATCAAATTTTAAAAAATTCTGACAAAAATAAAAATGAGCTAAAAATAAAAATTGACACTAGCATTTGGTGGAAACTACACTGAAAACCCTCCAGGTGAGGAGAACTACTGGTTAGGAAGCAAAAAAACGGTTTGGAAATTTTTTTAATTTCGCTCGACTTCGAGGTCGACCGCTTCGACTGCTTGGAGGTCAACTGGATCACCCGGAAACAGAGCTTGGGAATATTTTTAAAGAACTTGGGAAGATGTAACGGATCAGTACAACAAAAAACTCTAAGCATTCCTGGTATTCTAATCCATTAGAGCTCAATAATTGGAAAGGACAGAAAAAAAAAATGAATCCGAGAAAGTGAAAAATTGGAAAAAAAAAATTTCGTCATGCTTGAGAGTCATAACTTTTTGTTCCAATTTTGTGTTGAGTGGATTGTGTCTGATTGGCAAAAAGAAGGGAGGGAAAATCCTGCTCCCGAGAAAGTAACTGATTTTTAAAAATTTAGTCATTTTCAAGTTGGCCGCGTTCTCCGAGATGGAGGTCAACTGGATCACCCGGATTCAGAGTTTCTAGACATTTTTTCTCTACTCACAAGACCCTAATGCGTCAATTAAAGAAATAAAAATCCAGGCATTCGGGGGTTCTAGTACTAGTTAGAGCGAAAAGTTTGAAAATGCCGAAAAAACGAAAATCAGAAAAACGTCAGAAATTTTTTTTCAAAGGGTTCCAGTTCGCTACTTTTGAGCTGCAATTTTGCAGCAAGCTGTGTTATGTTGAACGAAAATAAGAAACAAGACGGAATCCGGCTTTCACAAAAAATAGAAATTTTCAAAGGTTTTGCGATTTTCAAGTTGGCCGCGTTCTTCGAGATGGAGGTCAACTGGATCACCCGGATTCAGAGTTTCTAGGCATTTTTCCTCTAATCACAAGACCCTAACGCGTCGATTGAAAAAATAAAAATCCAGGCATTCGGGGGTTCTAGTACTAGTTATGACTCAAAGACTGCGAAAAATCGTCATTTTTTTCAAAAAAACTTGAATTTTTTTCTTCTGAAAGAAAAAAATTTTTTTCCGGGTCAGTTCTATAACTATAAATGGTCAAAAAGAAAACATATTTTTGTTTTTAAAGTTGGTTTGGACCAATTTGCTCCACTAGGAAAAAAGTTTGGTTTTTACGGTGTTTTTTCTACAGTAAGCCTAAAAGTGGGCGGAGCCTTATAAAACCTCGTTCTAAATGTTCAAGAGGTTGTTCACTATCTATGATAGCAAGGAGAGCTCTCAGGAACAAAGATGAAATTTTTGTACCAACGGTTAATCGAAAATCTCGGAGAACGTGTGTTAAATCCCATGGTTTTTCGATTTTTGTGATCACTTTTTCTCTCTAGGTTAAAATTTTCCCTTTTTTTGACTACTTTTGGAACGCCATTTGGTCCCTATAAGGGCTCTCTAAGGTTCCCCTCTAGTGACCGCTTTACCAACCCCTGTAAGGGCCACTAAAGCTTGCAAAAGTGGCCCCTATAGGGGACATGCTAGTCATTTTTTGAACTCTATGACTATGAGAACAAGGAAAAATTATTAAGTTGGTGCCTTTTGTATGAAAAATGTCAAAAAATGATGATAATTTTTTCAAAGGCTTGAAAGCTTCAGCTGTCAGACACTAAAACCCTTTAGGGGACACTTGAATCATACCCCCATAAGAAGCTCTTTGGAGGAATATTCCCTATGAATCCCTAAAAGGACCCCTCTGGCGCTCGTTTGGCAGCTCTCTTCTGAACTCATATGAACCAGTAAAAATGATTTTGAGGGGTTTAGTCGATTAAAGGCTAGTTTGAGAAGCGAAAGGGCGTGGCCTGTCTGCGCCCTCCACCAACCAGGCACTATCTCTTTTTTTATCGTGTCAGGACCAATTTTTTGATGGCTCAAGTCAGCCTTGAATCAGCTATATGAAAAAAGAGCGCAGACATGTCCGACTGTCTCTTTTTTTTTTATAAAATCAAAAAAATTACCAAAACAGCCAATGCGACGCCGACGGTCACCGTGAACATGTCGAAGCACATTTCACTGATTTCCATCTCTTTTTTCTGTTCGGCTAACTGAACTTCTTGTGCTGGCTCAGCACAGGAGCTGATTTCTTGTACCTTCGGTTCATTTTTCCTCTTCTCTACTGCAAAACTATCGTCTTTACTCATAAAAGGAAGGTAAACTCACGAATTTGGGAAATTTCAATGTTCTGCGACCTGACGTCCAGGACTGGCAAGGAGGCGGCTGAGACGCTTCTAGAAAAGCAAAATTTGGATAAAGTCGAGGAGTCCTTTGAAAAAGAATGTATTCCTTTTTGAGCCCCTTTAAATTCCACCAATTTCCATCTCTATTAAAATTGATATTCTTGTTAATGGTGAAAAGCTGAAATGGGAGATTTTGGATGGCACATACTCGTGGAAACATCCTTTTTTAGTAATTTTTCGAGAAAAATTTTAAAAAAACTGATTTATTTTCAGAGGTTTAAAAAAACCGTATTCAAGCAGAAATCAACTTCTGATCAAGACTGAGCTTCTCTCCGCGCTTCAATCAATATCTCTTTTCCACTTTAAGGTTAACAATAGACTTTATTTGATTCATTATTTATCTCATGATGTTATGTATAATTATTTCCCTTTTCTATCGACTCATCATCCAAACCAGTATACATGATACTTACTAATATGACAAATAAAAATTGTGCTTGGGTCAGGCTTTTACCTGCTGTTTTTCCCCCTTTCTTGTACATTGTATTCTGTTTTTAAATGTGAATCAATCTATTATGTTATCTATAAAATAGAAAGCCTTCATATACTGTTACTGTTCAAATCTTTAATTTCAATTTTTATCACATTATCTTTTCTCACTATCTCATAGCTTCGTGAGGGCCTCGATGGCAATTTATTTATTTATGCCGGATTTTTTTCTGCTGTTTCTCCCCTTTTCTTTCACATTCCATTGTAATTTTGCAACTGTATATTCAATGGAAAGCCTTCAAAAACGAACCTATGCCTCCGATGAGCCTGAGTTTTCGCAGTGCAATCCGGAACCGGACACTCGCCGGTGGGAAGCGCCGGATTGAGTCTGATTTGGCAGGAAAAGTAGACGAGCGGAGAATGCGACACTCCGAACACACTGACGTTCACTCCGACCGATGTCTGAGGACATTTTTTTTTTGATTCATTTCTTCAAAATCTCAAGATAAGAATAGATCAGATCTTGTTTCCGAGTTTTGAAGCTTCAAAGTCAGCAAAACACGCAAATTATGACGAAAAGCTGTATTTTGAGCTTTTGAAGGGTCCCCTGAAATGTCCCCTAATAAGTGGTGCTCCGTAAGTTTGAATGTCTCCTGATAATTGACCGATTCCAAAAAATTTCCTCTTTTTGTGGAAGATCCATTCAAGACTTTTCTCAGAGTACCCTCAAAATTTTTTCTTTTTTAAAAAATCCTACCTTCCCACACTTCAAAAATCAACATATTCTCCGAAAGCTCCCTCCAAAAAGCACTTTTAAACCTTTGCTAATGGACTTTTTCAGCTATTCTGAAGCGTTTCAAGTAGAGTTTTCGGTGTTTGGAGGTTGGAAATTTGTCACGGGTTTCAAAATTTTGAAGATTTCGAAAATGATATTTTTCCTTAAAGGGTGAGAAATAATAAAAATCAAGCTTTGACCAGTTCCAAGGATGTTCTACTAAATTGTAACAAGTGTATTAAAAATGCTTTTATTTAAATATATCTACGATGTATCCAGAACCAATTGTTATTTCTGGAAATGAGAAATATGTTTTTGCTCTTTTTGCACAAAAAAAAGCCTTTGAATGAAATGAAAAATTATAACCGATCCTTCTCGGACATTGGGAGATTCTAGGGATCACTTAAGAGTGTTGATGCTATTGAAGTGGTCCCTAGAAGCTTCCGGAGCACGTCCGTTTTGCGTCACTAATGTCCGAGTTGTTATATAGCCGGTTCACGGCTAGTTTGAGAAACAAAGGGGCGTGGCCTGTCTGCGCCCTCCATCAACCAGGCACTGTCTCTTTTCTTATCGTGTCGGGACCCTTTTTTCGATGGCTCAAGCCAGCCGTGGACCAGCTATATTCTTGCTTGAGTTTATTCATTTTCGAAAAAAGCCAAGTTGAAAAAGTCCCCCTCTATTTCCCAGTACGAAAATCCAATTTACGGAGAAATTTCTATTATACATTTTTCGCAGGTGCAAGAGTCCCCATGTCATTTTTCATTCAAAACTGCAAAATGAGCCGCTCTCGAGTTTTCATTTCCCGGGGCTCATTCGGGCAAACTCATATTCATATTAGTTGCGCTTCGGCGCCTCATTTGCATAATCTCCGCGGCTTTTCCTATACTCTCACCTATTATACGTCAAATATACATGTAAAGTTCAAAAAACACAAGAAAAAATGATGGAAAAAAGCTCCCAAAATAGGAAGAATTTGAAAAAAGACAGATTAAATTTCGAAAAATCGAGAAAAAACCTAACAAAAAAACGATGTCCTCTCATAAACGGACCTTTTTTAAATTTCAAAAATACCGAATATTTTTTTAAAATATAATTTTTTCGTTCATTCGACCGCTTCAAAAATCAGATAAAATAAAAATTCCCTCAAGTGATCCCTTGATTCGCTCACCCCTTGGTCTACTTATCAACTGATAAAACCTGAAGTGGCCTCTTAAGTAAAACTCATTTTTTCATCTTCAAAATTTTTTCTGAAGGTGATCGAGTATAATAATAACAAAAAGAATTAAAACCGATGAACCACGCTGGGAGTGATCACTCTAGTGGTCATTGACCTAAGCCTAAGATCTCAACAATCAAACAAGCTAGAGTGATCCCTTAAATGGTCATTGACCTAAGCCTAAGCCCTCAAGTGATCCTTACTTTCCTCACCCCTTGGTCTCCTAATCAACTGATAAAACCTGGAGAGGCCTCTTGAGTAGAACTGTGAAACTTTTTCTGAAGACCAGAATGTAGGATAAATGAGAAAAAGAATAAAAACTGATGAACCCAGCCGGTGTGATCACTTTAGTGGTCCCTGACCTACACCTAAGCGCTCAAGCTAGAGAGATCACTCTAGTGTTCATTGACCTACACCTAAGCCCTCAAGTGATCCCTTACTTCACTCACCCCTTGGGCGCCTAGTCAACTGATAAAATCTGAAGATGCCTCTTAAGAAAAATTCATTTGTCAACTTAAAACTTTTTCTGAAGCTGAATGAGTAGGAAGAAGAATAATCAAGCTGGAGGGATCACTCTAGTGGTCATTGAAGGTCTTTTCCGAGCTTACCCTATTGAAGTAGGTGAGTTGTGGCATCAAATCTTCATGTAGGGAGCATCCTTTTTCGTCAATGACGTCATGTTGTGAGCTTCCAGCAACCAGTCGGCAGCTCTGGATCCACAGACAGGATTCCTAGAAAATTATCATATTTTTTTCGAAATTTTTACTGGATTCTGAAAAAACTCTAAACTAGACATGAAATTAATTATTTTATCAGTTTTTTGGCTTTTTGATCGTTAAAAAGAGCGTGGAAGATTAATTAAAAAGCTGAAAACATAGCCGACATTTGCCGGCATGAGACCTGCTTTATACTGTTGAAAAGAGGCTCTAGGATTGGTGGCTACTCTAAAGATGCGCCCGACTCTGAGCGACTTGTGCTTTCAAAGTAGATGGTGACGTCATGCGAAACTAGTTTTACGTTACAAAAACGCAACGAGAACGCTTCAAGTCTGAACAAAAAAACGAACATAAACATTGGAGCAAGACCAGAGATGTTCTACAGTTTCGCCCAGGGCCACCCGAGTCGCCAAACCCCCGCTCGAATCCAAGACTTCGTAGGAGCACGAAGGTTCATTAGCATCTGAGTTTTCGTTATCAACGAGTTTCTTGGAAAAAAAAACCTTGAGGTGGAAGCTTAGGGCTCCCCACGACGAGGGCCGAGCTTCCGTTGCTCTTTTTCTGATGGAAACATTGGAGGTTGAAGACTCGGTCGTCGGCCGTCGTGAATTCTGCGTGGAACGACACGGAGACCGACGCTTCGATGATGACTCCCGACGGATGAAGGCTCCTTCAATTGAAAAAGTTACAAGTTGAAGACTTTAATGACATCCAAATGAAAACAAGACAGTATCGGAAACTCAGAAACAGGAGTTTTAAAGGGATCCCTATAGGGGTTAGCGGGGTAAACAGCTCTTGTAGGGATCGAAAAAGTGGTCCCCGTAGGGGTAAAATCAAGGTGATTCCTATAGGGGTTAGGGGCTTAGTTCTCAGACCTTTATCTGAAAACCCTATTAGGACCCATTTTCAAGTGTTAGGGGACTCTATAGGGGTTGGTAAAGTTGTCCTCTAAGGTTGCCCCTATAAAGAACTTCCCAATTTAATGTCCGAAGAAGGACGAGATGTTCTACGAGTCGTTCTTGATCAACTACAGTTTCACGAACCGACAAAAACTCTTCTATTATCCAAGAATTCAACAGATAATCTTCTCTGAAGACTGAATAAACTTGTAACCTTGTAAAATTGTGCGTCATAATTATGGACACGTTCTTATCTTTGCGGTTTTCAAAAAGTTCACACTCAAGTGAGTAGGAGACCACAGAGTTTTTAGTAGTGTAGAATCAAGGAATTTAATTTTTAACCCAGCCTAAAAGCAAATGAAAACAAGACGCTTCCAGTTAATCCAAATAAAGCGAAACGAATTCGTTCCTCACAGGGAGGTCATTTTACTTTACGGTTGGGAAATTTCTGGAAAGAGCACTTCTTGATGTACCAGATGAAAGTCTCAACATGCACAACTTCCCAGTTTTCGATAAATTAGGGCTCAAAGAATCGAAGTAGCCTATTTTCATGGATTTCAAGGGTTTCCTTTGACTTTGAGACGTCTTTTTCCGAAAACGAGAAAGTTTTGCAGGTTAAGACTTTCAGGATCTTCTTCTGGTACGTCAAGAAGTTTTCTGGCCGATTTACAGAAAATTCCCAACCGCAAAGTAAAATGACCTCTCTTGTCAGTAAGATTTTGGAGCCCCAAAAACGCCGACTTTTTTTCCTCTTCAATGACAGATTCCAAGCCTTGAGGTGCCCCAGTAAGACAAAAAATCTTCGTTTCCTTCTCCTCGACAATGTTTTCGGGGCAATTAGCCGGTTGGCTGGTTGGTTATGAGCGGAAGGACGTTTTACGAGGCAAATCAAGTGTGGCTCCGTTGAGCTTAGTTCTTTTCTTCTCCCCGAACTTCCCGACATTTTCTTTTTTCGTGAAGAAGTGGAAAACAACGACTTCCTTGGATTATTGGGAATGGAACATTTTTCAAAAATAAGGTCGTTAGTTTAGTAGTTTGAGAAAACCGAAATTGGAAAATTATGGTATTTTTGAATCGAAATATAGGACTTCAAAAATTCACCTAAAAAACAATCTCGTCTTTCTTAGGAATTTTAGCGTGGTCCCTATGGGGTTAGGGAGGTAAAAAGCCTCTTTATGGACCGAAAAAGTGGTCCCAATAGGGGTAAAATCAAGGTGGTTCCTATAGGGGTTCATAGTTTGATCCCTCAGCCACTAAAACTCAAGTGGACCCTAGAGGGGTCTTTCAAGTTATCCAATAGCAAGTTCCCTATTGGAGAAATTTCTTTCTCATTTTCAAATCTGAACAAAAAATTTGAAAAAACCCTTTAGGGGCCCCTTGATCTTCAGGGGTCAGACCCCTATATCCTCTGATTTTCTCCTAGACCCTATAGGGACCACTCTGGAGCTTCTAAGGACTTTAACAGTGAGGGAAAAGAGAGCGCAGACAGGTCAGAGATGGAAAATCGAGCGTGATTTTCAGTTTTTTGAAAAGAAATTTGCTCGTTTCTTGCGAAATTTCTATCATTTTCTTTAACGAGGTCGAAAAATCCCCACTCAAAACTCGTGTTTGTCTCAAAATCTTGGAAAGAAACGCCTTGGCGACACTCATCACAGTCATAAAAGTGTAATGGCTAGAAGATAATGGACAAGGCTTGCCGATGATTCAAACAAGAGGGACGAAAAAAAAACCAGTCGATGCCAAGTCGCAACTGTTAATGTAACGCTTTGCCAAATTAAGGAGCAAACTAGACACGTGATGACGTCATCTAAAGCCTGGTTTGCCTTTTTTTTTAATTTTTCGCTTTTCCTGACAGTAAACCTTGAGAAAAACTCCAAAAATGATATTTCAAGAATGAAAAAAACGTTTCAAAGCTCAAATTTTCTATTAAAAAAATGATGAAAAACTTCGAAAAAGCCTGTTTTAAAATTTTCTTGTCGAGACCTTGGTTCAAAAAAGATGGATGCGCCTTTAAATTATCACTCCTTATTAGTTGGAAATATCCCTCAAATGAAATCAATCTACATAAAGATCGACATACACTTCAATCACAATCATTCCGGACAGTCTGACGTGTCTGCGCCCTCTTTTCCCTAACTTACTAAGTCCAAGAAACAAAAATAGCGTTTAAAAAAAGCGAGAGAATGACCAAATAAATTTATTTTCTAAAGTCTTTCATTTTTTCAATGATGAATATGGGAGAAAGTCGTTAAACTAGTGGAGTCATTTTGGAGCGTCGTACTTCAATATTGCACAGAATTAATTCATTTTTTCTGTTCTACAGTAGCACCAACAATCAAAAAAAATAAAGTTACTTAGGAAAAAAATTGGGTATTTTTACGATTTTTTTGTCTCGACCTAATGATGAATGTACTATGATTTTTCACGAGTGTTTCTTTTTTTTTCTCAATTTCGAAATTAATTGGAAATTGGATAATTGAGAGACTCATTATTCAAAATTAGGGAAATTTTTCATTTTTTTTTTTGCGATTTTGGTCTCGGCCTAATGATGAATGTACTATGTATTTCTAATTTTTCATGAGCTTTTCTTTTTTTACTCAATTTCAAAATTAATTGGACAATTTGCAGCCTCATCGATTGAAAATCGGGAAAATTTTCATTTTTTATGATTTCTGTTGCACTTTCTCTGCTGAAATAGGAAAAAATCTGGAGTCTCTGATGAAATTTAGCAAAAATCTTTGCTTTTTTCGGTTTTTTGTCTCGTTTCATTATTGGATGTACTATGACCGATTTTTCACAAGCTTCTTCCTTCTAAAAGAAAAAAACGAACCGCCGCCGGGCGACGGAACATTCCTCGTGCGGGATGAGCAACTCGATTTGGTTGTTGGTGACGAGGCTCTGAAACAGACGAACAATCCAATTAAGATCGGGTGAGACGGACCTGGAAGCAGAGTCGATTCGGCGTGTACTTGACGTCGACGTGGCCGGTGAACGTCGCGTTCGTCCGCAGCTTCACGTAGATCGCGTCTGCCGCGCAGCTGCAAATGTCATTTTTCTTCTTGCTTTTGGCATTTTCTCGAGTTCATACTCCGGGCAAAGTCGGAATGGTGGATAATGGCCGCTAAAAGGGAGGGGCTCAAAAAAGGCATCAAAAAGGCATCAAAAAGGCAGCAAAAAAGCCGCAAAAAGGCAGCAAAAAGAGTCCCTCTACCAAGCCTTTCATTTTTTCTGGGATTTTAAAGGCTCAAGAAATGGTGAAAAAAGGGAGAGGCAGCAAAAATGGTGCAAAACAGTCCTTGAAATGGTGCAAAAAGGCAGCAAAAAAGGAACATTTCTATGGAGCCTTTTTCCACCCTTCCGACTTTGCCAAAAGCCTAGAATTCTATTTTTATGATTTCATAACTTTGAACAATAATATCAGGGGGCTAATGAAAATATTTCTTTCAATCAAATAAGGTTCGAAATATCGATTCATCGTGAATTTATTAATGGGGGTTCAGTTCAGAGCAACATTTGATTTCAAATTCAAAGTCTAGAAACACACTAAATGAGAACTTCAAAGTAGTCCTTTAGGGGCATTTTTTGGGTCTCTTGAAGGTTCTCCTCTAGATACCAATTCGTTTTTTTATTTCTATGCAAAAAAAACTCAGTAAATATAGCGTTATTTGAATGAAAAATATCAACAGAAAAATTTTTTATTTTTAGTTTTTAAATCTGAACAAAAGTTAAAAGACCCTATAATGACCGCTTTAGCTTTAGGGGCTTAGGAGTCAGATCTCCAACCCCTATAGGGACTACTCCGGTGTGCAACAAAATTTATACACTCAGGAATTCTAGAGCGGTTCCTATAGTGGTTAGGAGAAGAGACAGCCCCTATAGGGGCCGAAAAAATAGTCAATATAGGGGTAAAATCAAGGTGGCCCTTATAGGGGTTTAGGGTCTGACCCCTTGGCCCCTGAAGCTTGAGTGGTCCCTATAGGGTCTTTGAATTTCATTCAAAAAACGTTTATTTGTTTAGTTTTTCGCATGAAAATGCTTCTCTTCGCATAGAGATCATAACCACTTTTGCAAGCTTTAATGGCCCCTATAGGGGTTGGTAAGGTGGTTCCTGGAAATCCTTAGTAGGGGGTCCTTTTCGTCTCCTATAGGGACTGTTTTTTTCACTTTCCATTAGAGAAGAGTTCTTATTTTTGGCCACTTTTTCTCTGGCATCTCTCCAGGTCGTCATTGACCTCTCAACTTAAGGTTACATATAAATCTTTTTTTGCCTAAAAATCCTACTCCTACGAATCCTGCAAAGAAAAAAATTTCTCCTAACCCCCACTCTGTCTCCATTTTCCTCCCTAAAAGGTGCCGTGCGGAATGTCTCTTCGAAACCCGATCCGGTGCGCCTGAAACCGAGAGCAGCCTTCGTTTCTACTTGCTCCCACACACACAGGAAAAGTGATCACTTCTGAAGTATTCATGAGAAAAAACATGTCTTTTTTCGCATCCCAGCGGAGACCAGGAGCCGGCCAGAAAATAATGGATTGGTTGTTGGCGGTGCTGACAAATTGCCTGACCCCCCAAAAAAAGCTTGGACTTCTTGGCTCTATCCGACCGGAAGGTCGGCAAATTTCCTCGGGGCTATATAGTCCATTAACTCTTTCTCTCTCTCGATTTGATAATGGCTCGTGAATTTGGAATAAAGTTTAATCGGAAAATAATTTAAAAAAGAAGCTTTTACGGCTTTTATCAGTACTTGGAAACTGAAGTTCGACTTTATTCGTCATAAGCTCTGAAATTTTTTTTATTACTTTTTTTTTTACTGTCATCAACTACATAAACTTCGAAAAAAACTCGCAAAAATTTCTTAAAAAATTGTTATCCATAGGGCGTATAAACTTTGAACCTTTCCGGTCATTTTTTTCTATCATTTCAAAAATCTTCCCATTTACAAAAAGTTGTTTCAATCGAAAAAAATCACGAAAAAGTAAACTTGGGAATTTTTTTCTGATAATCATAAATTCCCTTAAGAGCCCCCTTAGACCCCTTTCTAAGTCGTCCTTCTTTTGATCGATCATTTTTTATAAAGGAGACTTGTCCTTAAGTAGTCACTTTAACTAATCCCTTAAGCGTTCCCTTTTGGAAATTTTACTTTTTCTAAAGGCGATACCTAAGAAAATCGTTTTATTTTCGAAAAATAAATCCTTAAGAAATCACTAGAACTAATCCCTGAAGTCTTCACTTGGCAGGACGTTGTTTTTTAAATCTTCCGGTAGAAATTGAACTTGAGACTTTTTTTAATACTCAAAAATTCCCTTAAGAGTCCCCTTGGACCCCTTTCCAAGTTTCCGCTTCCTTCTTTTGATCGATCATTTTTAATAAATAAGACTTGTCCTTAAGTAGTCACTCTAACCAATCCCTTAAGCGGTCACTTCAAACTGGAAATTTTATTTTTCCTAAAGGCGGTACTTAAGAAAAGTGTCCTAATTTCGAAAAATTAACACTTAAGAGACCACTAGAGCTGATCCCTGGAGTCTTCACTTCGCAGGACGTTATTTTTTAAACCTCCCGGTAGAAATTGAACTTGAGACTTTTTTTAATACTCAAAAATTCCCTTAAGAGTCCCCTTGGACCCCTTTCCAAGTTTCCGCTTCCTTCTTTTGATCGATCATTTTTAATAAATAAGACTTGTCCTTAAGTAGTCACTCTAACCAATCCCTTAAGCGGTCACTTAAAACTGGAAACTTTATTTTTTTTTAACGCGATACCTAAGAAAATCATTCTATTTTTCGGAAAATAAACACTTAAGAGACCACTAGAGCTGATCCCTGGAGTCTTCACTTCGCAGGACGTTATTTTTTAAACCTCCCGGTAGAAATTGAACTTGAGACTTTTTTTAATACTCAAAAATTCCCTTAAGAGTCCCCTTGGACCCCTTTCCAAGTTTCCGCTTCCTTCTTTTGATCGATCATTTTTAATAAATAAGACTTGTCCTTAAGTAGTCACTCTAACCAATCCCTTAAGCGGTCACTTAAAACTGGAAACTTTATTTTTTTTAAACGCGATACCTAAGAAAATCATTCTATTTTTGGAAAATAAACCCTTAAGAGACCACTAGAACTGATCCCTGAAGTCGTCCCTTCACAGTCCGCCTGCGACTTGACAGTTTTCGAGTCTCTCTATTTCCTCACCGGCGAGGTCAGAGATACATGGAAATCAACAAGAGAGGGTCGTCGAGAGACGAAGAGGGCGCAGAGAAGTCCTGCATTTTCAAGTCGCGATGAACGGACTTTTAACTGAAACCCCAGAAAAAAGATTTTTGTAAGTTTTTGACAATTTCTGGATTGACCAAATCTACACAGTTCATTCAAGGAAATCCGTGTTTTTTGGTCATTCCTCTCCTCGTGAATGAATATTAATTAAGTTGAGTTGCGGGCCGAGTTAATGAATGGGGAAATAGGCCTGGAGAGGAATGCGAGCCATTCTTCGGGGCATATCTGCCGACGTCATCTCCGTGAGTTAAACCCGATGCGTCACACTCGCCGACGTTTATGTTCGGGTACTATGAAAACTACGACAAACAATGGGTGAAAAATGTTCCAGTTTGGAGTGACGGCTTAAGGGATCAGCTGGAGTGGTTACTTGAGAGTTTGGTGAGCACATGATCATCTAGTTATTGAGGTAAGGAGATTTGTGAGCCCAATTAGTGATCCAAAAAGTCAATTTTTAGCATTCAATATATGAAAATTTCCGAAAAACGTTCCAGTTCGGAGTGACGACTTAAGGGATCAGCTGGAGTGGTTACTTCAGAAGTTTGGTGAGCACATGATCATCTAGTTATTAAAATAAGGAGTTTTGTGAGCCCAGTTAGATCAAAAGAATCAATTTTTTTTTGTCTTTCAGATTCTAACAATCCCGGAGAAACGTCCGAAATTGGAGCGATTGCCGAAGTTTTCAGTTGAAGTGGCTTCTTAAGAGGTTTCGAGAGTAACTTTAGTGACCAAAATTTTCAATTTTTCTGTCTTCAAGATATCAAAAGTTCCGAAAACATTTCAGTTTGGAGTGACGGCTTAAGGGATCAGCCAGAGTGAATTCCTAGGTTTCAGGCTTCTTTTTCATATTTCGAATCTTCTTTTTAAAACAAGAAAGGCCCTAGAAATTTTTTTAGTTCAAACTATCACGGCCTAAAATCTCACATTAAAATTCAGTAAGCTTCGACCTTCGAACTATTATTTCAGGAAAAGCTCTAAAAACAACTTCACGGTCGTCATTCCCAAAGCATCGTGACCTAACTTCTCAAATCGTATTTTGTAATCCTGGATGTTCACAGTTTAACGTGAAAAAAATGACTAAATCAGCAAAAAAAAAACATTTTTTCAAGAAAAAGCCAGACGATCTCACGTCTTCCTGTTTTTTCGTCTTCTTTTTCAAGCGTTGCAAAAGAGGGTCGGTGCCGGAAAGAAAATGAGATTTGCACGTGGAAAACGTCAAGAGCCCGCTTGTAACACTCGACAAATTACGCCCCGTTTCTTTTCGATCCGACAACCTTTTCACAAGTTTTTTTTGCGATCTTTTGAAATTCTGAGGTACGGTAGAGTTCGGAAGACCAGACAACAGGAAAGATCAGGCACGTCTGACTCAGATTTACTCAAAGAAATTTTAAAAAGGTCTTTTTAGGAGTTACGAACGACCATTGTTTAATCAAAAAAAGCTTCTCTTGAAAATCCTCGAACGGTTCAAAACACTCAAGAGGTCACTTGAAAAAAAAAGCAAAAAAGAAGCAAATAAAAATGGTCAGATTTACTCAACGAAGTCTCAAAGAGGTCACTTTAGGGGTTTCAAAAGAATTACCATTATTTGATCTAGAAAAAAGGCCTAAAAATTCTCTTAAAGTCCATGAACGGTTCCAAAACCCTCAAGAGGTCACTAGAGTGATTTTAAAAGTCTTCCAAATTTTTTTTTCCACTTCTAAACGCTACAGTCCCCCACAAAAACATTCTAGAACAGTTCTAACCAAAAATTAATTCCAATGGTCACTTAAGTGACAGCCAATCTTCTTGAAAAGATACGAAATCACAAAAATCCTCTCAAGAGGTCACTTAAGAAAAAAAAACGAACTTGACGATCGGCTCGCCGACGACTTCGTTCGGAAGCGTGACGTCACCGGCGGACGTCGTCTGGCTCATCAGAAGCAGAAGGAATAAAAACAGTTCTGACGTCATCTAGAAGACTCCGACGGACGGCGGCGACGTCGCCTTCGAAACGCTTTTCCTCTCGGCTCCGCCCACTTCTCTCGACCACGCCCCCTTTTCAAAGAGGCCCTGCAATTGCGGCGCGGTTATTTTGAGACTTTGGAGAGGAGGAACGGCCGGGAGTATTTCGGAACAAAAGTTCGGAGGATTAGCGTCAAAATACTGGTTATGCGAGGTAGGGGGATCGTCTTGAAAAGGATGTTTTTTTCGTGAGGTTTTTGAATAGGAACGAGTAAAGGAATGCTATTTTATGATGGAGATTCTCTTTTTTTACGATTATTTTTGGGTTTGATGGAAAAAATTGACGACATAACTGTTAGGCTCTGTAAAAAAAACTAAAAATAAGACCTTGAAACCGATTTTTCTGAAGAAAATCGAGTTTTTGGTTCAAATTTTTTTGGGGTCTGATCCTGGAAATGAGCTTAAAAATTGCTGGAAAACACGCAAAAAATTTTTTTTTGTGGTATGAAAACTCGAAAAAATCAAGGATTGATCCAAATTTGATCAAAATAATCGATTTTTTTCAAACTTTGAAAGGCCATTTTTATAGAGATTTGTAGCCCTAAAGAACTGCAAAATTCATTTGATTTGCCTATTTTTTTATTTAATTATCTTTTTAAGTACTAATTTTATGATCAAAAAGTAGGGGAAAAAAAATTTTTAACGACCCCTTTTTTTCAGACCAGAAACAGTTAAGTACGAAACGAAATGAGAATTTTGATTTTTAAAAAATCTTTAGCGAGAGCCAATCTTACTAGTATCGACTCTGAAAGCATTTACACAAAATTTTCAAAATATCACTAGACCAAAAACAAAAAATCGAACCAACCATTACACCCATCAAAAGCCATGACTAAACTAAACAGGGTCTAAAAAAACAAATTTTTTTCATCAATTATATTTTAAAAAAAGATGCAGAAGCCTTACTAGACTGAAACGAAACGGATATCTTTCGAGTGCGATGAGATTTATGCGATATGCCGTCCGTTTAGTGGCCATTTTGAAATTGAATCGGCGAGAATGGTGATTTTTGCGGTTGGGAAAGGCGAGGGAGGGGAATGGTCGCGGGTTGGAAATTTGGACTAGGAAACGTTTTTCTCTGTGTATTTTGAATAATTTGAAGAGCTTCATAACTCGAAAACAAGATATGTTCTTAGAAACTCCGAAGTGGTCCCTATAGGGGCAGCCTTAGTTTTTCCTGGAGAGTCCCTCTTTGGACAACTTTACCAACCCCTATAGGGGTCACTGAAGCTTGCAAAAGCGGCCCCTATAGGGGTCATGCTAGTCGATAATTGTTATGAACTCCAGGCGAAGAAGCATTTCCATGAGAAAAACTGAATGAATAAACGTTTTGAATGAAACTGAAAAACCCCTATAGTGACCACTTAAACTTTAGGGGCTAAGGGGTCAGACCCTAAACCCTTATAGGGACAACCCTAGTATTCCTAAAAAAATTTTGGAAAAATCCTACAGAGACCACTTTGATTTCACCCTATAGGGATCGCTTTTTAGGCCCCTAAAGAGGCTGCTCATCCTACTAATCCCTATAGGGACCACTCTGGAATTCCTAAGATCCTAACTATTCACGTCGAAAAAAGAGCTCAAAAAATGAAGTCAAAAAATTAGAAATAGTTGAAAAAATGTCGCCTCTTTTTTAATTCTAACAAGACAAGATAAACGCACGAAATCGATATTTCGAATCAAAGTAAAGTAAGTAAAGTAAACTTTTTCATGACGGCCACTGCATCATAAACCATCATGTGAAACAAAAAAAGCAATCAGAATAGATTATATAGGGAAAGTTTCCTCATAGGCTGCGGATATGGGGGCGACTCGTTTCTTACTTCTAAGAGGTGGTCCTGTTTATGTCACACCCAAGGAATCCCATTTGGATTCGGATTTGATTTGATTCGAAATGATTGTGATTGATTGGGTTGATTAATTCGACACTTTTCGCATAGATAATTAGGATCAGATGACTTTTAGCTTGGTTTGAACACTTGAAAAGTCCCAATAAACGTTTGTAATTTGTGAATGAACTAGTTCCAGAGTGGTCCCTATAGGACTTAGGAAAAAAAAAGCCCCTACAGGAGTTTGAACTCTAACCCTTAGCCCCTTAAGCTATAGTGGCCCCTATAGGGGTCTTTCAACTTCATTAAAAATAGGGGCTACCAACTAACCCCTATAGGGAACACTTTTTCCAGCTTTAGTGGCCTCTATAGGGGCTGGTAAAGTGGTACCTAGTAGACGATCTCCAAGTGCCCCTAAGGTTGTCCTTATAGGGACCACTCTGGAGTACCTAAGTGCTGGGAAAGTTTTTAGTGACCACTATAGGGTTTGACGTTTTAGAGACCACTATGGTAGTCGGGTTAGTGTCCTCTTTAAGAGTCTAAGTTTTACTACTAGACCACTAAAAACTACTACAGGGACCACTAAGACCCAAAAAAGTCACTACTATAAAGGAGGTTCAAGTGACCCATTTAGTGTCCTCTCCAACCTCTAAAGTGGCCACTAGGAATTCTCCCAGTGAAGTCGTGCTCTTTCGGCGAAACTCTAAATTTTCTCTGATGCTCCAAATTATAGTTATCTTTTTCAATCTCTGACAAGTAAGTCTGACCTGTCTGCGCCCTCTTTTCCCTTGCCAGCGAGGTCAGAGAAACGTGGAAATAGCAGATGAACACGAGAGAACAGAGAAATTGGATTGTTTAAATTTCAGCGGATGAAAGTGAATATAGAAAACTTTTTATTTATTTTTACTTCTATTTTTTTCAAAATCAAAAGAAATGTTTAAAAAAACATTGAAAGGCTAGAAAAAAAGCCGTTATTTTTCACATAATACACCATCTTTTATTATGAACACCACCGAAAACCGGCAAAAGAAAACTTGAGGATGACTCAACTATTGTTGTAAATGGCGGTTTCCATCAAACTTTGCCGGAAAATGTATAACTTCAACGTGTACTTCTAAAAAACGTTTTTTTTTTAATGAACAAAAATGATGTATATTATTGAACCTAAGGTCCCAAAAAATGGTAAAAAAAAATCGGCAAAATTGGAAAAATAGTTCAAGTCAGCGGTGAATCAACTATAGAAAAAATGAAGTAGAAAAAATCAGAATCGAAGTTTCGATTAGTCCTTCAAAAACGATAATCCATATGGAACTCCCTGAGACAGTCTCGAAAAAGATTATTTTTAAACATTCTCTGCTCCAAACAATATCCATTAAGGCTTTTCCCATGGCGCATAACAGATTCGCGTTTGTTCGGAATCCTTTTCCACTGTCGCCGCTGCTGAATAATGCACGGCGTCGAGCTGAAAGGCGTTTTGTCCAGCGGCCAGCTTCTTCTCATCCTCGGACTCTTCACAGGGGAGGTCATTCTACTTTGAGGCTTCTGCAAGTTAGCCCGAATGCTTCTTGATGCACAAAACGAATGTTCTAAACTCTCTATTTTTCAAAAAAGGACATCTGAAACGTTCAAAATCCGTTAAAATCGGCTATTTTGGATCTTTGAGCCCTTATTTCTCGAAAATTAGAAGGTTTTGCATGTTGAGACTTTCATCTGGTATATCAAGTAGCATTCTAGCCAATTTTCAGAAACCGTAAAGAAAAATGAACTTCCTTGTAGGATGCAAAATTGATTCATTTTGTTAAGGCCCATGTGGGAAAGATTTTCAGTCGTGAAAAAAAACACTGTGTTTTTTTGGCATCAAAACTAGGCGGAAAAATTTCCTTTTCGAGTTATTTTTCAAAAAAATTAACGAAAATTTGAAGCTCTTCTAGAAGGAAGGTCAGGTTACTTTGTGATTGGGGATTTCCCTGGAAATTGGCCAGAATGTTTTTTGAAGTACCGGATCAAGATTTTAAAAGACTTTACCCGCAAAACTTCTCTGGTTTTGAGAAAGGAGACCTGAAAGTCTGAGTAAACGGTCCAAATCCGTTAAACTCGGCTGTTTTGGAGCTTTTCTGCCCTTATTTCTCGAAAACTAGGAATTTATCCAGGTTGAGACTTTCAGAATCTTCACCGGGTACATCAAGGAGTGCCCTGGCCAATTTTTTTATGCTTGAAAGTTCCATAAAAGCTTCAATATTGAAAACTACTTCCGATAAAGCTTCGCAACAACCTAAAAAAATTGAATATTTTTTTCAAAGTTCAAAATTGAAAAAAAAAATTTCCCTTCGAAACTATGCCTATAAAACCTACAATTCATTCAATTTCATCTCATAAAGATGGGAAAAATGTCTACATTTTCGAAAAACTACTGTTTTTTATCGATGAAACTCCACAGGAATCAAATTAACTATCCTAATTATCAAATATTCCTCCAAAGATTACTTATCATTATTTTTTTACTGTTAATAAACCGAAAAGTCAGTCAAAACGATCTCTAAAACCATACAAAAAAATTCGAAAAGCAATCAAAACTCAAAGAAAAAAAACTGTTGAAATGATAGACACGAACACGTGTGATAAGAGAAAATATTCCTCCAAAGATTACTTATCATTATTTTCACTGTTAATAAATCATAAAGTCACTCAAAATGATCTCAAAAAAAATACAAAAACATTCAAAAGCAATCAAAACTTAAAGAAAAAAACTTCCTTGGCGGATTTTTGAGAACACGTCGAAAATCCGCCCTTTCCCAAAGATCTTTTGTTGAAACTGAGCCCAAAACAACAACAACATTTTCCGAAAAAGCGTTCCACCTGAAGCCTGACAACAGGTTAGCGTCGTTCAAGAAGAACCCTCAAAGAACGGCGGGCCGAATAGATTGGCCAGATAGTGGGAAGGTGAGTACCAAACTCACTACCGAACAAACAACCCATCGAAAAAAGGATGGGAAATCGCCGCGAGGGACGTCTTTTTCTGGCCATGTTTTCTTTTCGGTTGGGAAAGATCAACTTGTCCATGAAATGCCTCAAAAAGCGCATACAGGTCGAATTATCTCAAGTCGCAGATAATGGATTCAG